GGGGAGGGGAGGTCCAAGTGGATAAGGCTCAATGTACGGAGGCTCCCAGGTGGATGATAGTGTGCAATTGGGATGCGAGGATGTGGAGAAGAGCACGGGCAAGGTTCAAAACGGAGGTGATGGAGTGAGGCACGAGGATGAAGAACGGGGCAGAAAATAGAAGAGGGAGAAAAAAAAAAAAAGGAGGAAGCAGATGGGGCGAGGAGTATCTTACGCGAGCTAGCAGACCTCTCGAGCTATGGAAAAGCGGAGGAGGAAGGTGCAGGCGGACAGGAGAAGGTCGGATGAAGAAGGCGCGAAGGGGCCAAGTCGGGAAAGCAAGAGCGATGGCGCGTGGGGAGCAAGAGCAACAATGGTAAGAAGCTCGATGAGGTAGGTGCAACGGTGGCCAAGAGAAGACTGTCGATGGAAAGAGCAACAACAGGAGATAACGAGAGGGAAGGAGCGAGTATGTTACGAGCGAAGCCGAGTCGTGGAAAGGAAAAGGCGCAATTAGTTAGAAAAAAAGAAATGCTTCTGGATGCTTTTTTTTTCTTGCCGCTACTATTTTCTGCCGCAGTATTTTATTATTTTTCTAGTTTATTTTAAGCTCAGTCCCCTAATTTTTTTTTTCTTTTGCGCTGTCCCATTTACTGCGACCAGTCGGCCTGTTTGCGATTCGATTCGTTCGTTTGGAGTCGCCGCAAATATAGCGTCCGCTGGCGGCCGACTTTTTTGTGATACTGTATTGCTACAGTCAGGGGCTTGAGCTTGCATGTGGCGGTGATCGCGTCTCCCGAAAGCAGATGGCAGGCAAAAAGGGTAAGCGCGCTAAGGTTGAGCGCCGAGAATGCCATCGAAGAAGCATGCTGGCATGGAAGGTGGCACTACCGTGTGCGCCTATGCGGCGGTATCTTATCTGGCACTGTATTGCCCCTTTACTAACCGGACGCGGCCACGTACACTGACGCGCAAATGTGGAAAGGCGATGGGTAAAAGGACAAAAGTGCTAGAAAAGGCACGCTAAGAGGCCCGTCCTGGGCGCGGCGGAACAAAAGCCCAGAAAAGGCCGGAAAATAGCCATTGGGGGGGCAAAAGGGCGCTGGGAATATGGATAGAATTGCGCCCCCATGCTGAGCTTCCGTTTGTCCCTGCTTAGTGGGTTCACACGTTTCCCTTCTTCCAGGCGGTAATGCCTGGTATGCATGAGTAAAAATGGCAGAAGGAAAATGCGCGAACACTAGAACGGAGAGCGGAGCATAAGGTATTGTTTCCATCTGATCCGCCAGGTCGTTCCTTACTGTGCGTGTGTAATATAAAAGACGGAGATCAAGGGGGGAAAAAAAGTACGCAAACGTCGCAGGAACGAGTGTGAGAGGGCAAGAAAACGGGAACCAATGCCCGGTGTCGGCGGCAGTCTGCTCCATTTATATAAGGCGAGTCAGATGGCAGTTGAAGTGCATAAAATGGACCCCAAAAATGGGCTTTGCACAACAGCGCACAGCGCGGCACTCGGAGAAGACGGCAAAAAGAATGAACCCGCCAGAGACTATGAGGTCAAAACGGTCTCAACATCGTGCTCCATAGTTCTCCTTTTATGTGTAAGAGATTTCCGGTAACCACATCTAATCTCCAAAACGGACAGCGCGGTCCGTGGGACGGACATGTCTGAGGGAAAAAGGAAAAGGCCGCAGCAGTCAAGTCGGTGGCCGTACTGGGATTTGCTATTATCCGGTCGGTGGTCATCTGAGCCTCCCCAGCAGACAGACAAAACACACATACATACCGAAGGCCTGAAGATGTAGGACTAATCTCTCAGTATGGTAGTCCGGTCTGCCAGCTATGATATATTTTGGTGATGTCTAGCAATGGTGGAACTGACAACGGCCCTGTCTCTGGCATCTTTAGTCACAAGGTCAAAGAGTAGCACGCTGTATCTGTCCCGGAGATTCTTCATTCGACCTTTTCGTCTCGTAACCATTTTCGTCCGGCAAAGACCATTGCATGTTCCCTTGGACAGGGGAATAAAATTGGGTGGTGGCAATCCGGGCTGTGCCGTGAGACACATACACTTCCCTCAACGAGACACGCATATAGGTCTGACCCACGCGGCGAACGCACTTGTATGGAAGGCTTCTCAACGTTTGTTTGTCTGATTGTTTAGCTTTGGAAATGACTGCTACTTGCTTCGTTCTTGGTAATACTGGCTACGAAATAGATACTTCCCCAGCGCGGTTTCTGTGTGGGGGGGTCTTGTCCCGCGTGTGGACTTGCCTGTTTAGGTATTCCTGTCCCCGACATTCCTCTCGAATCGTGAACTTGAGCCACACCACGCTTTGTGCATAGTTTGCTACAAAGCCTGATGCGTCTCTCCTGATGCTTAAAGGTTGATGGAATTCTCAACACTCAATACAAATATATCTTACCTCGCCTGTTAACCGCCCCAGAGAGGGTGCGCTAGAAAAAGGTTGGCCGGAGTGACTACAGAAACGTATACAGGCGGAGCTGGGGAAAAAGGATGACGATGGATGGAGGACAGGAGAATAACTAAACCGAATGCACAAAACAACTCTGTGAACCGGGGAGTAAAGGGTCGAGCCGGGCAAGTGGCGCCGCAAAGATAGGTAAATGTGGACGGCGCAAGACGTGGCACTTGCCGTGCTCCGTAATATTACGCTCTACGTCGCCCATTCTAGGCATATTTAGACAACAAAACGGGACAGAAACGGTGACAAACTGAGGACGGCATTGTCGGAGGAGCCAAAGTACGGAATAATAAGAGAAAAGACGGACCATTCCCTCGATTGCGTACAGCACTATGACCCAGAAAGAGATGCATACAAGCAATAGAAGAACACTGGCAGTGCGAAGGTTGAGCGCGGGCGCCGGCGGATTGCGGCGCCGCAGGACGGGCTGTGGGAATGAAATCCCACCGCGTAAGATTACGTCCTCTGTTTCCCCAAAAGTGACTTGCGACTTTGCGGCCATGGGGAACGAAATGGCGAAGGTGGCTGTCTACTGTGCCGCATGTAGATGTCCTCGGGGATGGACTCCACTCAACTTTCGGAGAACTGGGCTCTGACCAGGGAGGGAAGGCAGCTCGGGCAGGTTATGAAACCACACAGGAACGATGCTTTTGACCTCTTGCGGAAGCTGCTAACCCACCAGTGCCACCTCACCGTCTCACCGGTGTCTACGCACAGTGGGAGCACAGTATCGGCAATGGTGGTGGCTGATCCCGCAGGTGCGACACACACTGACACTGCCGTGTTTTTCCTTGCCCATCGTCGCTGGTTTCCTAGTTTGGTTCTCAATTGTGCTTTGTACCTGCCGATCGACAGATTTCTAGGCAAGGAAAGAGCCACTGACGCAACCTGGCTGACAAGACACATAATTTGGCCTGTGACAGCATTGTCAGCGACAACAGCAGTCCGGCAGCCAACTTTTCATGCTGGAGCGCCCTAGTTTCTAATTTCTCGCCCTCTTCTGCTCGTCACAACATCCCAGGTCGATTCCCTCTGCCCTAGCTTCCGGATACCAGAGTCCCACCTTTTTGGCAGAAGCCCTTCCTCTCCTCCAGGCCCCAGCTTTCTCCTCATAACAGCGTCCCGTAGCTTGTTGATAGTGCGCCGCATCGCGCCGGTTTTTTATCGAGCCTCCTCAGGCGTCTGCCACCCAGCATGCATATTCACCGCTTCGGGTATACTTTGTACTTTTGGAGTTCACTGCCCCGTTTACTAGATCGCGCTTTTGCGTCCTGGCATGTGGGGAGGCTGCGGGAGCAAAGAGAAACCTCGGAGAGGAGAGAGAACACCTCGGAAGTTGGTTTAGAGAGAGGAGCGCAAAGACCGAAAGCTTTGTTTTGCACAGTAAGGGAGTTGTCCCTTATTGTGCATCGAGAGGTTGCATTGTTAAGGACGAGTTGCATATGACGGGACACTTGCCAATTCAAACACTTTGTTCACAACGCTGTGCTAGTGAGAGAAGTTCAAGACAGCTTAAAACTCCACAATATCGACAAGATTGAGGCACAAAGAAACCCCCACGTCTACCAACCAGACCTTGCTTCGCCATCCCGCGTCTGTCCACCATCTTGCGTGCTTCTGTCTATCAGTGCCAAGTCACTGTTTTTGTGGAAAGCTGCACAGGCAACAAGGAAACACCACAATTCGACGTAGAGTTAGTCTTACGAGATGGAATTCCAACTCAAATAACAAAACACGGTGAGCGTATTGCAAATTGGGTAAAAGTAACTCGTATTAACCCCTTCTCCCAAGGCGTCGGCAATTTTCACCTCCCTGAGACTCTCACAATCATAGAGTCGGTGATTCAGAACACCATTCCACCCCCTTCCTCTGCCGTCTTCAAGGGTTTATCCGCTCCAAAGACCGGACAAAAGAGAACATGGCAGGAAACGCAGTAGCCTTCATAGAAACAAACAGTATGAAAAACAGGCACAAGGCAATGGAGAAGCAGGTATATAAATAAGATGTAAAAGAAAAATTATCGTGTCTCATACAGTCATCAAAAAGAGTGAACGAAAAGGCCCCTAACAAGACAGTTCTATGGGTTGGGTATGTTTGCGTGAGCCTGCGGGAAGACAATAACGACCGCCTCGGGGCAAGTGGAATGTAGACAGAGTGCCATAGGCCAAGTCCGAACAATACAAAAGGAAAAAAAGTAAACAGACAAGGCAGATGATGTATAAAATAACCATCATGCATACAGGCCAAAGCAACACCGTTGACACAAGAAACGCCACAGTCGCATACCTTGACCAGTAACAACATGGGGAAAGAGAGAAGGCGGTCGTGAGGAAAGAGAAAGGCATCTACAACCTGCTGTCGAAACACGCAGCAAGTCGCAAAAATATGCAAGAGTCGGTTGCTGACACGCCGCCAAAGTGTTGGAGGGTGCGAAACGTGAGAGACGCAAAGCACGGGGCAAGAATCAACGGGGCGCGACGCGCTAACCTTTGGTCGACATGGGTACTCGGTATCGTGGAATCATACAGACTCTTCTCAAGCTTTGGCGTAAATATGCATCTCCTGGTGCGCGTTTGAGCAGTCGGAAGGGGCAGCCACACTGGTGTCGACATCCAAGTCCGTCAAGGAGTCTGTGAACGAAAGGTGGTGGCGGCTATGATGATAGGCTTGCAGCGGAGGCAACTGGTAACCCCGGCGGATCTCGTTCTCCACATAGACTGCAGCTCTCTTGAACTTAACATGAGCATACTTGTCGTAAACAACAGCATGGTGTGTGCCGGGGTGGCGACAACAGTGAAGGATCGTGTTTGCCAACGGGCGGACCTGGCTCCATGTGTAACCAGAGTAATGAGTGTGGGCCGAGGACTAAACAACAAACAACCGCTGTTAGTACATTTACATCGCAATCCGGTCAGGAGGGGAATGACGCATTAGAATTCAAGGCACATACCCAGTTACCCTTGTACAGCATCATCCGGGCCAAGCAGTGAGCACCTGCTGCCAAAAAGCTTGGCGGGCAGGCAACAAAGCGCTCGTCCATGACAGTGACCTCGAGGAAGTACTTAGCAAGCGTTCGTGTGTCCAAGTCATACTCGTCCGCTTTGCTAATACGACGGAGGAAGCTCATGGGGCCCGGCCAACCCAGCTCAAAGCCTAGCATGCTAAGCATGAAGCGTTCGGCCTTAAGAATCTCCTCCTTCTTGTAGCCGCCATCGACCATGTAAATGATTTCTTCGATTGAAGGGCAGATAATCTCTTCGTATTTGGCAGCGATAAAGATTGCTGTGGCACCGACCAGCTGCAGCTTAGCCACAGATACGATTTTCGTTGACAGGAAGCGGTCGACGTAGTTGACTGTAAGGAACAGCGTTTCCGGAAGGAGGTTAAATCGCGAGTGCACCTGGATGAGCCACTCCATGAGCACCGACCGCATGGACCACTGGATCTCCGTCTGCTGATCCATGTAGTGTGCGCTCGGGAGCATCCGAAGCTATACATCATTCTTTGTAAGTCTGCTGCTCAATTTGATTATCGTACCAAGGAAGTACTCAAGACACCGATGAAACGGAACGTACCTCAAGCTCCCTCATGTAAGCGTTGATATCGTCTCCATACTCGGCGACCATGCTAATGTCCCATGCTTCATCGTCAAGCTCTTCAGGAATGCCGGCCTCCTCGACAATGGCCCGAGCCATGTCCAGCTCGTTCTGGATCTTAGCAGTCATCTTGGGCATGACAACGGTCGTCAGCGCTCCCGTGGTGGTATCACCCAGAGACCGGAAAGAATGTGCCGTCGTGTAGGCCTGGTCGTCGTAAAAATCGGCGTCATCATCCCACGGCTCCTCCACTTCAGACATGGCACTGGCCATGGTAACGGCAGGCATGCTCGACATGAACTCGGCTGGTGTGGGCTCAACCAGTCGCACGTAGCTTGCGTGGTCCTCGACGGGATGAAGGTGTTCTTCCGTTTCGAGGACAGCAGCTTCGATCTCCTCGCGAAGGCGACCAATGTCATCGTCTGAGCCATCCGAGAGAGGTGGCAGGCTGGTGGGATGAAAGTTTTCGACAGCATCGACAAAGGGAGCTTCGTTTGCATCACCACCATCGTTGCTGTGCACAATGCCAGGAGCAACACTGTGGCCACTGTCGACGACGTTGTTGCACGACTCCTCAGGCTTGCTCATTGGTTCAGCAATCGACTGGGCGATTTGCTGTTCGATGGATTCGCTTTCAATGATAGGGCTGTGGGCAGCACTCTTGTCGGCATCTGCAAACACAACAACGTCCATGAAGTTGCTCCTATCAATAGGAAGACGGCTCAGTGTTCTTCGGAGGGGCTTTTTCTGCTGCTGAAGCCCGTCTGCATTCTTGAGACATGGCTGGCTCTTGCTATGGCGAGGGCTCCTCTTAGGCTTGTCCCACTTAGCAATGGCAGAGTCCGCAGCGTCATCGGCATTTATGGCGACCTCAGGTCGGGCCACGGCTGGTGCGCCATCAACGTGGACATCCCGGCTGGTAACAAACGTTGCCTTGCGGATAGCACCGATTTGCGTCCTGCCCGTGGGCTGGACTGTACCTGTTGCATACATTTGCACCGGGGCCGGAACCTGCCGCAGAGGATTCTGAGTATTTGCTTGAGTGATTGGAACCGACGAGATTGGAGCGATGCTGTTGCGTGGCCGCTGGGCCGGAGCCAGAAAGCCATTGGTGGACGCCGGCTGGCCAACAGTGTCTTTGGCATGTGCCGGTGGCGGGGGCGCTGGCATAGGTGCCGTCGAGACGAGACCAGCTTTGTGTCCGTCTGCGACTGTGGCGGCTTTGAAGCCATAGACAGCGGTGTTGCTGTCGACATGTCTCACCACGTTGCTGACGTCGCCAAAGGCAGTCCGCTTGGTTGCGGGCTTAACCGGCATGACGCCGATGTCCTTGAGGGCATCCTTAGAAATAGGGACGCCAGTCGACTTTGTCCGCTGATGGTTGTTCGCGAAGGCCACGGGGGCCATGTTCTCATTAGTTATGGTTGAATTTGCCCGGAAGGTGCGCTGGGCCGGCTAACGCGAGAGAGAAGACATGTTAGCTGGATACACGCAAAGAGAGGCTACAACCTAACAAGGCAGCGCAGAAATAAATGAGAATATAAACGCCCGCAAAAGTTGAAAAGTAAAACAAGAAGCCTTTGCATGACAGTCCACATATGTAAAAGGGGCATTTCTCGGTGGCACAGGTGCGGCTGTCGTCCGCCACAAAGACGAGTACAAGTTCCATTTCGCTCGAGAAACGCACAGTAAGATCTGAACAAAGGAAAGAAAAGGACTCTTGGATGCAAAGAAAGAACAGATGCATCCGATCCAAAGTACAGCAGAGAATTTGTTGAACATACCTTGGCGTCCATGGTGGATGGTTGTTTCGTGAATGGAGAAAAGAATGAAGAAAAATAGCTGGCAAGACAATGCTCCTCTTGGGTGGGATTAAGTGATAACCGCCGAGAAAGAGATACGTGGCAGCCAACGCGCAGAAGGCGATGGTATTCGAATATGCTTGTCGATGTTTGTCGATGCTTGATGCTGAGGATAGTCTCGTGTAATGGTGCTGTAAAAAGACGCGGTCCGGATGCAACAGAATCGAAGCAGCGTGTGCCCGGCTGGGTCGCGTCTAGCTAAAAGGGAGGAGCAACGCCTGACACCGGGGAGGTTGACGATGTCGACGCTGGACGAAACGACGCGTCTCTCGATAATTGCTGTACCAGTTCTTCCTCAATTTGTCGTTTTGCATGTATCTTCGTATCTTCGTTCGTGTGACAATGAGAGAACCGTCGAGCAGAAAACCCGCGTTGCTCACAGCGATACCGACACGCCTCGAAGAACGAGCGAGAGTCACGGAGCTGCGAAACGGAACGACATGGGAGAAGCGAAGAAAGACGCAAGCGTAAGGCGGCGAGATGCTGCGTGTTGTCGTGAGGAAAAGCAACAACACAAAAAGCAGAAAAAGAAGCAGAAAGCAGAAAAAAAAATACCGAAAACGAAAGACGAAGACGAGAACAATAAAACAGAAAGATTTGAGAAGGGAGGTACGGGAGGCGTCTGGCAGGACAACAACAAAAACAAAGCGATGCCAGCAGGAAGAGAAAGAGACAAGGGTGGGGCAGAGGACGGGAGGATGTCAGCTTGCACTGTAAACAAGAAGGATGGACCCAAAACAAAGTAGGAAAATGGGAATAGATCAATAAAAGAGCAAATGGGAGGAGCAGAGACGACGACTGCTGTCAAAGAAGGAGAGTGCGCGAGACACAACAGAAAGAAGCAAGATACTGAGGTAGACAGGGAGAGCTGCAAAGGGGAAAAGGAGAGGCTCGAAATTGCAGCTATTGTTGTTGTGGTCTAGCGTGCAGGCAGGTCAGAGCAGGAACGAGGCAGAGGTCCAGCACGAATGGGGCGTGTCAGAAAGCTTTGGGCAGGCGATGAAATGAGGAAAGAGCCACAGGAAGGCTAGAATCAAAACAAAGAAGGTGCGATGGAACTTGCTGGGGTACGCAGCAAAAAGGGCCAATTTTACGTGCGAATGGAACCGACGCTTTCTTTGCTGTTTTTGGTGGGTGCCGTTCCTGCCTGCCCAAGAAAGAGTGACGGAAAGGTCGCGCCTGCCCTGTCTGGCTGCCAAACACTTCCCAAAGCAGACAGAGCAAGAAATGCGTCACCGCCAGATCATCAAAGTGCGAGGCTCTGCATCTTTGCTCACATTTCCCTCGCCTTTTGTTCACTTTGGCGCACCTTCCACGCTTCGTTCTCGTGTGTTTACATTTGTTATTTGTGACCACTGGCTGTGTATGGCCTTTGTTTACTCCGCATGCTATGGTGCATAAACTTATGGACACCGCCTGCATAAATACGTCGTAGTGCCTGCCTTTGTTGCCGTGGTGCCGGGCTGCATACGGACAGCTTCGCGTGTCAGTGGTGGGCAGTTGGGCGAGAATGAGAGGCCTTGCGACGACCAGCCATTTTTTGCATGGACTCCCGGGGCCCCGAATGGACTCCCTGCGCGCCGTGCGAGTGTGGTCATCATTTGCATCCACGACACACCCTTCCGATTAAGCGAGAAAGCCAAGCACCCCCAAGTTCCAGATCAAGAAAGATTGACAGACGGCTGGCTCTTCAAGAGACGAATGCGAAGCATCCTGATTTTTCGTCTTTATTTCGGTTGTCCTTTTTTGCGTTATTTATTATGCAGCATGCCAATGAAGAATGCGTTGCGACAACAGTCGAGAGACACCTCATAGTTTCAAGCATTGGACTTTTTTGTTTTTGTCGCATTTCCAGATAGTTGGTATTACCCCTGCCAATGATTCTCGCTGGGGGCAGGAAGGCAGGTCCCACTGAGTGTTTGTTTACGACGTACGAAGTATGTGTTTATTGACCACGGTGCTCTACGCATCGCGATTGGTCCAGGCCGCAGCTGGGGCTAGTGTTGTGGCTGTTTCGTCTGCTAGCGTGGCTTCGTAAATTTTATGGTCTGGGCTGGCTGGCGGCCAGCTGGCAAGCGCCCTGGTCAACTGTCTGTCCAGCATGTGCGGAAAGGGAATAATCCGTGCCGGTGACGTTATGTCCCTTGTCCTTCCGTTCCCGATCTTTCGTCAACGTGCGCAGTGCCTAAACGGACTAGGGATGCCCCACATAGATCGAACGTGGCACTGCTTCTTTCCTCTTTGAGGCTCTACAACAGACCCCGCACGGGCCAGGTCGCGTCTCCCGGCAGCTTTAGAATTTTGGAAAAGAGCAAAATCTGCACTTCAAAAACAGAATTACAAAATACGAAATTGAAACACAAAAGCAGCGAATTGTAGAGTTTCAGCCGTACCAATAATTCCGTAAAAATTGTATTCGTTGTGTTGGAAACTACGCGTCGGGCCGGAACGGCGCCAAGACCGTCGGGTTGCAGCGGCAAAGCGCCACACTGACACGAAGTCACGTGTGAACTTTAGCACCAAGATCTCGGCTCTTTTTTAAGTATCTTGCGCAGTTTCAATTAAACTCCCTGTTCGGGAAGTCTTTGGCTGCACCGCGCTGCAGCCCCCTGTGTCTGTCTTAGGGGCGGCATTTTGGTTGGCTTTGGGCGGCCAGTCCCCTCAGTCCATCAACAATCGATCCATCCTGCAATTTACCTCTGCTTCAATCCCCGAGCGGCTACGCGAATGCGATTGTATCGGAGCTACTGTCTCCATTTCCGCTTGTCATTTGTCGTAATTATCTGCCCCCCTTTGCCCTTTCCAGATCGAGAAAACATCATTTCCTGCGGTCGATATTTCATTTCGCATTTGCGCGCATCGCCCTTTGGAAGCGCCCTGCACGACAATTCTATCAAGAGTTCTTTTGGGCGGCATTCCCGGTTGTCTGGTGTCTTCCGTTCTTCTCATTCCTCTTGCGAACCCATCTCCACCGCCTTTATCTCACCGTCGCGCGTAGTCTGCGCCCTGACAGGGATTTTCGGGCTTCGGTTTTTTTCTTGGTAATCGCCTCTACCTTCCCCGCCTTTTCCTGCCTTTGTCCGCTGCCGCCGCGCAGAAGCAGCGCGCGCGCAAACTGCGCAAACTGCGCCACACCTTCATGCGAGCCAAAAAGAAAACGGAAAGAGGTGAAGAGCGAAATAGATGTCACGACCCCATCTCCGGTGAACTGGCAAAGAATACCGCGTGGCAGCGTCGCAAACTGCAAGGCACACCAGACCCCGGCATGGCCAGACCCGTTCCTGCCCTATTGAAGCTGACCGGCTCTTTCCCCGTCAGATGTTGCGACTTGCGACTTTCGTCTCACCGTTTCACCGTTCTTTCCTTACGATTGGCCCTCTAGCTATTTGCGACAGCACCTTCTCTTGAATACTGCGGCCAGCTGTAGGCGGCCCGGCGCAAATCGCCAATGCACAAAATAACTGCCACAGTTTTCGGCCTCTGCCACACTCCCAGCACAGTGCCTGAGGGTCTGGATTTGCGACGTTTTACGGTCCAAGAGGGAAAACAAGAAAAACTTGTTTGCACAGAGATCCACCGCCTTCTCCTCTTTCGAGGTTGCGCATGACTATGAGTGTACTTTGTGACATTGCTCCCTTGTCTCTCGTTTCTCTTTAGGTAGAGCGTCTGGTCTGCTTTTCGCATCCGCAAACATCAAGCGCGACGCGCTGGCCTCAACTACGAGATTTCCGACCGCAGGATCTCATACTCATTTCACAAACGTCAGCCGGAAGCCAATAGGTTTCCTCGTTCCCAAGCTTTCCTTCTAGGCGCAAGCAACGTCTCGCTGTCGCATGCGGCTGGAAATACGCGGCAAGGATTGCCGACAGGGAGAAGGCGATGGGGGACAGGGGAAGCGCTGACTGTTTGCCGCCAGCCTTCTTTGCGCAGTTAGATACTGTCGTTGTTTCGTCTCACATTCGTACATAGAAAGAAATGCACCGAGGTAAGCTCGCCGTAGTCTGCCAGGAGAGTACAAATACAACAAAGATGGGCTTGTAATGCACTGCCTCTGTCGCCCCAGCACTCGACACTCCCAGTCAGGGGGCCATTGCGCCCCTTGCAAAGCAGCGGAGAAGAGAGGCCGGATCAACTACCGCGACGAGCTCGGCGTTGCGTCGCTCTGAGCGTGGAACCAATTCAGACTGGAAGGACAAGACAAAGCGGTACGTGTGCCATGCGCCGTCAGTCAATAGACGGGGAACCAGTGGCGAACTGTTCTGTTCAGAAACGAGCACGATTCGACGTGCCGTTAATTTTTATTGTTCGTCGTCATCCCCCAACCCCATGGCCAGTCCTGACAGCCCGTTCTTGTCTCTGCCTCGGTCCCTTCTCGTGATCGGCCCCTCGTCTCGTGTTGAACACATCAATTACCCGGAATTTCCAAGAAACACAGAGGGAGAGCCAAAGCGTAACACACCCTCTTGCGGTGCAGCAACGTCCGTCGCAGCGGTAGATAGAGGCGGGATAGAAAGTCGTTGGAAAAAAAAGAGCAGTATGCAGTTCGTGCAGAGTGCGCGCCGTGAACTGGGCTACGCCGGTTGCCAACGCAGCGAGCTCTGCGGGCGCGACAAACATGCCCTCTCGGCAGCGACAGGCAGGGACGCTGGCGAAAAGGAACATCTGTTGGCCTGGTCAGCATGGACAAGGAAAGGCATTGCGACTGCGACCCCCATCTTGTCCATCCAGCTGCGTTGTTGCGAGAGAGCGGTGACGAGCAGCGACGGCGGTGACGACCCTTGCAGAAGGGAACAGCACCCAAAAATACAATGCTTTCTGCGCCCGCGCCCAACCCATCAGGGTGCGCCAGGGACGTATCTGCGCTTGACTACAACATGCCAATGCACATAATAAGCAAAGGATGCGTTTATAATGTGCCCCCAGAGAACGTGTGAGTGGGTTTCTGGATGCGCGGTCGTCCGCAAAAGTCGGCCACCGTTCTTTGCGGCCTTGTCCGTGCTTGCAACAAACAATCTCTGTGGTCTTGCGATGCACCCTTTTCCCGCCCCTAGCGCAGTGGCGGCGGGCCAGCCTAGCCTGTGACAGTGCAAAAACCTGCGACGTGCAGAGTCGTGGCTCTTGGCTTTGGAGCAGTTCAACGGACGGCGGCGCTCTGGCGCGTGTACTCGAGGTTTATGTTCATCTTTTATGCTTTTCGTTTGGTCATCTTCGGTTTCTGTGGAGTTCGCAGACGTTGTATATGTACACTCGTGTCTCCTTCGGGTCACTTGCCTTCTGTCCGGTTGTCTGCATTCCACGTCGATGCGTCGGGGGAGATTGCGCTCAAGTATGGTTTAGCCTGGCTGACCTGGTGGCCTGGCAGGGCGCCTGGCCTCATGTCTCTTGGAACAATTTGTGCCTGGGAAGCATTGGCTGATCGCATCCCGATGCGCCGTGGGACGGCCATCCAGTTTGTTGTTGCTTCCGTCTCACGAACATTGTCTGGTCCCTGACTGTTTCTGGTCCAGCTGGTCTGGCCGCACCTCCACACTCTTGCTTTGCTCCCTGCCTCTCGCCAGGCCAGATCTCGTCCGTCTCTGTTCTTCAACTGCCACGATGGGCTCCGACTGGTCTGGCGGCAGTCTTTGATTCGACGGCCGCATCGCACCTGAAACGGGCCACATGCGCTGGCAAGTGGCCGCTGACGGGCCCCCCAGCGCGCGTGTCTGCTCCCTGGATTGTGCATTCGTGAAGACAAAGCTCGAGCTCCAACATGGGGCCGTTTGTCTATTGTTTGCTCCTTAGCTCTTTCCCCCTCGAAAAGATTCCAAGACGAACACCTGCCATGTGAATTCTCGTCGTACAGCCAGGCGCTCTTTCCCATTATGAAAGCATTGTCGCTTCGTATCCTGGCAAGTTTTACTGCAGTGGTCTAAGTGGGTCCGCCCACAGGAGTCAATGGTCTCTCGCCTTGCCCCAATGGACTGACCATGGACAGCGCAATGGCCGGAAGAGCACTCATGCTTTGCGTAGCGTGCAGAGACATACCCCCGTAAAGCTCTGAATCGCGAGGCCGTTGATCGCACTCGCTCTTAAAAGTGGTCGTGCATTTTGCTGCTCTTTCCGACCCTTTGCGTTCTCGCGCAATGAAACACCTCTTCCTTGGCTAATCTGCGCCTGCCATTCACGGTGTGGTGCGCAATGCTTCTGCCGCTGGAGGGGGGGAAGGAGCGGCATGCGCGCGACCAAAAGAGTGTATACGGTGCCGATTCGACCGGCAGGAACTGTGCGACCGGGAACGGGCGAGGAAGGAGAGAAAACCGTGACTGCCCCAAGAGAAGTGTTGATGAGTGTTGCGAAGTCGCATTCCTGTACGATTTAGTCACTCCAGCTTCGAACCCCTACTTGCCTTGCTGCCTCTTTGCGTGTCTGTCCTCAAAACAACAATATCGTCATTTGTGCAAAAGCTGGCGGCCTAGTCGCATTTGTTCTCGTGCTGACGACGACGAAGACCCCTTGGCCAGGTTGGAGAGCGACAAATTGGCAAGGAAGGCCACAACCAATGCCGGCGCAAATCGTACAGTAAGAAGGTAGACAGTCGAGCCATTCCGCATCCCGTCCATAAGCAGCAATCCTGGCCTTCGTAGCGTACAGTATGACTTGTCCATTCAAGAATGTCTTCATTGTCAATTCCGATACTAAAATACCAACAAGGTTGCACCAACCCCAACAACGAAGCTGGGCTGCACGACGAAAAGCCGACAGTGCCATCATCGAAACATGAAGAACCCTGGTCGCCCGTTTGGGTTTAACCCGCTTCTGTCGCTCATTTTCGCTCACGGTCAGGACACCGTGAGGTGTGCAGCCTTTGACGACTCAACCTGGCGCATCATCTGCCTTACGCCATTGGCTACGCCTTGTTCTCCCCCTCTCTCGCGCCAACCCTCCCGCACGCTTCGAGTGGTCCCTCCTCGCTGTTACGAAGCATTGGACATTCTGTGCACGGTCTGGTACGGTCATACTTTCCACTGCGTTTGTCTTTGTCTTGTTGTCTCCCATGCCCGTTCCGACCATGCACACACACCCGCTCAAGTCGCACGACGGTCACTAGCGACGATCCTTTCTGCAAAGACTGTGGACAGTAGCAATTCAGACAGCCACGGCGGCGGCCTTGGCGACGAAACCACACCATCCAATGCTTTCCATATGCTGTAAAAGTAAGACCACAAAAGACCGCCAGGGCAGGGCCGGCTGTGCTGGCAAGTTGAAGCCTATTGCCATGGTGTTTTTCACCAAGCCTTGTCGCTTTTGCGCATCGTCGCCGCAGAGCGCTGTGGACCTCATGTTCTCTGCGACCAACATCGCCCCCAGAATGCGCTCGCGCAGCTCTAGCGTCTGCGAAAAGCAGCGACCAGCGACGATCCATGGCCTGGGTAAGACAATGGGGGTGTGGCACCACTATTGGGAGGCCACTGCGAGGCGGTCTAGGGTGCAGTCGTTTTGGCTGTACCTTTGCCATATTGCATTCTTGCTCGTCGGGCGTGATATGTACGTCGTAGACCACCCTCGTGAGCGCATTGGCAAGATAATGTAGCTGGTTCATACAGGCTGCGTATGCCAAGCCACCACCTCGATCGCAACGTGATGTACCGCACACATGGCAAAGTACATCTCCCATGCTCGTTTTGCGACAACCATACGTCGACACCATCGCCTTCCCAGGACGTTAGTCTCGTAATCATGCGTTTGTCAAACATCTAGCTGCCTTGTTTTCAGTGCTCTGCGCTTGTTTTCTCCTCCATACGAAGTAGTTCTCGATAGGCACGGCTGGCCGGCGGCTCACGGAACGCTTCAGCACTAATCCACAATGCACGGAGCTGGTGTATGCACTCCGATACGCTACTGCGTCAGATTGCCCACTGCCTCCAGCAGGTGCCAGTCGCCAGCCGCCACTGGGCGTCTCCTGTCCCAACTGATCCTAGGGGCTCGTGTGGGAAGCGGATGATCGTCAACAAATTTCTGTACATCGCATGTCGTCCCGAACAGACAACATGAACACAATGGGCACTGTAGACACAGGTGCATCGCGAAGGGGCCTTCTCGTCCTATTGAGCGCACCTGCTTGCTGAATGGGGTCGGCCAAGATGGGAAGGACTGTACTTGGTTCCTACCATTTATGGCTTCCGTTCTTGCCTATCCACGAGCTAGTCTCGTGCTGGTGCTGAGTGATGCTGGCGGTACTTTCCCAACTGGGCGGCTACAGCGGCCACCCACGCTAGTCTCCTGTCAGGGAATGGCTGCCCTGAAACCGCCTGTCACCAGTCACTGTAGCTCGCTTCCCTGGGGACCATATGCCCCTGGAGCCTAGCGCTCTGTCCCCTGAAGTGCCAACATTACCAATGTATTCGCCCGCACCAACCGGCAGAAACAGCAGGAAAAAAAGCCTGTCCACCCTAAACCCGCCTAAGCCAGCCCAGGCCCTTTTCCTTCCCCTTGCCGTTCTCGCCCTCTCTCTCTCCTCTTCTTCCCTCTGCCTCACTCTCTCTCCAAACCTCTCCTCCAGCCGACCGACTGCCTTCACCACTCACCACAACAACAGGTAAGCCCGTTTCTCGTCAATTCTGCATCTCGACCCATCTGTCTTTGCATCTGAGGCATCCTGTTTACTTTTTCTTGTCGCAGTGTCGAGTGCTGACTCGTTTTCGACCGACCCTTTGCAGGCCCTGCTTCGTGCCCATTTTTTTCGCTTCGCAGCAGAAAAAAAATCCAGCCAAAATCCCATCGACCTCATGCACGGCGCTGTCCACGCCGCCCACGCCATCGTCTTTTGCATCTGGTATGTTTTTCCGATCATTTCTAAGCATGCGATCACTTCCGACTGGGTTTTTTTGCATTCGCTCTTGTCGACCGCCTCGATCGGCGGCGCTGTTTGCAGGCCTTGTCTGCCAGGCCTTGTCTCGCAGCCATTCTGCTCCACAACCGCCAGCCGGGGCCATCAACGCTCTCGCTTTGGGCCGTTGACTGTCATTTTCTTTGCATCTGTGTCTTTTCTATAGTCTTTTTCAGCCTGTGCTAATATTTTACTCGTTTGTCATCCAGATACTAAAAAGATCACTTGCATCCGCGACTTATTTCAGTCCTCCCATACCGGCCGCTACGGCTGCCTCTCTACAAGCGGTGACGCCCGTTGCCGTGGTCTGACGGCGACGACCAGACGCAACGAAACCAAGAGCAAATACAAACGGACGGAACGACGGGAAAAGACAAGCGTAAAGCGAGACGTCCGGGTGTCTGGCTTTGCGCTCGCTCCAAACAGGCGTCGCAGAGAACAAGGACTAGCAAGGACTGCCGCCCAGGCCGCTCCTTCCTGCCGCCGTTGACTGGCTGGCCCAAAACGCTGTGTCCCAGTTTGCCAACGTCGCTCCTGCCCTCCTTCCATCGCCGCACACATTCGCCGACAGTTCCTTCTTTTTCTTTCCATTCGCACTCTTTCCCTGTCTTTTTGACATACGGCTCCTTTTTGGGCACCGCATTTGTGCAGAGCCTGGACGCTGCGTCCAAAAAAAAAAAGAGTCGGGAACGACAACCGAAACAAAGAATACCCCAACGAACCACCCTTCCCATACACAGCCTTCCACATCTTCTGAAGACGGCGCCTCTGGACGTCGCTTCTCTCTGTCTCTCATATTCCATACAATGGACTACTCACACACGTCTCCTCACATGTCGCCGTCGGCTGCCTCGTCGGCTGCTGTTGAGCCCAAGACGGTTCGGTTTCAGCTGATCTCGCCGGACTCACCGCACACCACGGCTCGCCTGCCCATGCGGGTGCAAATCTACCCCCATGATGCCACAGACTCGATTGTCACTACTGTCAAGAACTTTTATGGCCTGTACTCAAGCCCAACAAGCTCTAAGGGCGTCAGTTTTGAGGACGAGGCTGGCAATACCATGATTGCCCGCTACGAGAACTTCCGCAACAACATGGTGGTCTACGTGCGCGTCATTGAAGAGCCAGCGCTGTCGCCCAGCGGCTATGCCTCACGTAACTACCAATCGCCCCCGGCGGTTGCCCATGGCGCCAACCCGTCTGACCTGCCCTATCCAAATGGCGCGGATGGCGGCCATCCGCCGGCCAATGGGTACTACCCTGGCCATAGCGCTTCGTCGCTGCAGCATTTCCACCACCTACAAGAGCAGCACGGCGAATACATCTCGCGCCCGGGCTCTCGCACGTCGCGCAAGCGCAGTGTGTCGCCGAACGGCAACCGCGGCCGTCGCAGTGACTCGGCTAGCACCAACTCCAAGAACCGCTCGCGCTCGTCCAAGAACCGCCAGCAGTCGGATGCCTATGGCCCCGACAGCATGGCTGGTTACAGCAGCGGCGATGGCGCTCCTGGCTCCAACAATGGCAGAGCAAAGGAGCAGCAGCCCATTGGAAACACCGACATCAGCCTTGAAAACATTGTCGAGGGCGGCCGTCGCAAGCGGGCCAAGTTCGAGAGCTCAGTAAGTCGAATCATTTTTAATTTGCTTTTTGGCGACTGCCATCGGACAGCAATCGTCCCTTTTTATTCGTCGCCATGTCTCCTTGTACTTTTACTAACCGCTCGCCTCGTTTCAGGAACTTCCGCTTTTCGCTCCCCCGCAAATGCCTGCGGCCACCTCAAATCCCTCGGTGTCTCCTGCCCGTCGCTCCGACCAACGTCCTTCCCTTCCCTACGTCCACCCGGGCCAGAACCCCTTTAGCGGTGCTGGCGCCCTGCACTCGCCACAGCACTATAACACACACTTTGGCCAAGGCGGCGTTTACGCCACACCGGGCTCCGACGGGCGCCGCACACGTGCAAGCATTGGCTACCCCCACAACGGTGCTAATGGCGGGAGCGTGGGTGTTCTTCCCACCCCCGATCCAACTGTCAGCTCCATGTCGGAGGAGGACAAGGACGTTGCCATGCAGCTGATGCGCCTCGGTGAGATCTCAAACATCTCCTACGGTCGCACGTCCACGTCCACCCAAGATGATACTTTCAGCGGCCGCGCTGATGCCGCGTCGTCGACCGGTGCGACGAGCGACTCGGAGAGCGAGAGCGACGGTGAGAACAGCGAGGACTATGATGATGGCGAGGAGGAGGTCGCCCCGCCTCACCGCAAGCAGAGACTGGATCTGGATGGGGCCAGCCGCAAGATCTACCAGTCCGTGGAGCCCGCTGATGACGACAACGCCGATACCGATTACAAGGATAGTATGCAGTTGCCTGGCCTCATGGCCGCGCCCAAGCTGAAGAAGGTGACCAAGGCAAACGCTGCCAACGGTGGCGGCCCCAAGCAGGCTCGTCCGCAGGCTACGGCCACTTCCAAAAAGCCCAAGGCCAGCAAGGCCAAGGCTGCCAGCAACACCGTGCAGGTCCCTGGCGCAAACAGCGCGAAGACCCCCACCACCAATGGTGCCGCCAAGAGCAAGAAGGCCAACGGTGCCGCCACTGCCATCAGTGTGCCCATGTCTCCGGCCTCGCTGCCGCCGTCGCGCAAGCTCTCCGTCTCCTCCACCGGTGGTCTGCCTCCCCCTCCTGCCGGGCCTGGTGCCATTGCTGGCCCTGGAGGCGTCGTTGACGAGGACGTTGCAGATCTCTCAAGCAAGCCCCGCTGCCAGCGCTGCCGCAAGAGCAAGAAGGGCTGCGATCGCCAGCGCCCCTGTGGCCGTTGCCGGGATGCCGGTATTCCCGCCGAGCTGTGCATCAGTGAAGACGAGGGCAATGGACGTAAGGGCCGCTATGGCCGGCACATGGGCGTTCCCGTGAAGAACACGGCAGGCGGCGCCTCCTCTACGTCTATGCAGCCGCCGCCGCCGCCGCCACCCCAGCAGCTGCTGCAGCTACCCCAGCAGGCGCCTGTCCCCCAGACGCAACACCACCAGTCGCCGCACAACTCTGTGCCGACGGCCATCCCATCGCCGTCTCACCAGGCTCCGCATATTCAGGCACCCATTCAGCAGATCACGCTGGCGCCACAGCTCCCACAGCTGCAGCAGATCCTGCCGCCTCAGGTGCCCTCACAGCCTCAGCCGGGCCAGCAAGTCAAGACGTTACCCGCCCTTCTCCCGCCGGCTCACATCTCCTCCACGCCTATCATCGCCCCCACGATTCCGGCTCTGATCGCAGCCAGCTCTGAAAAGAACAAGAAGCGCAAGCGGTAAACCGTCTCGCGGGTGTGCATGCATGTCTCTATGTACTTTTTTTTCTTTCACCTTCCCACTGTTGTGTTTCTACTCTGTTTTCTCTTTTTGTTTTCTATGTTTTGACTCCTGCTGTTGGCTCGATTTTTATCTCGGCCCCATTATGCTATGCGAAATTTTTGCGTGTTTGGCAAAGCGACGGGGCGTTTGCGACCTGCTTCGATTCCGATTTCTTTCTGCTTTCATTCTGATGTTTCTTGTTTTCTTGCCTTCAACTTTCTTATATGCCTTTTATTTGCCCTGCTGTCAGGGCGGTCAACGGCCAAAACAGACATACGGCGCAGGTAATACAGATATCAGTCCTCTAAGGAAATGGTACTGTAGCATGTTGCGCCTATTTCTAAACAACACGAACAAATGAGCAAGCAACGGATTCGGCTGGTGTTCACGAGGTGTCTTTCTTACTATTTCCTATATGTCTGGTTTATTATTCCTTTCTTATTGTTCGATTTTTCTCTACCTCCTTGTCTCTCTTATATGACCACGATTGCTCCGTTATCTATCTTTCAAAGTCGGCTTGGACATCAGATCGTGATCTTGTGGAGCGGCCTTGGGTCTACGACGTGCCACAACCACCACCGAACGGCAAAGTGCCTCGAAGAACAGACGCAAGAGAATCGGCGAGAATGAAGCATGCGAAGAAGATCACCCAGCGATCCGAACATGCGGCAGCGTACTCCGCCCAGTCGGCATCCTTTCTAGCTTCACTTTGGCTCTCGTCACATCTCCAATGCAACAGAAGCCATGGTGTGACGGAGAGGACACACGGGCACATACACAAAAAGTACAGTGGCATATCGGTTCTCAGATTGACTCCAACCAAAGCCGGGTGCAAACGAGCAGGATGAGGAAAGAAAAGCTTGTTGTGTCCTATGCTTTTTACTGTTCATGTTCGCTTGTTGCTCTGCTTGAATTGCTTTGTTATATTTCTCACTTCAGGAAAAAAAAGACAGCAACTAAAAAAAAAATGTGGACAACAAACGGGTCCTGGGGTTTAGAAAGTGCGGAGGAAGAAAGCGGAAGACAAAAAAGGTATGGCTTCTTTGAAAGGGTCCAGGACGGAGGGGTGTCTATGGCTTCGCTATTTTTTGCTTTTACTTTTTGTTGTTGTTGGCCTTTTTGTGGCCTCTACTTGCCTTTGTATTTCTTTGTTGCACTTTCGTTTTCGTCACTTTTTACGTCTGCTCCATCTGTACAGTCTGACTATTCGAATCACGAACTCTATTACCATTCCTTGTCGTGTACAGTGTGCGTTTCAAGACCTCATGTTGTCATCCGTAGTGCAGCTCGAGTGCAACTCGTCGCAAAAGAAAACCTACGGATTTACGGAACCGTTCCTGACGGAGGATGTCTAGAGCAGGCCCCGGACTCGGGGATTTGTGATGTACAGGGGATCCCAGTGTCTCCCCTTTATCGTGGTCCGGTATCTTACTTATGTAGGCCATTCATGAGAAGGGGCAACAGTTGTCGTAAACGATTTGCTGACAGCCGTTGTCGGAGAGGGGTGGCCGCAAGCCGGGATGCCGCTCATACGGGTGTACATCGTAGTACTTTCTCCTTTTCTTTTCACATCTGAGGCTGAGGAATAGCTTGCCCCCACCCCTTTCCCCCTGTCGAGTAGTGTTTTCTTCACCGCCGTTCATTTGCGACGGCTTTTTTTTCTCCCCTGTCGTAGCGCGTCGGATGACCGCATGCGGGCGTCGCATCCGCGCTGGTTTTCCGTTTTGGGAGAAAAGACGGAAAGAAAGATGGGAGGTTTGTGATCAGGGCGTCGAAGTATTGTGTATCGTGAATAGCAAATCGCCGTGGCGTTGATTTGGGTTGGGTGCCGAGGTAAGGGGGCAACGGAAGGACGTTCATTCCTTCCACCGCCGTTTTTTGTTGACCGTTGTTGACCGTTGTCGCAGTTGTGGGCCTTCTCATTGGTGCGGGGCATTGCGTCGTTGCCGGATTCGTCACTGTGTGATGGCGGGGTACAGAAATTGTACCTTTATATACTAGCAAATGCCAGCCAAATGCAAGTTACCCGTCTTCACAAGATGCGAGGGGTCATGTTGGCGCGGGGCGTTCCGTCGCATTTTTTGTGGGTCCCACCCGTCTTTTTTTCGACAACTCATTCTGTTTTCTTAATGGAAAATGCGACGCCGGGATTGCGTGCGAGCGAAAGGTTCAAAGCGGAAAGCAGGGTCTCGTTTTGTCGCTGTGTTGCGTGCTTCTCCGAACTCTGCCAGCCCTCTATCTAAATTTACTCTGTTTTACTCTTGCGTTTGTCGAAGTCCGCCAAGAAAGGCTGACATGCCCCAAACAATGAAACCCAACTGACCATGATTGGCTACATGTGAGGACAAGAGCTTCTTGTTCGACATCGAATATGATTTAAAGATCGAGTTTTCTTGCTCCCTTTGATGCTTCCCTTTCGGAAAACTCCACATGTCACTGAAAATTGCGGGGTTTGCAGCCCCCGGGTGTGGCAAGGAAGTGTGGCAAGGAAGCCCTGGTTTTGTTTTGTGCCACGACGGATTCGTGTGAAACAAACTGTTATTGATTCAGACTGTCACTTACAGAGCTTTATAAGAAGACCAAAATCTTTGGGCCGTGGCTTCTGTAAGAGGGAAGGGTGGCTGCTTGGGCCTGGGTTCTTCTGGCTTGCCTTTGATCTGGTAATTAGCACGTGATGGGGCTTACCTTAACTCATAGGGTAGAGTTTATTTTCCGTGCACTTTGAGTGTGCCATCTGTGGGGTATTTTCCTTCGTGTGCGTGCAATGTGTTGTGAAGTTTGATCTGGCAATTCATTCGCTGAAATAAGGTTAAAACATCTTGTATTTTTACTTTAAATTTGTAAAATAAGTATTCATTAATTGAAATTAAACAAGTCGCCCAAAATTAAAGAATAAACACCACAAAATCCATATGAATGACCGAACTCAGTAAACTCGTAGACAAGCCCCGTGACAAGTTCGTTGACAGCCTCGTCGTTGACGAACGTTGAAGCTGTGATGCTGTTTTGTCGCTTGAGCTTCGAACAAGTCGACGAATGAGAAGCGCGGTTCATTGGCTGCAGGTTATGTTTATCTTCTGATTGGAGACCTTTGTTAGCGCGTACCTTAAAATATGGAGACAAGAGTATCATAGGCCAGCCCAATCCGGATTAGTGCATCCCGTCGCATTTTCTGCCCTGATGATGGGAGTGATTATGGAATTAATTATGGAATTAATTTAAATTCGCGCCGAAAATATCGACTTCTCCTCAGGGAAACACTGCACACGGCGACAAGACGTCAACGCGAAGCTGTCGCAGACACGGCCGCCATCGACATGCGCGAGAAAAGTAGCGGAAATGGGCGATGCGAAGCAGGGAGGAGAGGACACAACCTATTGTGTACATGGCTTCTTTGAAATCTCGATGTTATTTGTCATTTTCGGGCCGTGGCATCTAAAATTCGATTTCTATTACGGCATAAACGTGTGGCAACAAAACGGAGTTACCAGGAGACGCAATGACTCGTACATTTGACCTACAACTGCGCCTGGTGGCAACGACAAAAATAGGACAGAGAAAGGGGAAAAAATAAGAAACGGTGACAACGGCACCGTAGCCGACAAAAGTTGCTGCATCGGACTCTACGTAATGTCGCGATCATTTTCCTGTTCCCGTTCGATTGACTTTGCCTCCTTTTTTTTCTCGTTTCTTTCTCGTTCTCGTCGGCAGTCAGTCTGCCCAACGCCGGTTCGCCCAAATGACCACCCACACGGAGGCTTTCCCGTGTGATCTCATGACGAGAAACTGTGGGGATTTTTTTTTCTTCTTCTTTGTTTCTCCCTTATCCGCCGTCTCCCTCGTTGCTCCCCCTTTTACATCGTTTCCCATCTCTTCAAGCACCACCCACTACCTTGCACATTACGATGCAATGTGGACGACGTACAACGAATGCATTCGTATTCGCCGTTTGTCGCCGCTTATCCGTTTCTCGCTCCTAGTCACTCTTGACGTGCTGGGTCTTTGTGTCATACATTAGTGCTAGCGAAGGAACGAAGAACGGTCTGGAACGCGACGCAGCTTGCTTAGCTCTGATTTTTCTGGGCTGACCCCTCCCCATCGCTGTTGTTCGTCTGTTTGCCCCTGTGTCTCTCCCTCGCGCCCTTTCCATTTTCCCCTTTCCTTGTCGTTTTTCTTCTTGTCCCCTTCGTCGTTCGTTCTCACCCGTGGTTGCTTTTCCTTTTCTTTGTGGTTCATTGTCTTTCTGCACACCCCTCCCCCCTGCTCGACCGTGTTGCCGTTCCCAAAGCTACAGCCCACATCGTTGTCAGTCCGAGCACATTACCAAAAGTGCCCAGAAGGAAGGGGGCCAGGTCTGGTCGAAGGCCGAGATCTGTCCGGCTTGCGTTCTGTTTACTCCGTATTCTCCATTATTTTATCATATTGTTTTCGCGCGCTTTTTAGTGGTCTCTGCCCCTGACCTCGAAGGTCCCTCGCATTTTTCAGAAAGCATCGCATCGTGAGCTCCTGTTTGTCGATTTTTCTGCTTCGTTTTCGCGCGTCCATGGCTTGTTTTGCTTCGCTTTGCCCGCTCACTCTCCCAGTTGTTTTCGCACGTTCTTTCTTGTCTCCTCCCTAGGAGTGCACCCGACAAACACCGGCTCACCCACCTCTTCGATAATAATTTCCTTGTCTGTTTTTCCCTTGATGGTGCATGCGCTGGCGTATGAGCTAGCACTCTGTCCCCTTTTTTTCTCGTCCTTGCATTTTTTTTCACCGTTCCTCTTGGTTGCTCTCTTACTCTTCCTCGCTGCGACCTGATCTTTCTCTCTCCCATCCCCACATACCTCGCCTTTCCCCGAGGGCCTACACCCTTCCTCCCCTCCTTCTCTTCCTCTCCCACTCCGTCCACCCCCATCCCCCCAGCATCTCTCTGGCACTCACGCCAAGGATGTTCACGATGTTATTTTGTCATTTTTTTCATCTCCTCGCACCCCCGGGGTTGGGTATTTTGCGTGTTTTGCTCTTGCGCAATCCACCCTCGCCATCCAACACCATCGTCTGTCTCGCGCACGATGTATCCCCTCTTGTCCTGTGTCTTGTCTCTCTCGTCATTTTTGTCTTTCCGTCTCCCATTGCTTTACTATCTCGCCCTTTCCTGCCAACCCCTTCCCCCCCTCCCATCGAATACGGGTACACCCGCCGTGCTCATACATCTCCGTTGTCGGTTGTGAAAGAAGAGGGTATCGGTGAGCACTGGTCCGCGTGTGATGAGCCGTGGGCCAGAGAGCGACCACGATACTCTCCTTCGCGAGCTATCCGCGTCCATCTAAGCCCATCATCGTGGACGTCGTGACCATCGTGACTTTTGTGGCCCATATTGCGCATTGTCCACGTTCTTCATCTCACGTTAGTTCTACGACCTACGTTGTGGACCTGGACAAGTGTCCCAAGTGTCTCAAGTATCCAAGGATCTAAGGGTCCAAGTGCCCGCAGCTGCCGAGCGTGGACCTGCCAAAAAGGTAATGGCCAGCGGCGATGCGTTAGCCGGGATGAAGGATCGTGAACTTTCATCCTCCCCCCTCGGTCTCTTACTACTCGCCTTTCGGGTCAAGACATATCCGACAGTCGAGCGACAACGGGATGGATCGAGCCAGCTGACGCGAAAAAATTGATGGAGATGACACAAGAAAAGATAACAGAAAACAGAAAAACCGAGAAAAAATAGAAAAAAAAGAGGACAGACAAAAAAGGCAATAGGAGAATGGTGGATGTGCAGTCGATGCGGTGTGAAGAACTTTGCTTAAGAGAATGAATGGAAATCCGGATAGGAAGGGAGTGAAGGATGGCCTCGAAGGTTCCCGGAAAGCTACCAGGAGAGTCAGAAGGCCAAGGGAGGTACAAAAAACAAGAAACAAGAAGAAACAAGAGACAATGAGAAACAAGAGACAACAAGACGCAACAAGAAACAGCAAAAGGCAAGACAAACCATAGCAGGCGACGGGATGCAGATGCCGATCAAGGGATGGTCTGGATGCCTTGCAACGGCCGATGCTGACAAGCGTTTGCGTGGTGCGGCTCCTTCTATGATGTTGAAATCTCTTTACAGGACGGGGTACATTTTGAATTTGCCTCCTTACACAGCCACCTGGAAGTACGATCTTAACGTGGGAAAAAAGTTTCTTTTCTAGGATTGAAGGCGAGCAATGACAAAAAAAATAGACAACAGTGACAACAAAAAACAAAAATAAAAAACAAAATGCCTACGACAGGCAGTTTTCTGCTGCTTGCTTTTTAACTTATCGATGCATTTGCCCGAGTCTTCACATTCTTTGCCTCCCACGCCGACTGGCGAGTACCGCTCAGAGGTATTGCGTGTCCTCTTCCCATGGGCCCAGAATGGTAAGAAGACCCATTGCCCGGCCCGAAGGTTCTTGATATGGAAAGCTACGAGCGCTTCCTAGTGCCGTTTGGTTGCCGTTTGGGAGCGAGCTCCATTAGACTTGTCAGGGTCCAAAGCGTTCCAGAATATACGGCTCCAACGACGCTCCTCTTTTCGGCTCCTCTTTTATTGTTATGCCCTTTTTTCGTCGCCGTCTTTCATGCTACGCGCCCGCGGCATCCATCCTTTGTCTGACTCTACCCCCTCGCCGTCCAACTATCGTGACTTTTGTCATCACCCTCCCATCCGCGTGTCCCCTACTTTTTGCTACGACAACGCCCTCCCCCCATCCCTTTTGTCTTTTCTTTTTCGTTTTATACGCCCTTATGCGTATGACCTAGAGTCAGCCATGTCCGAGGAACGGAAAGCACGAGGGAGGATGGTGGTGGTTCATGATAGACTGACATTGCAAGGGGATGGAATGACTGCAGATACGGATCAGAAACAGGCAAAAGAAAAAAGAAACGAAAGGGAAAGAAAAAGTGGATGGCGGTAGATAATGGACGCCTCTTTCTCATCTATAAAGCCCAGACTCCTGGATGCCCATATGATGATCCTTTTGTTGATCAACTCTGGTCTAGACGGGAAGAAAGAAGACAAAAGAAGCAGACGAAGTTTTGGATTTAAATTTTATTGACTATAGAACGCCTCTGAATAGAAGAAAAGAAATCTATTTTGTCCTTGACGACCATCATCACCACATTTTCGCGTTTCTCACATTTCTCCCATTTCTGCGCTTTCTGCACTTTTTGGCACTCTCAGCCACTCCCCTTGCCTACTAACAAGAATCAACATACAGACAACAGACACTTCTTTCCACCGTCTTACGGCCCACTTGTGGACAGATATGGAGACGAGCAACATCACCGAGGGCAGACTGCTAAACAATGCCTCAGCCATCACCCTCGTCGACGAGGCTGGTGATGTTGCCATTGTTGTCGCCAATGGCGATGCTGTCGATGCTGTCGATGCAGACGAGCTCGAAGTACCCGACGTACCTGAAACGCCCGAAGAGCCCGACATGGATGGCATGGCCGACGACGATCTGGACGCATTCACGCCGACCACTGAGGTCGAGGTGATGTTCTTCCCCGTCGGTTCGGCTGTAACGCTCAAGGACGACGGCGAGGACGCCGCCACGAAAACGGACAAGGCGCACGAGAAGACTGCGTTTGTCGACGCCGAGGCCGCCCTTGCATCTGTTCCCACCAGTGAGGCCGCGCTTCCGTGGATCGCCCCCGACGGCGGCGCCATTGCCTGGTCCCAAGTCGTTGCCGGCTTTCTCCTCAACACCATCGCCTGGGGCACCTCCATGATGTTTGGCGTCTACCAGCTTCACTACACGCAGACCCTCGGCCTCGACAGCGGCGCCGTCAGCTGGATCGGCTCCGTCCAGACCTTCTTGACCTACTTTGTCTCGACCGTCTCTGGCCTGCTGGCAGACGCCGGGTACAGTCGGCACGTGACTGCCGCGGGCACGCTGCTCGTTGTGGCCGGTGGGCTCGGTACATCGTTTGCCGCGCCGGTCGTGCCTTCCACGTCTACAACAACGGGCGGCCCGGTCCCGCCTGCCCTTTTCCTCTGCCAGGCCATCATTATGGGCGTCGGTCTCGGCCTCTTGTCGGCGCCTGCGCTTCCGTCCATCAGCGCCTACTTCAGCAAGCGCCGCTCGCTGGCCCTCGCCGTGACGACCACGGGCACGAGCGCGGGCGGAGCACTGCTGCCGGTCGTGGTGCAGTTTCTGCTGCCGGCCGTCGGGTTCGGCTGGGCCGTGCGCTGCGCGACACTGCTGGCCCTGGTGGTCTGCACCAGTGCCGGTCTTTTGCTGCGTCCTGTGCCACCGGCGGCGCTTTCGAAGCCGGCGCTCGGCGTCCCTGCGTCTGACGTCGACGCCGGCTCTGGGCGCACCCGCACGGCCCGCCTTGCCGCCGTTGCCGCCCAGATTGTCGACTGGTCCGCGTTCCGCGAGCTGCCGTTCGTGCTCTTCATGGCCAACACCTTCTTGCTCTTCTGGGGCCTCTACTTTGGCTACTACTACATCAATACCTACGCCAAGGACGTCGTCGGCTTCTCGACCGACCAGGCCACCCTCCTCCTCGTCCTGTCCACCGCCCTCGGCATCCCCGGGCGTCTCGCCTCGGGCGCCCTCGCCGATGCCGTGACCGGCGCCCTCGACACCTACATCATCACCACCGTCATGCTCGCCGCCACCGTGTTTGCCTGGCTCGCCGTCGGCACCTCAACCGCCGGCTTGTACGTCTTTGTCGTCGTCTTCGGCCTCTGCAACGGCGCCGCCCAGAGCGTCTGGCTCGGTTCCATTGCCGAGCTGTCGTCGCACGCGTCCTCGCGCATTGGCGCCCGCTTCGGCACCGTCTGCGTCGTCGCGGCCGTGGCCACGCTCGCAGGCGCTCCCACGGCCTCGGCCTTGATTGGCATGGCCAACGGCGGCGCCAACAACCTGACGCTGGCGAGCACGTACCGCATTGCGCAGGTCTGGGGCGCCGCAACCACTCTGGCGAGCGCTGGCGTGCTGGTCGCGACGCGCATTTACACCATCGGCTGGCGTCTGCGGCGGTGAATCTGGTCGATCTCGTCTCTCTCCTCGGGGGACAATATTTCTTGGTAATATTTAATACATTTTGGCACGAGGCTCTACGGGCCTGTCCACCTAATTTCTTATGTCACGAGTTATGAACATATGGGGTTTACCGAACCAGCGGGAGTTCTTTGCTTTCCTTCTACCCACTTTCCTTTTCTTGTTGATTTTAATTTCTATTTTCTTGAGGCATTCAGGGTATACGTAGATACGGGCGAGATTGGAAACTTGAATTTGGGGAAACAAAAGGGGGACCGGAAGATGGACCGAGGGTATTTTATGACTCACGACACCAATACTTTATCTCTACATAGCTTTTACTAATAAGATACGATTGGGTACTTTCCTACTATGCTCTCACTCCTGCCTATGACAGACGATCCAGCTGCCGCACTGCTTCTGTCAACACCCTTGCTACCTCGCGTCCGTCTTCATGCACCTCGTCGTGCCGCCCGTGCAGATCCCGCAAGCCCACGTAACGCAACTGCCCGTTACTCTTTGCCACACCCTGTTGTAGTGTTTTCTCCATCGTGTCCATCTCGCCGCCGTCCACCAGCTCGTCCTCGTCCGAGTAGGCCACGAGCGCCAGGCGCGGTTTCGTCGCCTCGGCGAGCGTCGAGAAGTCGTACTGTCCTGGACTGGCCGTGTCCCACAAGCCGCGGTCGCGTCCAAATGCTCCCTCGGCAATGGCCTCCAGCGCCGACGCAAACCCGGTCCGGGGTCCACCGCCGTGCGCAGGGTTGCCGCCTCGCTCTACCAGCCCGCGAAGGTCGTATATGCCCTCGAGGCCGACGACGCAGGGGAGTGTCTTATCGCCGAGATTGCCCATCCACAACTGGAACGCCAGGAATGCGCCGCACGAGTGTCCGTAGACAATGTACCGGTCGTGCGCAATGTAGTCGGCTGGCGAGCCGGCTGCTGACAATCCTTCGCGGGCCAGCGCCGCCAGACCCGTGCGCACGTCATCTATGTGATCTGGGTGTTTTGCAGCGCGCAGTTTCTCCAAAGGCGTCGTCTTGGGGTCCTGTGGGAACTCGGGGTGCGGCGACAGGCGGTAGCCAATGGATGCAAACCCCGCGATGCGGCGGCGACTCATGTACGGCGAGTCCTCCGCCAGTAGTCGGTTGATCGCCGGCACGGCCGTATCGGTCAAGCATCGAGGATCACGCCATGCGCCGCCATGAACATATCTGTTGTTGGCGGTCAAGAGACAGTCTCTGTTTTGGGGCCTGGACGGCGTGGGAGACTTACATGAACCAGTACCGGTCGCTCGTCGCGGCTGCCGTGCGCTCGCTTTTGGGCAGCTCCCAGACGTCGACTATCTGCAGCTCGCTCTCCACTGCATAGCGAATCTGTCTGTGTTCCAGTCCGGCCATTGTCGCTGTTTGAGGAGACGTATTTGCAGCCTGGTATACGACACTTTGTTGTGTGCAGGAAGGCACAACGCTGAACGTTTCGGGCTTATCGCAAGTCGCAATCGCTTTGCTGCTTAACCCGCTTACAAGCGCATCTAGCCTTGTCGCACGAACATCAACGACATTCCCATCATCACGACGCACCGCGAACCTTTTGTTTGAATTTGTCCATTGACTTGCCAAGTAGCCTTGCCTCTGGTGGGCAAGACTGTCTATTTTGAAATGATCCGTGCTATATGCAAGTGTCCCCGTTTTGTGTGTGCCGTAAAATACATGTAAATGCAACCCAGGAATGCCCGGCTCCATCTCGTCCTCATTCTTCTCCGTACTCCTTGTTACTCGTCATACTCCTCTTCCTCTTCCTCCACCACCAGCTCCGATGGGTCTACCGCCCACTCGGCCTCCTCGCTAAACACCGGAACAAGGTTGTACTTGCCGCCCACCGGACCCATGCCAAACGCATTGCCCACCAGAGCAGGGCCACCGCCCTCGCCCGGCTTGCGCTTCTCATCCGACTCTTCCAGCAGCACCGCCGTCGTCAGGAACTGCACGTCCGTGCCCGGCATCATCTCGTACGTCATGCCACCCCAGCTCAGCTCCGCCCGACCCGACTGCCGGATGCTGAGCGTGCCCAGGAAGCCACCGCCACCAACGTCCGAGGGTGTGCTGCGCTTGTTGCTCTCCTTGTTGCTGTTGTTGCCATCGGTGCTGTCGTTTTCCGTCAGGTCAATCGGGGCTGGCACCACGCCATCGAGCATGACAACATCATCGTCCACGCCCGGCTCCCGTTTGATTCCGCCCGCCTCTGACCCAGAACTGCCGCCGCTGGGCCCGCCGCCGTCCTTGCTTGGTTCAAACGTCTTGAGGGACGGCAGCACAGGTGGGAATTGAAACAGGAAAAGCCGGCCCTCGCGCGCGGGCGGTGGCTTCTGCCCTTGCGGTTCTTCACTGCCCCCTGTACCGGGCAGAGACATCGACGGCTGGTCCGTCGAGGGCGGGTCCATGGCCAGGTCGTGCAGCATCGCCTGCAAGCCCTCCTCGACGGCCAGGTCTTCGGGATCTTTCTTAGCGGCGGGGGCCTTCTTGGACTTCTTGGCCACTACTTTGGAGGTAGAGGAGGGCTGGGCGCTCACGCTATCGAGCGACAGCATCTCCTCGTCGCTGTCCTCCGTCTTGACAGCCGTTCTTGGCGCGGTGGCAGCCCGTGCGGCAGCTGCGGCCGCCAGTTCTTGCCGCTTCTCGGCTAGTTCGTCAATGTCCGTCACCTCAATCTCCTCGCCGTCGGCACCGACCAGCTTGACGCTGCCCTGCGTCTTGATTGCGCGTGACCAGACCTGGTTATCGTCAAGGAGGTTGCTAGACGCCGCTGCGCCGCTGTTCTCAATGAACAGGTCCGAGTCGGACGACTCTTCTAGGGACAAAGAAGCTGCAGCGGCAGCAGCGGCAGCAGCGGCATCGGCTGCCTCCAGCTCGGCCGTCGTGGCCACAACAACTTCCGGCTCGCGGTGTTCCTCGCGCCGGATGCCCATCGGAAGCAGTTGTGATCGCTTGGACGGGCCGCCCGTTTTGCTCGCGTGGGTGCCGCTGCCGCTCGCCTCGCCGCCAGCCTCGTCTTTGATATCGCCGCCGCCGCCGTAGTCTGTCGCACCACGCGCGTTGAACGTGTCCGTGTTGAGTCGGGAGTCGTACTCGGCGTTGGCAGATACTGTCGAGAAGTTGCCGCCAGCACCACCTGCACCCCGGCCACCGCCTGTTCCAAACCCACCGCCGCCGCCGCGGCCGCCAAACCCGCCAGAGTCGTGGATGCCGCCTCGGCCGGCCGCCGCTCCCGGTACTTGTGAGAAAGGTCCATCTGGCGCCACTGTGCGGCGCACCAACCCGTCACGCCCACCGGCAAAGTCGCCCCGGCCCCGGCCCCGACCACCGCGTCCGCCCCGCCCGCCACGTCCCCGGCTGGCTCGTCGCCGTCGTGCATCCTCGGCTGCCCGGTCGTTGAACTTTTTTTCCTCCTGCTCGGCCAGAGCTTTGCGTTCATCGTCGGCGCGCCGGACCGCCCTGGGCTTCAAGGCAAACGAGCGCGCTGCGGCCGATCCTGACCCGGACGGTCCAGGCGTGGCCGATGGCCGTCCGGATGTTGATGGCGTCGATACTGGTGGTATGTCGGCCAGAACGGTGGCAGACCGTGATGATTGCGTCTCCTGATTTGGTGCGTCACTACTTCCTGCTGCCGCTGCCGCGCCGCCGCGAGCAGGCGCGCCTCGCCTTGTGCGAGGAGGCATTGCGGGCTGTCTGTGAGAGTATGTGTTGACGGCGTGTGTTCTTTTCTTTGATGATGGTGAGGCTTTTCCAAATGAACTTCTGAAAAGTATGGAAAGAATCTCCTGATTGCAATGAGATTGTTTGGGCAGTTGCCTTGCAATATAAAACGCTTTGGGCAGGGAAGGCGCGAACCAGCTTTCTGATGTTACTGAGAGGCATTGATGAAAAAATTAGTATGAGACCAGTTCTCTCCACAAAAAGAGCTTATTTGCCTTTTAGTGAGCTTTCGACGCCTGAAATTTTCGAATAGCGTGGCCGAAGCCTTGCTCTTCAGTGATTCGCACAGTATTTGCGCTAGTTCAGACTGTGCTCTCCACACAATTTGAGCGTTAACACAGTGCTAATTAGCGGTTTCTGGTATCTATATGGTGGGGGACGAGCGCTCCTTCCCGTTTTATGACAGCTTGGATTACACTTAACAAATCTGCTTGGGGTTCTGTATGAAAACGGCAAGAGCTAAGGTGACAACCACAGACAATCCACAATCACGACGCGGCAGGAGCTCACCAGTATAGATAAGGAAGGAGCATTGGCATTTTTGAGTGAGGAAGAAGAAGACTTAATAAGCTTTGTGTCTACTCATTTTCTTTCACTTCACTCCGTGAGTGCGACTGAGACCGTGGCTCAATATCACCGTCGGAGTCCGCAGCCAGCTCACCCGCATGATATCGCCCTTTCCGCCGTCAACGGCCACCCCCGGCGACGGCCGCATCGTCGCCACCCTCACGCCCAATGGCGAACCCAGCCTCGGCACCGTCTCCTATCAGTATCCGCTGAAGCTCATTGCGCCGGCCACCGGTGCCGGCGTGGGCACCCTCGGGCGAGAGGGCGCCACCGCCGTGAACAGGGATGGGCACGAAACCGACCCCGCCCGGCGAAGGAGCTCTCTCGTCTTCATGCTGTCCTATGGCGGCGGACTTGTCGCGGGCGACCAGGTCAATCTCCGCATTGAGGTCCAGGCCGGCTCGCGCCTCAGTCTCGTGACCCAGGGCACCACAAAAGTCTTCAAGGCCACGGGCGCCGGGCGTGCGGCGCCTGTCGCCGTGCCCACGCGGCAGAACCTGACCGTGGACGTGGCGCCGGGCGCGGGACTGTGCTTGCTGCCGGACCCCGTGCAGCCGTTTGCCGAGAGCCTGTACGAGCAGGTGCAGGTTGTGCGTCTCGACGAGCGCGGTGTCAACGGCGTCGGCAAGACGGCACCCTCGCTCTGCCTGCTCGACTGGGTGACGCAAGGACGGGCGGCGCGCGGAGAAAACTGGAGCTTTACGAGCTGGAAGGGCCGCAACGAGGTCTGGCTTGCGACGGGCGATGCCGTCCGCGACGACAGCGGCGGTCGCACGGCCGCTGCCGACACAAAGCCGATACCACATCGGAACCGGCTGCTTGTGCGTGATGCCGTGATGCTGGCACATGTCTATTTGGACAGCGGTGTGGCCCCGCTGCCGCCATCCACAGGGACAGAAGGAACCGCTCTCCGCGACTCGTTGCAAGGACTGGCCGTCGTTGGCACGCTGATCTTGCGCGGTCCGTTGGTGGATGCGGCTGGCGTGTTCTTCTTGGCAGAATTTGCAGCCTTGCCGCGGCTCGGTGCCCGTGACTTTCGGGATACAAACACGCCCGAACCGACTGCCGATAAGGTGTCCCTGGATGCCTGGCGTGCGGAACGCCTGCGGCTGGAAGCGGCGCATGGTGTGCTGTGGTCGGCCGCCGCGGTCCGAGGCTGCGTCGTCGTCAAGTTTGGCGCGCGCAGCGTAGAGGGTGGGCGGCTATGGGTCGGCGCGATGCTGCAGCGTGAGGGCAGTGTGGCAGCCGCCTTTGGTGAAGAGGCACTGATGTGCGTCAAGTGAGCTGCGACGTGATATATGACTGCGCAAATAGTTGTGCTGATCACATGTACACTACGCGATCGTATTTGGTTTTCATATCATGGCAGGAGCATGCTGGCTAGCAAGTCTCTTATTTGATGAGCGTTGGATAGTAAATCTATTTTTCCGGATGAATGAAACAGTTGGTACTGGTGTTACACATGTGCTAGGTGATAAGTGCAAAACGCAGAATAACAAAAATGGATGAGACGATAAACAGCAGCGCCAGATGAAAAGCTAGACCTTAGTGCACACAAGGGGAAAAAGTAGACTGCAAGAAGAAACATCTCAACTCCCGAGTCATGAGTATCATAGCTGCGAAAAGACTTAAGGAAAAACGGACAAGAAAGACAAACAAGAAAACTGGCCAGCCCATCGACCATGCCATCCCAAAACGTGGTCGACAATACCTACATCCCTTCATTTTATACATGCAAAACAATGCATATTGCCGCAGTGACCCTCGTCGGCATCCGTATCTGCGTATGTACCAGCCCCTCTGCCGCCAGGGGGCATGATCGGGTCGGGCCCAGTACGAGGTGGGTGCCCTTGCGGTGCCTCCCCTTCAGGTCCCTATGTTGACAAGGTGAGCTCAGGGAAGAAGCGTGCAATCTTGTTTGGGTCACCGTAGTTGTTTCGAGGCGGCTCGGCGGGCGTGATGGGCGTGATCGGCTCCGTTTCGCCGTAGCCACCGGCACCAGCACCAAAACCGTGCACCTGTTCCAGCTCGTTGAGCGACATACGCTTCTTCTTGATGTTGCCCTGGACCGGCGAGTTGCCTGATTGTTGCCTGGCGAGTGGCGGTGCGGATGTGGAAGACGATGTGCCGTCAGCCGGTGTCACGGCAGGCACCGTGGACCCCACTGCCACCAGCCCTGCTGCACCAGCTGCCGCGCTGGTCGATGCATAGGGCACATTGGGCCAACTGGTACCGTTGCTGGTGCCTTCGCCGTGGCGGGACCGAAATGCATGGAGAGGGATGGTCGGGCCGTGCAGCTTCTTAGACGGTGGCTCGATGATGTCGGGAGTCGCGGATGCCGGGAAGGGGCTCGCCGTGCGGGGCAGAAGCGAGATCTTCTCGTTGGCCACGAGGCCCTTGGTCTGCACAAAGGCGGCGGACCGCGAGTGCGCGGGGCCACGGTTCGAGTAGGCGTCGATAATGGGGTGCACCATGACGGTCTGACCGTGGATCGTCAAGATGGAGTTGGTCGGCACGTTGACCCAGCTCTCGCGCTCAAACGTCAGCGGCTCGCTGGCGACCAACACGACGTCGGCGCCCTTGTCGCGCCGCTGCATCTGGTAGTCCTTGTTGTCACCGGGCGCCGGGCGCTTCTCCCACTGGCTACCGGAGGAGTAGTAGAGGCTGGCCGCCTGGTCGGTGGCGCTGTTGATGTAGCGCGTGCAAATGACGCTGTGGCCGTCGCTCAGCACAAAGTTGAGCAGGCTTCGGGTGTCGACGTTCTCGGCATGGATCACGCTCTCGGGGATCTGGTCGATCAGCTCGTTGATGGTGGCAATGGTGCGCAGCATAGCTCTTCGCAGAATCTCGGGGCCAAAGCCCTTGTCCGGCTGCGCACTCGGGTTGCAGCCCATGCGCTCCAAGGTGTCGAGGAGCAGCGCAAACGCCCACTCGCTGTCGGTGCCGCCGTTGACGACATGGTACCACTTGTCGGCAAGGCGCTCGGTCAGACGACGCTTGATGTGCTTCCAGCCGCCCAGGCCACCATTGTGCATGAACATGAGGCTGCCGTGGGAGAAAGGGTGGCAGTTGTCCTCGCTGAGGGTGCCGTCGGTGGCGGCGCGGACGTGGGCGAAGACGAGGCGGGACGCGGTCTTGCTGGCAATGCGTTCGAGGTTGGAGCAGTTCCAGGCAGGGACGGTGGAGCGGAAGAGGCAGGGGGTCTGGCCCAGTTTGGGGTCGGTGTAGAAGCCGATGCCGAAGCCATCGGCATTGTTCTGGCCGCGTCGGGTGTCCTGGGGGTGTTGGTGTTCTGTGTTCTAAATCGTTGTGCCCTAAGAAACAGGCGAGGGAGAGATCAACGTACCAGTCGCAGACGGGCATCGAAAGACTGCTTTAGTATGGAATGGGTCGGGTCGAGGATCAGCTTCGAGAGCAGGATCTCGTCGCTGCCCTTGTAGACCTGGGATGTGTTAGCATAGGCTCGACAGAGGGCGGGCATACACGGCAAGGCCAGCGAGAGCGTACCAAGAAGCGGCACATGTCGGGCGGCCGACTACCGGACACAGCGAGCGGTCTTTGGACCGGACGTCGACGTGGCTCGTCGAGGGTCGTAGAAGGCGTAAAGGATCTCGTCGGCGAAGCGTGGAGACGTGAGGCAAATATAGAGTGGCGATGCTGACGAAATGCGTGGGGGGATGCCGCAGGCCTGATACAATATATATGTACAGGCAGAAAATACCAGAGAAGACGGATTGCAAGACGAGAGAATGCGATAAAAAGGGGTAAGAGACACAGAAGATGAGGATCGTGGTTGAGTTTGCGTCAAAGAGCAAAAAGAGTCAGACAAGTCAGAAGTCGGCAAAGACAAGACAGGTTAAGACTGAAGCAAACGGCACACAAAGACGCTAGAATTAGTGGAGCTGCCCGTCCCAGCCAGAAATTTAGTGGCCTTTAGCACCTAGCGGACGGCGACCTTGCAGTGTCTGCAGGGGGGACGGTGGAGCCCTTCTAAGCTTTGCCCCAGATCACTGTTGCATGCCGGCCCACCAACTAATTAGGGGCTGGGGATGCGCTGGAATGTGGTCCTGACCGAGCATTGGCCGGCTAATTAGGGGCTGGGGCATCGTATTGGAGTGCCGCAAGGCTGACTGTTTTAGTGCATTTTGCCCGCCAGGGCGTCTGCTCTTTTGATGGAATCCCGCTAGTCGATGGCGACATAACCACAATGGCAAAAGGCAATGGCAGAAGGCAATGGCAGATATCAGGCTGGACTTGATGCCATCGCTCTTTCCTGGTCGCGACACAACCGGGAGCTCCGCGCCCCTGACGACCCACCTCAGCTCAGAGTCATCACTGGTCCCTCTTGCTTCTTTTTGCTTTTGCATTCGTCTTGCTACTGCCTCTTTCCTTTTTCACTGGTCTAGCTGTTGTTGTTGGGAGCTCCCCTGTTTACAAGGGTAGCTACGTAGTTGCTCGTCGCCAAGTGATCGAGATCCGGGTCCTCCTTCCGTTTATAGAGCTCACATAGAGGCGCCAGCCAGTCCGTCTAATTCCGGGTTTGTGCATACTCCGTAGTGCGTCGGCCCTTGAACACTGCGTAGTGGACGGCCAAGATACGTATTATGCGAAAGCTCTCCTTCTGCCACGCTGCCAGACTCCTAGCCGCCATGGTTGCCATGCTCTTTCTTGCAGCCTGCCTCATGAGTTGCTGCTGTACATGTGTAACGGACCTTCCCTGGCACGGCGACGCCACTGGACGCCCTGGCGGCAACAAACTTTGCTTGCTAGGGCAGTGGTGCATGGCACTGTATAGATGCCGGCTCGTGCCACGGTGGCCTGCGACATGTATTGCCTGATTTTATCATTATTTATATTTATTATTTAATTTAATTTATTCTCTGTACGGAGCTGTCCGCACGTCCCCAGACGGGCGCAAGGGTAGACCATGCTTTAACACCGAGCCGGCATGTCATCGGCGCCTTGTCGCGAGGGACAAGAAGGAAGGAAATAGCACTTGCACATGGCACACCATGCTCGCGGAATTCGCTTTTCTGTTCCTGTATTTCTTGCCGCTGCACAGAGTATGCCGTACGCCGTACTCGTGTTTCTTGTGGTCCAGCCAAACCACCGACAGCTACAAATTGACGTTGTATTCTTTTACCGGGGCAGTCATTCCCAATCGCGGCACGAACCATGTTACCGCCCTTAGGTCCCCTTTTTAACCCCGTGGGGGCCGTAATCGTGATATAAAAGGTCTAACTTGTGAACCGTTTCGAGAGTCCATGGATGGTCCGGCCCGAGCGTTTTCTCGAAGCCTTGTAACGCCCGTTGTAACATGGCCTCGGCCTCGGGTAACCGGCCCTGAGCCGAGTATAGAAGGCCTAAGTTGTTGACCGTAGTAAGGGTCGATCTGTTGTCTGGCCCGAGCGCCTTCTCGAAACCTTGTAACGCCCGTTGGTACATGGTCTCGGCCTCCAGTAACCGGCCTTGAGTCGAGTATAAAAAGCCTAAGTTGTGAACTGTGTCGAGAGACGATAGATGGTCCGGTCCGAGCGTTTTCTCGAAACCTTGTAACGCCCATTGTAACATAACCTCGACCTCGGGTAACCGGCCCCGTTCCTCGTATAAAAGGCCTAAGTTGTTAACCGTAGTAAGAGTCAACCTGTGGTCCGGCCCGAACGCCTTCTCGAAACCTTGTAGCGCCCGTTGTAACATGGCCTCGGCCTCGGGTAACCGGCCCTGAGCCGAGTATAGAAGGCCTAAGTTGTTGACCGTACTAAGAGTCGATGGATTGTCCGGCCCGAGCCCCTTCTCATAGCCCTGTAGCGCCCGTTGGTACATAGCCTCGGCCTCCGACAGCCGGTCCTGATCACTGTAGAGTTTTCCTAAATGATGTATCGAGTCCATAGCCATTTTATCATCGAAATTCCATCCTCGGCTATAAATCTCTTCTATCCACCGCGAGACCCTCTCCACGTGCGGGAGAAGCCGACGTTGGAGTACCCAGTAGTCCATACTCTTATTCATAGGTACCAATGACCCAAGTAGAGCTATCGCCAGTCGTAGAAATTCTCTCTTCTCGGAGTCGTCTTGTATGTACGACGTCCATCTGTGCACTACTGGGTGTAAATTGTAGCTGCCTTGTCCGGATTCCTGGACCTCGATCATCGAGTAGCGAAGTAGTAGCCTCACCGAGTCCAGGAACCTAGCTTCGTTGTCGGCGAGCTCACGAAGCCATTCAGGCCACTGCTCTCGGTCAACTACGGCCGCTTGTAACAAGCCGTACCACAAGCCTTTATTAGCGATAAAGGCCCAGAGGCGGAGCAGATTTGCGGCCTTTTTGCTTCTCGTTTCAATCGCCTTGAACGACATCGTCCATGTCGTTCCGACCCTTCGTTGGTCGTAATCGAGTAACAGCGAGCTGTACCCGGCATCGGGCATTATTAAATCGTCCCACTGCTGGTTGTAGAGCCGAACGTACGACGTGACATCGAGCCCGGTCTCGCGGCAATACGCGGCAGCCTGCGCGAGCGCAAGTGGCAGCCCGTCTAGTAGCCCGAGTAGCTCTCTGCCGGCCGTATCCAGAACTATAATAAAACTCGATTAGCTTGACTCCTTGGACGTGATCCGTACGTAGTCAAGGCTTACCTAGTTCCCCTCCGTACCACTGCTCAAAAATGGCCTTACTCAAATCCTCGTCGACCTTCTTCAACTGCTTCGTATGCTTCGTATTACCGAGCTGTTCCAGCTGCGACAGTCTTGTCGTGATCAGTACCGAGCCGTGGTCACTAGGCAGATACCGTCGAACATCAAATGCACTAGTCGTGCCGCCTTGTTCGTGGTCCTGGTCAACATTGTCAAAGATAAGCAACCAGTCGACGTTATCTGGCCGTGCAAGCCAGCCCAGCACATCCGTTACCGCGACGTTTAGATCGTCCTCACTGCTGGGGACACTCTTCCAGCTCCTGTCTGGAATCTGACCGTGAGGGATCCTGTTCGCACAACTAGCGAGACTCTGTCTTAGCCGATCCTCTGACCTGCCGTCTAGCCAGAAGACCGAGCTGAATGTGGCCCGGTGGCGTCGAGCAAAGTCGGCCGCCAGTTGTGTCTTCCCGATGCCACCGAGTCCGTGGAGGACAAAGATCTTGCGCTGTTGCTCATGTCGGAAGCGCAAGCGTCGTGGGAGGAGGCACTGTTCAAGCTCGGCCGTATCGGATAGTCTGTCGACAAAGTGATCTGATACGGGCATCCCTTCTAGACTAAACACCGTTCGGTACGGTCCATAGTCTTACACATATTTATTTAGCAGAGTTCAAGGGCAATAAGTGGAATAAATTCAGAAAAGGAAAATAGGTAGACTAACACTGTCTCCCAGCGAGATTGTTCGCACAGGCCTGCATCTGTTTAAACACAGTCTGAGATTCAACGTACCGCCTTGTTGCCGCTGCGATCTCCTTCTTCTTCTTTGACTCTTCTAGACCGATCTGCTCAAGCCCGTGATCAACATTGAAGCGATAATAGCGTCCCTCGTTGTCCAGGTTCGACTTATCACGGTGGAACTGCTGCGCTGTCCTTTCTGTCTCTGTTGCGAGATTTATGAGTGTGGTCCCGATTCCGAGGACGTCGTCGCGTATAGACGTCACGTTGGGTACACCTGTCCCGATAGACACGACACATTGCAGCTTGCTCTGTAGCTGATCGCCCCATATATCCTGGGCCTGGTTCCACAACATATAGATGGGGTTATTCGCCCCAAGCGCACCGTCAACGAATTCCTCGTCGAAGGGACCGATGGCAATAGGGTCAAAGAAGCCCGTGGCAGCAGACGTGGCACGGCAGGCCTGCCATATGGTGGCCGAGTTTAAAAGCTGGAGGTTTTTGCTGCGCGGGGAAGCGTAGCTTGCAAGGCAAACGGTGTCGGAGGTCTGTTTGCTCGTGGCACAGACAAAACTAGTCAATCAGTATCAATATCTGCGGATGTGATGTAATGTAGAGGCACCTACACTTTACAGGACGCGGCAACGTCCTTTAAAAGCTCATCCTCGTTCAGACCACGAGCACGGAGGATCTCCTTAATGGTATCTTCTAGCTTAGCCGCATCGAATCGGCCCTGGAGCTTGCCGTTTATCTTGACCCGGTGGCTCTTCTTTTCGAACACCTTGTCTGAAAGAGACGTGTAGGCCTCGATGCATTCGTGAACCGTCATCCGAAGGCGGCCGAGCATGACAGCAATAAGGCCGCCAGTGCTGGTGCCACCGATCATATCGAAGTACTCGCAGGGTTTAGGCGGTGACTCGGGATCGACCGTAGCCATAAGTCCGTCGAGGATCATGAGTGAGGAGAGGCCGCGTACGCCACCGCCGTCGAGGGCGAGAAGCCGGATCTGATCGCCAGGCATTGCGAGATGTTTTCGAAAAGGCACCGATGACAGCAGCTTGGAGGTTGTATCTGGCAATTGAGCAAGACCTTGAGGGGTCGAGACAAAATGCTCAAGGCTGCTCTTGGGCCGCAATCCAGGCTCAGCTGCTGCTCAGCTGCTGCTCAGCCGCTGCCACACTCTCTACAGTCGCGCAACCGCCTTCTTATTCGCTCACCCGAGCAGCGTTTATTCTTGGTCGCTCATTGGCAGGGTGTCGCGAACAACATTTCCCCTCAGCGATGAGGTTTCCGCACATCCTGATGAATCGGCTACGACCACATGTTTACTCCGACGAAGAAGGGAGGCCGCAGATGATGAGCAGCACACAACCCGGGTTTGGCCTCCAATCCATTAAGTAAACGGTTCGACTAGACGGTGTGCTAGTCTAGCCTCGTTTTTGTCCATACGTGAAATGGGCCGTGATCGTTGTAGATATTACCAGACGACATTTTAGTCACATGATCCGAGTTTTTTGTTGTACGATTATGGTTCATGATTGGGGTGGCGGCTGCACGTGATGATACAATGCGCGGGGCTGCCACCACCTTCCTTGCGCCGACTCAGCAAAGTGGCGGTGGGAATCCCTGCAAATTCATACCACAAAACGCAGGAGCGACCCCCGTTTCGGCTTCCGTCCTAAAGGCAGCCAAACAAAAGCAGATTACAGCTTATGACCCGCGCATCAGAAAAAAAAATAATTCGGCCGTGACGATTCAACACCTACCATTGGTCCTGACCAACGCCGTTTGCCTGCATTTTTCATCCCTCCGCTGATGCGACACGTCGTGTCCGACCGCATCTTCAACCGCGCCCGTCTCGGGGCCCAGCAGACCATGAACAGGCCGTCCGCCGTTTCGAACATTGTCGCTGTTGCCAGCATTCTGGCTTGAATCACGATAAACGACGAAAGAAACGGCTGACAAGACGACACGATTGACACGATTAACACGACAGACACGACAGACACGACACAGTAGAATTCCTTCACCGACACCATGAGTGGTCGGCGACTCGCCGCTGGCGCCCTCGGGCCGCTGGCTCGTCGCGGGTTGGCCCAAAATACCGTCCGCCATTATCACCACCAGCGGATGCCCGTTGGTGGACTGCAAAGGATCGATGCCACGCCCGTCCGTGCCGCCCGGCGGCGTGTGGGCTTCCCCGTCAACGGCTACCACAATGCCGTCATGGTCCGCAATGCGTCGTTTGCCCGGCTCATCCCGCGGATCGTGCTCAAGTTTGCCCGCATTCCGGCGACGTTTGGCGGACTGATGATTGGCGCCGCAGCTTGGGTGCAGTACCAGGCCATTCGTACGTTTCGTTCCAAACCCATGGCGCTGTCGATTCACAATGGACACCTGGAAAACGTTTGCTAACAGCAACAACCACAACTACAGAGGTCGGCAACTCGGCCTATGACGTATTCAAAAGCACACGAGACACCGTCACTGGTGCGGCGGCCAACTTCTGGGACGGCGCCGTGGACGTTGCCGGCCAGACGAAACAGGGCTGGGCCAACACCAAGGAGCAGCTAGGCGTGAACGAGTTCTGGGACAAGATCATGCACATCCACGAAGGAATTGGCAGCGGCGGCAGCGGCGGCAGCGGGGGCCCGGGTGGCGACAAGGAGCCCAACGGTGGCAAGGGTGCAGCGGCAGCGGCGGCCACGGGCGCGGCGGCGTACGGCTATGGCAGCTCGGAGAGCGACGAGAGCGACGAGGACGCGAAGCGCGATCGCGGCACCGAGAACGCGCGCAACGACCAGATGATGGTCTTCACCAAGAAGATGATTGAGATCCGCAACATCCTGCAGAAGGTCGGCCAGTCGAGCACGCTGACGCTGCCGTCCATTGTCGTGATCGGCTCGCAGTCGTCGGGCAAGAGCTCGGTGCTCGAGGCCATTGTCGGCCACGAGTTCCTGCCCAAGGGCTCCAACATGGTCACGCGGCGGCCCATTGAGCTGACGCTCGTCAACACGCCCGACTCCAAGGCCGAGTACGGCGAGTTCCCCGATCTTGGCCTGCGCAAGATCAGCGACTTCACGTCCATCCAGCGCACGCTGACCGAGCTGAACCTGGCCGTGCCCGACTCCGAATGCGTCTCCGACGACCCCATCCACCTGACCATCTACTCGCCCAACGTGCCCGACCTGTCCCTCATCGACCTTCCGGGGTACATCCAAGTTGTCGGCCACAACCAGCCGCTCGAGCTCAAGCAGAAGATCTCCGAGCTCTGCGACAAGTACATCCAGCCGCCCAACGTCATCCTGGCCATCTCTGCAGCCGACGTCGACCTGGCCAACTCAACCGCGCTGCGCGCCAGCCGCCGCGTCGACCCTCGCGGTGAGCGCACCATTGGTGTTGTGACCAAGATGGACCTGGTCGACGCCACGCGGGGATCGTCGATCCTGCAGGACAAGCAGTACCCGCTGCGGCTTGGCTACGTGGGTGTTGTGGCGCGGGCGCCGCAGTCGATTGGCGGTCTGTTCAAGAAGGGCAGCAGCAGCGGCGACGGCAGCGCGCTGATGAACCTCATCTCCAAGAACGAGGACTCGTACTTTTCCGCGCACCCGCTCGAGTTCGGCCCGGCCGCGGACGTGTCTGTCGGCACCTCGACGCTGCGCAAGAAGCTGATGAGCGTGCTGGAGCAGACCATGTCGGCCAGCCTGCAGGGCACGACGGACGCGATCCGCCAGGAGCTCGAGGAGGCGACGTACGAGTTCAAGGTCCAGTACAACGACCGGCCGCTGTCGGCGGAGTCGTACCTGGCCGAGAGCCTGGACGCGTTCAAGCACTCGTTCAAGCAGTTTGCCGAGGAGTTTGGGCGCCCCCAGATGCTGCAGCTGCTGAAGCGCGAGCTGGACCAGCGCGTGCTCGACCTGCTGGCCCAGCGCTACTGGAACAAGCCCATCACCGACCTGTCGGCCGCCGTGCCGGAGCCGGACGCCCTGGCCGACCTGCCCAAGGCCGACCCGGACTCGCTGTACTGGCATCGCCAGCTGGACGCGTCGACGTCGCAGCTCACGAAGCTGGGCATCGGCCGCCTGGCCACAAACGTCGTCGCCACCAACCTGCAGGCCGGCGTCGACAAGCTGATTGCGCAGTCCAACTTTGTCAACCACCCCTTTGCGCGCCAGGCCATTGTCGAGGCGGCGTCGAGCATTCTGAACGACCGCTTCTACAGCACCAGCGACCAGGTGGAGAACTGCATCAAGCCGTACAAGTTTGAGATTGAGCTCGAGCCGCGCGAGTGGGACGCCGGCCGCGACCACTCGGCCGGCGTGCTCAAGGACGAGCTGACCGCGTGCCAGGACGCGCTGAAGAAGCTCGAGAGCAGCGTGGGCGGCCGCCGCAAGCTCAACGAAGTCATCAACTTTGTCGACAAGGCGCGCCGCGGCGACGTTGTCGTCGAAGGCGAGGGCCGCAGTGGCGCCGGCGGCTTTAGTGCTGCTCTTTTGCAGAGAGGTATTTTCCTTCTCTTTTCTTCTCTTTTTTTTTTTCTTTCTTTCTTTTTTTCTGTCCGTGCCCTTCCCTGCCCGTCAACATCAGCTAACATACGTCTAGGCCGCGAAGCTGTCTTCCTCCGCGACCGCGCCGACATCATCAACATGCGCCTGCTGGCTGCCAAGTCCAAGCAGTGCCGTGCCATGCAGAACAAGTACTACTGCCCCGAGGTCTTCCTCGACGCCGTTGCCACCAAGCTCGCCGGCACCGCCGTTCTCTTCCTCAATGTCGAGCTGCTGTCCGAGTTCTACTACAACTTTCCGCGCGAGCTCGACCAGCGCCTCGGCCGCCACCTGACCAACGACGAGATTGAGCGCTTTGCCAAGGAGGACCCCCGGATCCGCCGCCACCTCGAGGTGATTCGCCGCAAGGAGCTGCTGGAGCTGGTCCTCGAGAAGATGGAGAGCCTGCGGCAGCTGGACGGCCGCGAGAAGTCCCGGCGCGGCAGCAACCTGAGCGGCAGCGGGGCCGGCCACGGCGACAAGAGCAAGTCGGGCAGCCGCTGGGGGCTGTTTTGAGGACGTTCTCTGATCTTGTTACCCTCTACGATGTTTATGGGAGTTTTTGTGGCGTTTGTTGTCCCCCTTTTTAATGCTTGTTTATATTTTTGTGATTACTTCCCTTTATTTCGCCTCGTTTTCTTCTTCTTTCTTTGTCTTGGGACCTCGGATTTCCTCACTCTTTAGACGAGTCATGCCCTTCTACGTTTCTGTTTTCCACATGTCCACTCTCCTCCTTTCACACCCCGCGTTTGTTTGTTATGGGAAGAAAAAAGGAAGCTCAATACTCCCAAAACCCAAAACACAACATAACACACAGTGCACGACACATACAAACCCCCAAAAAGACGACGCAAATACCCTCCTTGAATGTATGTCAGTTGAATAGATTTTTGTCCTGAAAGTGATGATTGGTACGAGTGTGCAGAAAACGTGTTCAGTGCAACTGGGATTGAACTAAAGTAAGTCCAAAATAAAAATATATAGGGGTTATGGTAAAACTACAAAAGGTATATGCAAACAAATCATAAATAAGACCTCCCAAAGTGAGATCCAGTCGTAGACTGCCTTCTCTGGTTGTCTTCCTTTCTGCCCGCGCCTTGTCATCTCCCGTCCACACTCGTTTGCACCGTCACCTCCCACCGCAAACTATTGCCGCGACCGTAGCCCTCGCCGAGACGATTCTGCACGATGCGCGCAATGCGCGACCGCAGCTGGCGCAGAGTATCGTCGTCGCCGCTGCCCTGGGCGACGCGAACGCGCAGGTTGGCCATGCACAGCCCGTAATGGACCTGCCAGAACTGCGCCTCCTCCACACGGGCGATCTGAGGAGCCGAGGTGATCTCGTCGAGGACCGAGGCCACGGTGGGCGTGTTCTTCTCGAGGGCGACCGACGCGGGCGCAGACGACGAGGGGAGGGTCGGCGGCGGTGGCGACGACGACGACGACGACGACAGCACAGGCGTGGACTGCAAGGACGGGGTTGGCCTTCCGGCCACTGCTCCTCCGCCCTCTTTGCCCGAGTAGGACATGAGCAGCATGAGCCCCTGCGCGACGGCCAGACGCGCGCCCAGCAGCAGCATGGACGCAGCAATGGTGGCGCACAGCAGCCGGTCGAGCCAGGTCTGCACGGCGACAAACATGAGCGGCAAGACCAGCAGGACCAGCGACACGGTCATGGTCAAAAAGTGGAAGGGGTTGGCCATCAGGGACGACAGACCCAAGCTCGACAAGAGCGACGCGGCCGAGGACGTCCACGAGACAAACGACGCGACAATGCCGGTCTTGCCGGACAAGCGCGGGACGGGGGCGACGCCGTGCAGCAGCAGCAGGGCGCGGCGGATGCGGGCGTGGTTGCCGAGGCCGTAGGCGCTGACAAGGGTGCTGGCAAAGGCGGCGAGGGCGGCGACGTCGACGGTGCCCGGGTGGATGTAGCGGGTGTGGTGGTGGCCGCTGTGGCTGCCAATGTCCATGTGGTGGGCGGCCGCGGCCGCGGCCGCCTCGTACGCGTGGACGTGGGCGGCATGTGCGTGGGCAGCATGTGCGTGGGCGCTAGCCGTGGTCGACGCCGCGGCGGCCTCGAGACAGTCTTTGAGGTCGTGGCTCAGCAGGTCAAAGCCGCCAAAGACCAAGAAAATGCTCATAGCAAACCCGGCCAGGACCTCGGCGCGGCGCAGGCCAAATGGGTGGCGGATGGTGGAGCGCCGCCAGACCTCAAAATTGCCGAGCACATCGACGGCAACACAGACGGCCGCGGAGCCGACGTCGAAGAACACCAGGTGAGAGAGGGCTGTCAAGGCCAGGCTATCGCCGCCCTCGGCAGCACACAAAAACACAAAGACAGCAACGGCAGCGTGACACAAGCACCAGTAGAGACGGATGCGCTGGTCGCGGTGCATGCTTGCCCAGGCCTCACGCACGGTCGGGACGGGGAGGGAGGCCGGCAGGACAGGCGGCGGGCGCGATGGTGGCTCTTGGAAGATCTGGTGCTGAGCAGAGACGCTGCTGTGTTTGTATCGATGGCCACGACGAAGGCCAATGTTCTGGCGAGGAAGAGCGTTAGCTGGAGAACGACCTGTCTGTATGCTCCGTTGCAAAACAAAAAGAAAAAAAAAGAAAAAAATACGTACCGACTTTACTGGCGACGTGGAAATGTATTGTGTCTGAAAGTTGAACGGATTCTCAGCTGGCGCACCGCCGATATTGATGGGTGCCGAGTTCGCCGGCGACGACGAAGAAGCTGTTTGGTCGTCCATGGCGCCGGCGGGAGGACGCAGAAAGCTGTTGCTGCCGCGGTCGTGGAGGTGCGAGTCGGGACTGAGGAGGTTCGCGCCGAGTGAGGACGAGAAGACGGCCGAACGGGGCGAGCGAGGCGGGCCAGAGAGGGTAGGGGGCGGAGAGGCAAAATCGAGAGAGGGCGACGGGCTGCGTCTCAGCAGCGCCGCGTCATGCGCGTTAAGCGGCTGCCCGGCGAGGTAGGCGTCTGTCTCGTCGACGTCGAAGCGGAAGGGGTCGTCGGCGCCGGCGGCGGTGGCAGCGTTGCTGTCGAGCTGGCTCAGGTCAAGGACGCCGCTGCCGTCGCCGTCGGACGTTGGCTCGAGGAGGATGGACGGTGGCCGTGGACGGGGCGCTGTGGCGGTCGCTGGGGTGCCGGAAAAGGTTTCGCTGTCGATGACGGGAGAGGAGAGGGTTACGGAGAGGGTGGGCGGCTCCGGGCCGGACGCCATGTGCCACGTGGAGGGTGAGATCGTGGTCTGGTCGGAGGGGGCTGTTGATGGCCAAGTGTGAAGCCGTGCAAATGTGCAGCCGCGCAGTCTCGCGAGGGAAGCTGCCGGATGCGGTTCTGGTGCTGGAATGCGGTATATTGCACCGTATTGTGGGGACGCTGTGGGCGGCACTTTCCTGTTTCTCTTGTCGTCCTGTTTGCTTTGGACCGTCCCTGCTTCTTTGGGCCTAGCCGGCGCATCGGTTCAGGGGAGGAAGCGGCAGGTGAGTGGATTGATCGCAATTGGAGCAAGAACGACCTGGCAATATGCAGATAAGCGGGTTCTCCTGTCTGTAGAGGGCCATCTAAGAGACCCAGTACTCCGGGATATCGTGATGTGAGGTACAATTGCGCACAGCGACGATGCACGGATTTTTTTTGTTCATCTGAACATGGCCATGCCTTCCATGTGCTTTCCGTCACTCTAGCCGGCTGGGCTGGGCCTGGTTCTGTTCTGGCGTGGCCTGGCCTCCTTCGAAACGGCCCAACGGCGGCCGCTAATTGGCTACCCGAGATGTCCAACAGCGACCACTGGCGCTTGTTTTCGAGCCTAAAGGGCGTGGCACCAGGTACTTTTCAGGCGGAGCCAGTCTAGTGACGTCGTTGTCACTGGCAAAGGCCACCTAACAGACAGCGCTAGGGGGCCATTCCTACAGCGGTCGCGCACATCCGCATTGGCGCATAAGAACGACCAGGATGGTGCTACTAATCCACCTCTAAGCAACAGGAGAGCGCAATCTCCAGGCGGAAAGGAAACCATCCGATCGACGACCACTTCACAGCGACGCGACGACCGCCGACCGACGCACCACTCAACGTCTGCGAGGTCTGTCTACAACGAGAACTCGCGCGTTTCCTGGATTGAGAGACTTGTCGACACATCCTCTGCCACGCCGGCGGGCGAATCGCGTTGCGCCATGGCGAATTAGAGAACCTCGCTTCGACGACGACGACAGCTGCTGCCGGTCGTGATGGACACATCGCCAACCAAGAGCCAGCCGCCGCCGGGGCCATCGCACCGGCGCACCCCGAGCGGCTCAAGCGGCTCGAGCGTGCTCTCGCGCATGCCGTTCCCACGCCTTGGCTCCGGTCCCGATCACAGCTTGCCGCGGCAGGATGGCGACTACGAAGCCGGCCACGATGCCGACCAGGCGATGCAGAATCTAGACTACGGCGGTGCGGCACAGCATCAGCCCCAACGACACCATTCCTACCAGATGCCAATTCAGTCGGGCTCGCATACAACCTCCCTCGAGGAGCAGCAGCAGCAGCAGCAACAGCAACAGCAGCAGAACTCAGGAAAGACACGGCGACGACGCGGCTCGCTACGAAAGGTAGCGCTTCTTGGACGCGGTGGCAATACCCAGACCGAACGACGAGCGCCACCCCTAAAGCCTGTACCTTCGAGCGCCGTGTCGGCAGCGACGGCGGCGGCCTCGTCAAAGACGACCTCTTCGGTATCGTCTCCCAGTTCAGGGGCTACCGACGGAAGCACTACTAGTGGTGGCAGCAGTGGCTATGGCGTTGTCGGAGGGCCTGTCGGAGGAGGCAACAGTGTGGGCGGCGGCGTAAATCTCAGCAGCAGCAGTGGGCTGGGCATCTCTGACATCACGCCTCGACCATCGATGGAGGGCTATGCGAGCCGAGCCGCATCAGCGGCCGTGGCGGCCGCTCTGCTGAGCCCGACGCCCAAGTCGGCAAAGCAGACATCCAAGCTCCTGCCACGGACCTCCATCGACGGCAACGAGGACCATGGCACCCTGGGCTCGCCCTCCTCTGCCGTGTCTGGAGGAGGCAGCGTCCGGCGCCACGATCGGCGGCGCAGCAGCAGCAGCACAATCTCCTCACCGCTGACAAGCCGGCCGCCAAAAGTGCCACCCACCGTGCCGGCCGCTCCAGACTCGACGACCGACGATGAAGATGCCCTGCACATGGCCCCTAAAAGTGGCCCTACGAGCAGCGGCGGCAGCAACACCACCCTCGCTGGGTTTTCATCTACAAATGTTGCAGGAGGCACCGGAGTGGGTGCGACAGCAGCCACCGCAGCGGCAGTCGCTGCAACTTCTATATTACGGCGGGCGAGCGGCGAGGGCGGCATGAATGGCGACAATCCTGCTTCGACAGGGCGTCTCCTATTCCCAGCAGCGCCCTCGTTCCAACGACGCCGCGGCGGGAGTGGCGCAGGGGCACAGCTGCTGCAGCAACAGCAGCAGCAGCAGCAACAGGCGGGACAGCAAACAACAGGGCAGCAGCCGGTGCAGGCGCCGCTGCAGAAGCCATCACTGCACCAAAGGAAGCTCTCACAGTCGCATCAGCAGCAGCAACAACAACAGCAGCAGCAGCAGCAGCAGCAGCAACTACAATCACAGCAACACCCGCAGCAGCCGCAGCCGCCGTCACACCCCTCACATCTACAAGAACAGCCGCCGACACAACACCATCAACAACAACACCAACACCAACAGCATCATCAGCAGCAGTATACGCATGGCCTGCTGCAGCAGCCGTCGCCGCTGCACCACCAGCAGCTCGTCCAGCAACCGCCGCCGCCCAAGCAGCGCGCCAAGTCGCCTCTTGCTCTGACGGACCTGGCCAACACGACACTGCAGCAGCCGTCGTCGTCGTCGGCCGCGACGACAGCCGAGGTGGGCGTGGGCCCCGGCGTGGGCGTCGGAGTCGGGGTCGGGGTCGGTGTTGGCGTTGTCGGCGTCAACGTGGCCGTCAACGTGGGCGGCGACCCGGACTGGGACTATGCCGAGACAGCCTGGTGGGGCTGGGTCATGCTGATTGTGACGTGGGTGGTCTTTGTGACGGGCATGGGCTCGTGCCTGGGCGTGTGGAGTTGGGCCTGGGACGTGGGCAAGACGCCGTATGCGCCGCCGGAGCTCGAGGACGACCCGACGCTGCCGATTGTGGGCTACTACCCGGCGCTGCTGATTCTGACGTGTGTCATGGCCTGGGTGTGGGTGGTGGTGGCCTGGATTGGCATGAAGTACTTCCGACACGCCAAGATCAGCGGTGACTGAACGAGAGCAGAACGTATACAGAGAGAGGGAGTTCTATCGAATTTGAGTACATATCTTACTATAAGCAACATCAGCAGGCAACCGGCCGAGTGGCGGCATAATTGTAATTCGACACGAGCAATGACAGACAAAGAACAAAGATTTAACAGCACAGACGACAACTCGGTGGAAAGGACGTACATTGCTGCTTGAAACAAGAAAAGAGACCATCCACGTTTCTGGTGAGCGTCCAATTCTTTTCGTGCATCAACTGATTCAGTGTTTTCAATGTATGCCCAGTTCGTTGGTGGCTCCTTCCATGTGAGCTGCCGAGGTTCTTTCTGTAATAACCACAGACTAGCGGAAGAGTTCCAGCACGCCGGACGGGAAAGAGCGAGCGACCCCAACTTTCAGCGCCCAGCAAGCTAATTCTAACCCCGGCTATTCATCTCCGCCCACTGACTCTCCAGGGACTACCGACTGCTAGATTACCGCTGCGCAATCCAGGCGCTGCGTGTTAGTGAAAGTTGTCCCCGCAAATCCGGAAGGAGCTCCAGGTCACGAACCGAAGCCACGCAAAGAAAGCAAGGACGACCGACGTCCTAAGACCTCGAGGCTTCCTTTGTCTTTGTATTTTCTCCTCTCGTCTCTGTTTTTTCTTCCTCCTCTGTAACCTTCTCTCTTCCTCTCCTTTTCTCACTCTACGCTCTACGCCTTCACCACCTCCCAACTCATCGTCACACAATCTCACAATGGCGACCGTTCCCCCATTGACCGGCATCAAGGTGCTCGAATTTGCCGGTCTGGCACCTGGTATGTTCATTAGACTCCTTTCTATACACCTCCTGTATGTCTTCTCCAAACTCTAACGAGTCAGGCCCTTTTGCCGGCGTCTTCTTTGCCGATGCCGGCGCAGAAGTCCTCCGCATCGACCGTCCCGTCAAGGGCCGCTCCCACACCGTCGGCGCTGACGTCCCCGACATCACCGAGGACATGCTTGCGCGCCACAAGTCGTCGATTGCTGTCGACCTCAAGAACGAGGCCGGCGTTGCTCTCGTCAAGGAGCTGGCCACCCACGCCGACGTCCTCATCGACCCCTTCCGCCCGGGCGTCCTCGAACGCCTCGGCCTCGGCCCGGAGGTCCTGCATGCCGCCAACCCGCGCCTGATCTACGCCCGCCTCAGCGGCTTCCGCCGCGACGGCAAATACAAAGACATGGCGGGCCACGACATCAACTACCTGGCCGTTTCCGGTGTGCTTTCGCTGCTCGGCCGCAGCGGCGAGAAGCCCACGCCACCCTGGAACATCCTGGCCGATTTCGCCGGCGGTGGGCTGATGCTGGCCGTGGGCGTGCTGCTCGCACTCGCGGCGCGCCAGCAGACGGGCCGGGGCCAGGTCGTCGAGGCCAACATGGTGGACGGCGCGTCGTACCTGGCGTCGTTCCCGCGCTTCGCGCTCAAGACGCCGCTGGGCGACCACCCGCGCGGCCAGAACCTGCTGGACACGGGCTGCCCGTACTACGACACGTACGAGACGAGCGACGGTGGCTTCATGGCGATTGGCCCCATCGAGCCGCAGTTCTTCCAGGTCCTGGTCGACAAGCTCGGTCTGGGCGGCCAGCAGTGGGAGACGCGGCGGTACGACCGCACGCAGTGGCCGGCGCTGCGGGCGGCGCTGACGACGGCGTTCCGCAGCCGCTCGCGTGCGGCGTGGGAGGCTGTGTTTGACGGCACAGACGCGTGCTGCACGCCGGTCCTCGGATTCCCGGAAATCGAGGCGGGCCGTACCTCGGGCGCGCGCGAGGGTGACCTCCGCCCTGCCGTGGCGTTGCGGTCGACACCGCTGCTGGCCGTGACAGACGCGGCCAAGGCAGCGGGTGTGAGCGAGGAGGTGCGTAGCCGTCGCGGCCAGGGCAGCGGCGTCGCCGGCGAGGGCTACGAAGGCCAGGCGCTGCGGCCGGGCGAGGGCGGTGAGGATACGCTGAAGCGGTGGCGTGGGTGGACCAAAGGCGCCGAGTACGACGTGACCAACGGCGGTCTCGTGCTTAAGGGTGCCGACAAGGCGCGGTTATAAACGGCCACATGAGGTGGAAGAATAAAGGAAAACAAGCGTTTTGGGAATAATTTAGAGTACATACTGTAATACATATATGCTGTCTATACTTGGTTAGATATATTCTGCTTGTCTACGTGTGCTTGTCGTCTGTGTACGAGACTTTGTACAAAGAACAATGTAAAATGGTATCGAGTTCGATTAAATTTGTCGCAACAGACGTTATCTGATCTAATTGGGTAAAAGGTAGAAAAGAAGTGACAACAACAAAGTGGGAGAGTAAAGCAATGGTGTGAGATGGAGTAGATGTGTCTGTACGTGACAGGATCGGAGAGGACGGGGAGGGTGGATGAAGAGAGTCGGTAGGGGTCGAGATGGGAGAGCAGGCAAGCAAAATACAACTGCAAGGTCTCAAAACCAGGAGAATACAGTCCAGAGAACCCGAGACCAAAATGAAAACCCCCAGCAATAAACAAAATAACACAGTAACGAAATAGCAAAGGACCGGTAACGCAAGCTGGAAAGACGGAGGGCGATACAAGCAAGGGGAGGAAAGAAGAGAGAACAAGAAGAAAGAAACAAAGTCGTCCATTGGTGTGGTGTCCGTCGCTGTCTATCCGTCTTCTGTAAAAACTCTTTTGCTCGCCATTCCATCCAACACACCCCACGTTTTCCTCACTTTTCTGCGGTCGCCTTCGTTTACTGCACCTGCGACACGACCTCGCTGGCCTTGGCCAGGGCTTCTACCATCTGCTGGCATTCTTTCCTCCGCCGCACGGTGTAGTCGCTCTCCTTGAGCAGGTCGTCGAGCGCGTCCGTGCGGTACATGTTCTCGAGCAACTCGCGCTGCATCTCGTCCTTCGTGAATCTGGAGCGGTTAGCGGGGGAACAGTCTCTATAGTGGGGGGTTGCGACTCGTCCGTTAGTAGGGGTTGACGTACTGGACAAGGGTCAGCATAATGGCCTTGGGGACCATGTCAATCATTGTGCGCTTGACAATGTTGTAGTAGGACTGAATCAGCAGCTTGATCACCTCGACCTCGACGTTCTCGCGCTCCGAGAGCGTGCCGGACGCCTTGAGCATGGCGGGCGGGGCCTCCATGGCGGCGGCCTTCTTCTTGTTCTTGGCGGCAAAGAAGCTGCCAAAGAAGCCGCTCTCCTTGTCGCCGTCGAGCGTGGGGCTGGCGGCGCGGGCAGGCGTGGCAGAGGGGGGCAGCGGCTTGCCCGTCTTGGGGTCGACCTGGACGGGCTTGGAGGGGTTGTGGCGCTCGTTGACAATGGCCATGGCGCGGTGGCCGTTCAGGAAGTCGGGGTGGCCCGTGTTGATGTAGCAGGCCTCCATAGACACGAGGTCGCGCACCAGCTTGTTGGTGGGTTCCATGGCCTTCTTGAAGAAGGCGATCACGACGGCGTGAATCTTTTCCTTCAGCTGCGGGTAGCGGCGGAACAGGGCCTTGCTGAGCGAGTTGGTCAGGATGCGCACGAGCTCGTCGTAGACAAGCGAGATGCACTTGAGGCTGGGCTCCTCCAGGCGCTTGATCTGCTGCTTGACAATCAGCTCAAAGGCGGTGGTGCCGACAAACAGCGCGGGCGACGAGCCGGACGAGTTGTACAGAATGGTGCGGATATCGACGTCCTTGACCTGGTCAAAGGGGTCAATGGCCTTGACACCGTTGGAGTACAGCTCGTGGAACACAAAGGAGATGCGGGCACCGCCCGACAGCTCTGTGCTCGACAGCTCGGTGTTGTTGCCGTCGAGGACGGTCCGCCACTCGTTGGTGAACTCGGTAATGATGTTGAGCACGACGTTGGCGTTGTTTCCCAGGATGGAGGGGCCCAGGCTCTCGAGCTCAGCCGAGTACTTTTGCAGGGAGCCGGCGATGCGGGCCTTGATGTCGGGCAGGGTCTGCTTGATGTGCATGAGCAGGATCAGGTTGAGCTTGCGGGCCAGGTAGGGCGTGCCGCAGTAGGAGCTCTTGTTGCGGTACGCCTTGTGCGTCTCGAAAAAGTTCTTCTCGGCCTCGAGGGACATCTGGATGGGCTTCTTGTTGTCAATGTCGCGCTGGCCGCGGTTGACGACCGGGACGTAGCCGAGGCGCAGAGGGATGATGCGGCCGGCCAGAATGTCGACGACATCGGTGCCCTCGTCCATCAGATCGACCTTGGTCAGGACGCCAATGGTGCGCTGGCCCTCCGGGTCGACCTCGCGGGCGAGCTTGAGGCCGTCGGAGTTGGCGAGATCCTGGTTGGCGGCGGTGACGGCGAGAATGATGGCGTTGGGCTTGGAGATGAACTTCATGACCATGTCGCGGATCTGGCGCTCAATGTCGCGGGGCTGGTCGCCGACGGGGACCTTGGTCAGGCCGGGCAGATCGACGAGGGTCAGGTTGAGGACGTTGGGCGAGTAGACGCGCAGGTTGATGGGGGCGGGGGAGATGCCGGCATTGCGGCCGACCTTGGCCTCGGTCTCGCGGCTGATCTCGTCGCGGATCTTGTTGAAATCAAAGAACTTCTGGCCGGGGATGTGCAGGAACTCGCCCCATTCGTCGGCGTTGGCGGCCTTGTCGGTGGTGTTGGCGATGTCGTCCTTGACGCCGTTCACCTGGCTGCCTGCTGGGCGGTTGATGAGCTGCAGTACGAGCGGCCGCCGTGTGACGATGCCGGATCCTCGGGGAAGGCTGGAGCGTGTTAGTTTCGGGGGTCCATTGCTGTCGTCGTCGTCAGTCATTGCCGCGGTCTGGTCAACTCTACTCACAAATCACGGCCCACAATGTTCTCGAGCACGGAGCTCTTTCCGCTCGACTGGCTGCCGACGACGACAATCTGGGGAAGATCGATCGGGTTGTTGACGTTGATGGTCACGAAGACGTCCTGGAGCTTGTTGACAAGCCTGGGCAGATGTTAGTCGGGGTACAACACAAGTCGACACACACGACGACAGAACGAGACACACAGGACTAAAGTACGTACTGGATTAGGGCCGGATCGGAAATGCCACCCGGCGTGGCCAGGCTGGTTTGGCCCGACATGATTGCTGTATGGTGCTGGGCGTGGAGGAACGACAAGAAAGGAAAATCGGAGAGAAGGGCAAGCAGAGGCCGCAAGGAGATCGAAATAGCCCTCGACGCTGTTCAGGGGGGCGGGGCTTCGATGCAGAGACGCCGGGGGAGGGCGCGACTGGGCTGGTACCGGTATCTGGACTATCAGGCTCACGGACCGGAGGTCTTCGGTGGGATCGGTGACCGGCCGAGGATAGAGGCGGGTCGATCAGAAGAGGAGGGGCCGATTGTTGTTTGTTTTTGTCGGTGAAGCTTTAGAAGCTGGCGATGTGCACGGGGAGAGGTCTGTACGAGACAGGACTGCCGGGACAGGGGACAGAAAAAGGCGTGTGATGCGGAATGTAGATTCAGGAGCGACGAGCGCAGCAATTGGAGAGGTGAAGAGTGTGACGTGAGGGATCCGGACGCCTTTTTCTTGAGGTGGTGGGTTTTGGTGGTGGAAGGTCGTTTGGTCGTTTGGGGGAAAACGGTGATGCCTGGTGGCCGATAGTGAACGCCACACTCACAGGGGGGGACGACGACGTATGCATTGCTGGCAAGAACGACCCGCACAGCAACAGCACCCAAAGCAGGTGCAACCCAACGCACTTTCCCCCACCACAGCCATTTTGGGTAATGTGGGCTTATCTTGATTGGGAATGGAGCGTCATGTGACCTTGTCTGCCGCGCAATTTGGAGATGCCACTGTCGAGGGCGGCGGTTCTGCCGGCTGACACCGCCCTAGGATCACCCAGGCACCCGTATTTTCCTTTGTTTGCCCCTGTGGCTGTAGCGCACTCCATTGTGCTTTAGCCTGTAGTTTCCGGTCACAGCGGGCGCCCAACGCCAGGCACAGCCTTGGCCGAAACACTCACTCATCTTTTGTGGTTGTCGCGATACTCCGGCGAACTGAAGCAGGCTGAAACGAAACAAGGGCGTGATATAAAACAAACAGACGCACGGAGGGGAGCCAAACGAAACAAAATAAGCCGGAAGAGAGGAGGAGGAAAATAATGAGAAGCAAAAAAAAAGAAAAGAAAAATAGGCCGCAATCGAGTAAGACAAAGGATCCTTGAGTTGCAGATTCGTATTGTTCTCGTCTAATTACCCTGTTATGATGACGACGCGCGGCTGGTGAGGATGACCATTGGACACAGGCGGTGATATGAAATGTAGGTCTTCCTTTGTTGCCTGGAACATGGATCGTTTCTTTCAAGCCTTCTTTTCACTTCGTCAGGACTGTCGTCCATTATTCTGAACCTGAGCTGCATCAAGAGGCTAGGCCTGTTTGTGAGGCTTTTCGGACACCCACTCGCAATATACAAAGTTATCGAGAATAGAGGGCCTGTAACGTGTTGCACATGTTTTAAAGATGGTTTGTCTATGCATCTGCTACGGTGTTGATTTCGAAGATCGATGGCGACGAAGGTTGCTGGGCTGGAGGCGGGTGGCAGTGGAAAATTATGTGCCTCACTGAGAAGGGTTTGCATGGATACATGGACAATATGACATAAGTCCTGAGTCTATTGCGGTCTGTATGAGAGTGCAACTGTAATAAGTAGGCGAATAGTCGAAAACCGAACGGCCAAACCCAACGACAAGTACGACAGCTCTAGTAGACGGTGATGGTCTGAACAAGATAGAAGAGCACGCGTAAGTACAGAGAGCATACGAACGGCAAGATGAAACGAAGAGAGAAAGATACAATGTCCATGCGGAGAGGGAAGACAAAAGTCGGCGAATGTCCATTCACATCTTGAGCCAACCATCTTCGCAAGACAAACGAAGTAGGCATGTGATGAGAAAGGTGAGCTTGGAGTATCATTTCCTGGAAAGTAAATGTTCCGACGTGACACTCTCTGCATCTCGCCTTTGTTTATTCCTCTACCGTCTATCATCCGGAATCGTAGCCAAAACATGGCCATTCATTACGAAGAAGCATACGAAAAATCAGGGGGAAACGAAAATAAGATGGTGCTGCATCGTGCGGATTTCCTTGGCGATCTTGCTTTTTGTCGGTCTTGTTCTTCATGGCCACTGAGCAGCTGCTATCAAGACACTCCAGACCGCAACGCGCCAGCCCTGAACACCGCTTTCTACCCTGAGGACTCCCTCCAATGGCCTCACAAATGGACACCCCGATCCGCAGCGGTGAAAGGACGTTGTATATACTGACGCATGTACGGGATATACGAAAGAGTAAGACGGATGGAGGCAGGGGCAGACAAGTAGAGCGTGGCCATTGTCAAGAACATATCCCATAGAACATGGGCAAAGTGGAAGAAGATGAGAACAGGAGGATGAGGAAGTGGGAGGTCGACGGGTGTTAGGAAAGCCAGAGGGAGAAGGGCAGTGAGGGCGAGCGAGAATGGAGGCATGCAGGTTCCGTCCAATCATGGCACCCTGTGAGTTTTTCTCCCTAGCGAGCATCCATCAGAAGACACTGGGGCACCTCTTGCGGCTACGCAAGAAATGTTAAAATAGGCTTGCCAATTATGGAAGAACCAAACAGAAACAAAACATGGCAGAATACCATCGACGGCCGGGGCTAGGGATGCAAGAGGAAGGGACAAGGGGAAACACGGTCGGGCGTTTGCCTGGGCGTACCTTTATTTCCAATTCTAGTTGGATAGTAGATAGGCCGTTGAGTGTCGTATGTGGCTACGTTTGGAATCGCAAAGCTCCAGCAACTTCGGGATAGCCAGACGATGGTGGATGACTAGGGCACGCGGACGCATGTGGCAGGTCGCAGAGACGTAAGCATCAGGAAAGGGAAGGGGGGTGTGATTGTGCGACATAGCTGGACGCGGCACGGCATGAGAGATTTACGAAAAGCACACCAAGAAAAGCTTGTTTTTTCTTCTTCTTCTTTGTTTTGATTATTGACCGGGTTTCCTTTTGCTTTCACCATTACGAGCAAGACTCCAACGGCTCACCCTGCAGGATGGGTGCCCATAGCTCCTTGCAGCACTTGTCAAGGAGGGATGGTCTCGCGATGCTCTCGCCGCGTTTCCCACACGGGATTGTCTGCCGATACGGGACTGGACAAGGCCGCAGGCAGACCCGGCAAATGAGAGTGCCTCGCTTCACAATGGCGAGCTGCAGTGGACGTGAGCCGTGGTCACAACGTCCAGGGATTTCGGCCAGTCCAGATCCGCCACAATGCTGCAAGCTCGATATTGAGGGCCAGAGGGCACACTATGTAGGTGCCGTTGACAAGAACGAGGACGAGGCAGGTCGGGACATGGCCCAAGCCAGGGACCAGCTGTGTGGGTCAGCCGCGTGTGACGGACGAAGAGAACGGCTTTTGCCTCGCAACAAACTAACATGGAGCGTGTCCAGGCTTGGCGACCCGTCACCACCCGCGAGGATCGGCGACTGTTGGTTGTGTGCGCAGAGGAGGCAATGAGAGATGCCACTCTGGGACAAGCTGACAGTATGGTATGGGCACTGCAGACGAGCTAGACAATCCGCCGGCAGGTGCTCCGTAACAGTTCTTCAATGGCGGGTGGCTGTACAGGTATGATATATATTGATACGCCGCAAGTAGAAAAATGGTCTGGCCGCTGGCTGCGACGGCCAGGGCGCCAGGCAAGAATGGCCAGGCCTGGCCCATGTTATTTGGTAGGGGAGCGCTATCTGGCAAATTTGCCGCACCAAGACACAGCCTCTCGACTTTCGTTCCAAGCTCCAATTTTCCGATTCATCAGTTGTCACCTGCTACTGTCGCTCCCCAGCGACTGTGTTTCGGTGTGACGTCAGCTCTGGCATGTCTAGAACCTCTGCGACGGTCGACTGAAAGGCACCCATGCGCCAAATGCGCCAAATGCGCCCATAGCGCTGCATATGGCGATGGCCCTTCGAGGCCATAGGGCGTAATTAACGAATTCCTCTAGCGTTCTAGCGTGTCGGTGTTAGTGGCTGCTCTTTCTCTCAAACAGCACTCTAACAGCACCGCGTACGCTGTCTGGCTGTGAACAGGAATATATCGCAATGTTACATGTATGCAAGCACTGCTCCGGTCCTTTACCCTCCCACCACGGGGAAACGGCAGCATCCCGGCATGGCATGATGTGGTCTTGATGGTAATTCCTCTCTGACGGCAGACGGGAGGCCGCCCGCAAAAAGTAAGAAGAACAGTGTTTGAAGTGGTAATTACCACGTACTGAACCACAGACCTTAAACAGCGGGCATGAGCAATGCGTTTGACGACAGCCGGAGGAGTACCCGTTCCAGACACGTCTGCGGGTCAAAACGATGAGTGGTTGGTGGCTACAGCCGGCTTTGCCCTCAGTCAGAGGTAACGAAGCCAAAGTGGCTGACGAGAGACGGTGCGGATTTTGACGGCTACGAAGTAGGGAGCGTATGATATCTTACAGGCGGCTAGAAGGAGAGCTTCCAGTCCTGTCCCAGCGGGCAGTAAACGAACAAGCGGTAAAACACAGATATCTCACTAGAACAGTGGGTACAACGAGGGGAAGCTAGCAAAACAGCGGGCCTTTCAGAAGCCAAATGCGGCATTATAGGGGGCACAAATGCCCTACGTACTTCTATTTGTTTAGGTGGTAGGACACAAGCCAGTCTGCAAAGGGCAATACGGACGACACTGCAGAGACACTAGCATGCCCTGTAGCGCGGCTCCATCTGGTCCTGTCATACCCTGTAACGCACCTGTAATCTCCATTCCAGCCCCTCTGTCTAGCGTCCATGTTCTGTATGAGCGAATTTCACAAATTATGGGCATCTCGCACGTCCCTCTTCCCATTCCCTCCTCCTCTCTCCCCGTTGCCTGTCGTCCCCCTATTGTTTGTTTGGCTGTGCTTTTGAATTCCACCACGTTACGTTTTTTGATTAATTCTCGTCCTGTGGTCCATTCTCGACACGGAAAATTTGTGGTAGACGAGAAGAAGAAACGACAAAGAGGACGGCGCAAAAGAAAATAAAAAATACGGCAAAATACACTTCGAAGAAAAGAAAAAGAAATGGATGGGCATGAAGAAACCAAACCGGTCGCGAGAGCAAGCGAGATGGAAGCAGATCCTCCTGCACTCTATAGCCCACTTGCAAGAAAGAGGAGAAACTCCCGGGACGAGGGGTGGCCAGAAACAGAAGTGACAGGCAGATTGCCACCAAATACCAAAGCAAAAGGCCAACAGACGAAGCCAATGTGCCCAGACAAAGACAAGACTGCAACGGGAGCTGACTGCCTACCCAGGAAAGGCGCCATTGGTAGCCATGGCCATGCCACTTACATGGTGTGGCACTGCGCTCTCTGTGTCCCTCTTTGCCCATCACCACATGCGTCTGCACGCGTGTTAGTGACCGGCTGTATTTTTCTAGAGACCTCATCGTGCCCTCTCCCCTGGGCCGCTTGCGCACCACCTGGCTGTCCTGTCTCTGCCCTCTTGTCACTTGTACATCCGTGATGCATTCTCACGAGAGAGATACATGTGCACATAATTTTTGTATGCCACAGTGTGCTCACTCTTGCGGCCGCTGATATCATGCCGACGCCTACAAATGTGGCATGGGTTTTCCCATCCGTATAAAGGCCATCACCACCCGGTATTGCTGCAACTCATTTTGTTTTTCTCTTGCGTTCGTTTTCTTCTTCATCGGACATCTTTGAATCTGACCTGCCATTCCATTCTGTTTCCTCTTTTGGATTCCCCTCGTGCCTCCCCTTCCTCGCATCCTTTGCCTGGAACACTCTCCCTCCTGTACCCATTCACTCCTCTCACCCCTTTGAGCCCTCACCGCTCCTTCTTCTCAGGTACTAGACCACGGATAGACGAAACACTCAGAATGGCAGTCCCGAACAAGAAGACGGGCGACCGCATCTACTTTGAGGGCGATGTCGTCGATGAAGAGGCCGGCAAGGCTGGTATAGGAGGCACGACGGGCACTCCTGCCACTGGCGGCGGCGGTGCTGGCAGTGGTGGCATCACCATCGTCGATGACCGTCCCAGCAACGCGTCGCGCCCGGCCCTGCGCCGTGAGCGCTCCTCGGGCTCGCTGTCCATCCGGCCGCACCCCCGCCGCAACTCCATCGACGCCGCCGCCGCCCTGCCCATCCAGTACCGCACGCTGTCCATTGACGTCGACGAGTATGCCCAGAAGCAGAGCGCGCCCCTCAAGAAGGACAAGAGGGACAAGAAGGACAGGCACGAGAAGAAGACGGTCGCCGACCTGGCCGACCTGCACTGGCACACCACCCCGGCCGAGGAGGTCGCCATGCAGCTGTCGACCTCGCTCAAGACGGGCCTGTCGTCCGACCAGGTCACCCGCCGTCTCGCGCAGTACGGCAAGAACGTGCCCTCGCCGCCGCCCACCCACCGCACGCGCCAGGTCCTGGGCTACTTCTTCAAGGGCTTCGGCCCCGTGCTGCTCGTCGCCTCCGTCCTCGTCTTCATCGCCTGGAAGCCGCTCGGCAACCCCAACCCGGCCCTCGCCAACCTGGCCCTCGCCATTGTCCTCGCCGCCATCTTTGCCATCCAGGCCCTCTTCAACATGTGGCAGGACTGGTCCAGCGCCCGCGTCATGAGCTCCATCCAGACCATGCTCGCCGACGCGTCGCTGGTGCTGCGCGACGGCAGCATCACGAGCGTCGCCGCCGACCAGGTCGTGCCCGGCGACGTGCTGATGATCAAGGCCGGCAACAAGCTGCCGGCCGACGTGCGCTTCGTCGACGTGTCGTCGTCGTCGTCGTCGGGCGCGTCCGACACCAAGTTTGACCGCTCCATCCTCACGGGCGAGTCCGTGCCGCTGGCCGCCACCGCCCACTCCACCGACGACAACTACCTGGAGACGCGCTGCATCGGCCTGCAGGGCACCCACTGCGTCTCCGGCACCTGCACCGGCATCGTCGTAGCCACGGGCGACAGCACCGTCTTTGGCCGCATTGCGCGCCTCACCAACGAGCCCAAGACCGGCATGACGACGCTGGAGCGCGAGATCTTCAACTTTGTCGCCATCGTCTGCTGCATCATGGTGTCCGTCATCGTCTTGGTCATCATCATCTGGGCCGCGTGGCTGCGCAAGGACCACCCCGAGTGGATCACCGTCGCCGGCCTCATCGTGTCCGCCGTCTCCGTCGCCGTCGCCTTTGTGCCCGAGGGCCTGCCCGTCGCCCTCACCGCCAGCATGACCATCAGTGCCAACATGATGCGCAAGAACCGCATCCTCTGCAAGTCGCTGCGCACCGTCGAGACGCTCGGCTCCGTTTCTATAATCTGCTCCGACAAGACCGGCACCTTGACCCAGAACAAGATGGTCGTCACCGAGTGCGCCGTCGGTGGCAAGCGGACCATGACCACCGACGAAGCACGTGATGCTCTGGTTCTGCAGCGTGCCGATCGCCATACACGCTCGTTGTCCCCAGAGCCGGACGTGGACGGTGATGTTCTTGCTGGTGACGACGACGTCGACGTCGACGCTCGGCATGCGAATGCCGACAGCGCCGGCGCCGACCTGACCGACCAGCTGTTGGCGTTTGAGCGCGGGGCCCCGGCCCTCGACCAGCTGCGCGCCGTGGCCGCCCTCTGCAACGACGGCCAGTTTGACGCCGCCACGCGCCACCTGCCCCTCGCGGAGCAGACCATCCACGGCGACGCCACCGACCAGGCCGTCCTGCGCTTCTCCGAGCGCCTGGGCCCCGTGGCCGAGCTGCGCGCCAACTGGTCCACCAAGTACACCCTGCCCTTCAACAGCAAGAACAAGTACATGATCCGCGCCCTGTCGCTGGCTCAGAAGGAGGGGCTCGCCCTGGCCCTGCCCACGGGCCTGGCCTCCGTCTTCCAGCCCAACGACGTCTTGCTGACCATCAAGGGCGCCCCCGAGATCCTGCTGGACCGCGTCCAGTACTATGTGAACCCGTCCACAGGCGTCGCCGTCGAGATGGACGCCGCCACGCGCGCCGGCGTCAGCGCCATCAAGGACAACTGGTCGGCCCACGGCCGCCGCGTGATTCTGCTGGCGCGCAAGACGCTGTCGGCGGCCACGCTGGCCCCCGGCTTGTCGTCGGCGGCCTTTGAAGAGGAAATGCAGCGCCAAGCCAGGACGGGCATGACGCTGGTCGGCCTCGTCGGCATTGTGGACCCGCCGCGGCCCGAGATCCCCGACGTCGTCAACACGCTGCGGCGGGCGGGCATCCGCATCTTCATGGTCACGGGCGATTTCGCGCTGACGGCACAGGCCATTGCGGCCGAGTGTGGCATTATCACGGCGTCGGCCGAGACTGGCACCAAGGTCGACTCGGTCGCAGACTTGCCGCGTGGTGGTGGTACTGCTGCTTCTGCTGCGCCGGCGGCGGCGGCGGAAACAGACGATGGCGACGTTACCACTCCCAAAAAGGCCTTTGGCAAGGAGCGGTTTGTGCTCGAGACCACGCGAAAGGCCATCGTCCTCAGCGGCCCCGAGCTGCTGAGCCTCAACGAGACCCAGTGGGACGCCCTGGCACAGTACGAGGAGATTGTCTTTGCGCGCACAACGCCCGAGCAGAAGCTGCGCATCGTGCGCGAGCTCCGCGGGCGCTCGTACATTGTGGGCATGACGGGCGACGGTGTCAACGACGCGCCGTCGCTGCGGGCGGCCGACATTGGCATGGCCATGGGCTCGGGCAGCGACATGGCGCGCGAGGCCGCCGACATGGTGCTGCTGGACAATTCGTTCTCGAGCGTCGTGGAGGCCCTGCGCTTCGGCCGCATGATGTTTGACAACCTCAAGAAGACGATTGCCTACCTGCTGCCCGCCGGCACCTTTAGCGAGTTCTGGCCCGTCATCACCAACGTCGTCTTCGGCATCCCGCAGATTCTGAGCAGCTTCCTGATGATCATCATCTGCCTGTTCACGGACCCCATGGCCTCCATTGCGCTGGCATACGAGGCGCCCGAGGCGGACGTGCTGACGCGCCCGCCGCGTCTGCCTGGCAAGGACCGTCTCGTCGACTGGAAGCTGCTGCTGCAGGCGTACTGGGTCACGGGCACCATCGAGACGGTCACCTCCTTCACCATGGCCTATTGGTACCTGCAGCGCTCGGGCATCCCCTTCTTTGGCGCCATATGGTTCCGCTTCGGCAGCCTGCCAGACAACATCGATCCGGACTACTATGCCGAGAAGCTCAACATTGCGAGCTCCATCTATTTTGTCAATCTTGTCGTCATGCAGTGGTTCAATCTGCTGGCGATGCGCACGCGCCGCCTGTCCATCTTCCAGCACCCCCCGCTGTTCAACAAGCGCACCCAGAACCTGTACCTGTTTGCGGCCATTGGCTTTGCCGTCGTCATGGTCATCTTTTGGTTGTATGTGCCCAAGTTCCAGACGGTGCTGGGCAACATGCCGGTGCCCGTGGAGCACTGGTTCTTGCCCATGGCCTTTGGTATGGGCATCTTGCTGCTGGACGAGGCGCGCAAGTTTTGTGTGCGGCGGTGGCCCAATGGCTTCCTCGCACGCATCGCATGGTAAGCCGTGCAAGGTTGTCGTTGTCGTATGTTATTTTGTTTTTGCCGCTGGACCTGTTTGTTTGAAATATCATTCGCCACGTAACGACGTAATGTGAACATGACTTCTCATAGACCAATAGAAGAAACAAGCAAATCAACAGTCAACTGGAATCCAAGAAAATGTCATCTAAGAATGAGATTACCCTATTCGTATTCAAATATCTCGACTCTTTCGCGGAAACCCAGGAGCAGAAATACAGTAAAAACAGCACACCCAGATGCAACAGCCAAAACATGCAGAGAGACAAGAGAAGTCAAAATGACAAAAGAGTAGATGGAAAAGAAGAGAGAGAAGTCGGGGAAAGGATAACGGGGCTGCAAAGAGAAATCGACGAGGAACATATCAGACCTAACCAACACCAGTACGGATGTGTGCGTGCGCATATGTAAAACAAATAGTAAAACAGCAGAGCCAAGGAAAACGGAGAGGGGTCAAGCCATAAGAAAGCAACACACACACACACACACAAAAAAGAACAGAAAGCAACGTATCCATGATATCCAGAGAAACAGCAGTCCGGCACCAAAAGAAAACAAAACAGATACAGGATAATAATGAACACATAAGAAAGCAGAACCGCAAGTACAGATATTGCGCCTCTATTGGGTCAACACAGACACGGACTGTGAAAGCATCATGGATTTGACAAAGTACAAAAGCAAATGCCGACGGGCGGCCACAATGGGCTGTGGCGGAGATGGGGTGTCGGCTATTTTTGGCTCTGGCGCCGTTGCCAACCAACGCAGATGCTCCTGATCAAGCACTTGACAAGTCAGGTCGCCATCCATTGGCGCTGCGATTGCTCACACCATTTGAGTGTGATGGGTCAGCGTCGCGTAGACGGACACGCTCAGCATTCGACCAGCTGTTGGCAGTTAGCAGGGGCGTTTTAAACACTCTCAGAGTGAACGAGGGCAGTGTGCTTAGCATACATCTTGATCTTGTTGTCGTCGCCACAGGAGGCAAAGAGACACGGGTCGGTCGGGCTCCAGCTGATCGCATTGCACCGGGGTTTGTGGGCCTCCAGTTTGAGCAAGTGAACGCCCAAGTTCTTGTGCCATATATTTAAGTTGCCGTCTGAGTTCTCATTAGTATATTGAAGGAAAAGGGGAAATGAGACAAATACGGGGGGGGGGGGTTGGATCTTACCTTCGCTGCCGCTGATGACAAAGCTCTCGTCGGCACCGCCAAAAGAGCTTCTGATAATGCAGTCGCCGCCGGTGGCGCCAAGGTACTTGCGTACAGGCTCGCCGCGGGCACTGAGGTTGTACATGTGGATGGCGCCGTCCTGGCGGTTCACCAACAAGTATTCCGAGTCGCGGCTGATGGCAATAGAGAAAGCACGGCTGTCGAGCTCCATGTCGTACTCGAGCTCCATGGTCAGAAAGTTGTACACGTGTAGACGCTTCTCGTGGTCCATGGCCACCAACCAGAAACCGTCCGGCGACAGAGCCAGGGCCTCGGTGCGGTGCTTCCTAGTCCAGGTGTGCAAGCGTTCGCCGCCGACGCCCCACTGCACCAAGGCGCGGTCCTTGTCAAAGGAGCCCAGCACGATGGATTGGCCGTCGTTCGCCCACACACAGCAGCTGATGGGCTCTTCAAACTGCTCAAAGAGACGGATCAACAGACCAGTGCTCATGTCCCACAGGCGGGCGCGGCCGTCGCGGCCGCACGACAGCAGTGTGCGGTCGTCGGGGCTCCAGGCAATGTCGCCGACGCCCTGCGCATGGCCGTCCAGGCGCATTTTGAGCTTAAAGGACGACATGTCGTAAATGTTAACGTAGCGGCCGGACCCGCAGCTGGCAAGGAACTTGCCATTGTTGGAAAAGCGGATGTGCCACACCTCGCCCGAGTTGCTATCCAGCTCGTACAGCATGTGTGAGGGGAAGTTGCTTTTATCACACTCGTGGTCAGCGTAGAGCGATGGTGAGGTTGCGCTTGTGTGGAACACGCAGCCGGACACCTGGTAGTCCTTGATTTGCCGCAGAAGAACTGCCAGACGATGCTCCGGCAGCATAACTGATGGCGAAATAAATCTCGACAGCTCCGAGAGCAGATGCGGGCGAGACTGACCGTAGGCACCGTCCCAAGTCGCACGCGTTTTCAAGTCCAGAGGTGAATGGCACATAAGAAGGCTGGAGAGGAAGTGCAGCTTCTGCGTGTCGCGATACAACGGTGTCAGCTCGTTCCGCAGCACAAGCAGGGCCTTTCCGGTTTCGGACTGCTCCAGGTACTCGAGGTACTTTTGTTGGCGGATGCCGAAGCGCATCAGATCACGGTTTGTCCCTGGAATGAGCAGCAGGCCGGTGGCGTCTTCTGGTGCACCGGAGGCAGTCTGGCCATTGGCTGGAGATGTGGTCGACTGGTCGTCCTGACCTGATGTGTCTGACGGTTCTGTGCCCTCGACGGTCGCCCCCAGCAAGAGCCGTTCGGCCTCGTCCCAGTCGCCCCCAAGCACCGCGCGGCGGAAGTCGGCCACCGCCGGGCTTTCGAGGGCGAAACCGCTGCTGTGGGAGACGTTCTCGGCGGCGTCGTTGTAGCCCAAGTCGGACAGGGCCTGGATCAGGATGCGTGTGATTTCTTCTCGGTCGTGTCCGTAGTAGGTGGCTGGACGTCGTGTGATCTGGGAAGGGCCGTTGGATGCGGGACCTCGCCGCGTAGTTGCCTTCTCTTTGCCATTCTGAAGGTGAGATGAGCCGTTCATGCTAGCCAGTTGAGATTCAGCGTCGCTGGCGGCAAGCATGGTGTTGGCACTCTCTCTCCGCGCACGCTTGGGCCGGGGAGCGGGAAGCTGATGTCTGTTGCTGTTGCCGTTGCCGTTGCCGTTGCTGGCGGTGGCCTCGTTGCCCGCGACGTCACCGTGGTTTTCGTCACCGCCTGGTTGGCTGTTCTGCCCCGGGCCTGCGTCTACGTCTCCGTCCCGTGCTGCCTGGTCCTGGTCCTGGTCCTCGTCTGCCCGAGCCTGAGGTTGAGCCGGAGTCTCAACCTGAGCGTCCGCAATGTCTTGCTCGTCCTCGTCCGCAGCAGAGCGCCGACGCCTCCCGAGCACCTGTCGTGTAGGGCGGAGGGTATTAATGCGTGCAGTACCGGAGCGAGCCGCCCGTCTCCGACGAGAGCTGGCTGACGCGGACGGCAGTAGACTGGCAGAACCGTTGGCGGCGTCTGCTGGGATGTTGGGGGTCGCTGTCGTTGTCGTCGGTGTCTGTGAAGTGGCGGAGGGCGGCGAATGGAGCGTCTCGTCGGGGGCAGTCGAGCCGGTGTTACCGGCGACCGTGGCTGTCGATGCGGCGGATGGGGAGGGAGGGGAAGGGGGAAGGGGCAGGGGGGCAGAGGAGGGGTGGGGAGTTGAGTCGGCCACCGCGTCGATGGTCGAGGGCTGCGGAGAGGAGCAAGAAGCCTCTCCGCAGGGGGAGATGGGGGAGATGGAAGGATGGGTGGATGGGTGGAATGGGAGAGGACGAGGTGAAAGAAGTGGTGAGTAAGCTGGCAAGCGCTGGCGTTGTCTCTTTTGTTTTCGAGATGTAAAATGTCTAAGATGTCTTGGTCGACGAAAATCCTGATTGCAAGGCTGGCCGAGTGGAAAAAGAGAGTCGGTAGCTGTTTGATGCCGGAAACGATGATCGGGTGCGTGGTATGTCGAGGAAAGAGAGTGCGAGATGCGAGTTGGCGGAGTTGATGAGATGCTGATGGGAATGCCTGGTTGCACGGACCGAGCACAGGATAAATGAGCGGTAGTTGTCGGTCTGCCCTGAAAGGTGACGTCGGGCGTTTTGGGGGCGGTTTTGGTCAGTGTGGCCTGGCTCCAGTCAGATTAGGCCAAAGGTCACGCACTGTAGTACTTTGCAAGCCCGTAGTGTCCCAGTAGTGCTCTGCAAACTGGTGGTGGCGCGGTTGGGTGTCTAGGCTGCTTTGCAAGCTTAGATGACCCTTTCGATCGTGACAATATCAACAATTTGGTTTGTTTTGTTTGAGACTGGCGAGACGAAAGGAAACGATGGCGTTGAGAAGGATGTAGCCCATAGGGAAGGGAGCAAAGGGGAAAGAGCGCTTGTGAGAGAAGGCTCCAGAGGGAAGGTCCGGGTGGCAGTTCGAAGGCGGAGAAGACGGAAGGCACCATTGGCACCGGGGACCAGTGCGGCAGGAGCAGGTTTACAGTGAATACAGAATATCAGGTCCTGCCTTTTCTGCCTGGCAGAACTGGGGGTGTATTGGGCGCTGAAGGGATACACAGGGTGATCCAGGAGGGAGCTGACCGCTGGCGTTATCGAAGAGTGGGTCTCCAGCCTGCGTGCAATGCACTCGCAATTAGCACGGTGCGATAGGGATGCCAGCACGTTTGACGCTAGTAGACGGGCAGGAGCGGGGGGAAGTGGCACCAGCAAGGAAGGGGCAGCGGTGAGCTGACCTCGTGAGCCCAAACGAGAGACATCAAAAACAGGACGCAACGCGAAGCACACGATCCCTTGCCTCCACAAGCACACGACACACTACGGACTGAGTCGCAGCGACTGGACATTCACCATGATTCCCGATGTCAGGCAGGAATGGAGGAGATGAGGACGTGCAATGATGATGGCGGGGACAGGCAGCACGACGTGTTCAGTCTCATGTCCATATTATTACAAAATTACTTGCACGACGTACGAAAGATATACCCCTACGATTCATCGAGCACGTTCTCTGTGCGGACAAGGACATAATGGGACACTTGCGTCTGTTATCGATCTAAGAAAAGGTACAAAAGCATGTCTGTGGATCCTGGCTGCTGCACGGTCCAGAGCAGACCAAAAAGAAGAAAAGGTGATTTGAGGAGAAGACGGCCACGCGTGTTCGGTCAGGTGGCTGGCTGCACAAAGGCGCCCTCGAACGTGATAGAGAGAAAGCCCACTGTGCATGAGATGAGACAGGGCCAGCCTTTTCCAAGAGACGTTAGGTACAAGCGTCTCATGTCGAAGAGCTCCCGATCGATGCAACGGTACTTGTACCGGCTTCTGCGTCCACCGCATTGCTCGCTGCAGTCCGAATTGATTCATTCATCCTCACCTGTGTCTCACGATCACCGCCGGCCACGCGGTAGCCAAACTCAGAGAACGAACGCGCGCCCATATTAATCAAGCCGGAAATGTGGAGCAATGCCATTGTGTTGTCTACACCTTCTGTGACGGGAATGTCGACTCGCCCCCTGATGGTGATGCCGAACCTGTTGTCCCAGAGCAAGAATTTTGCAAAACTGGAAGGCAGGATACTGGTTTCAGAGAAGTCAATGGCGACAGGGCGGCCGTCGGCGTCGCGCATGAAGTTGGCCGGAAACCAGTCCTCCTGCAGGAAGATCATGGGCTCTCGTTCCAAGTCTTTGACCAGAGGCTTTCTTTTGGCAATGTTTAAGAACTTTTGTGGTCAGTAAAATCAAATAAATTATTATTATTATAACGACACAAATCTTACTGTGTAAAGGAAGACGGGAACAAAATAAAGAAACTGGGAAACTGCAAAGGCACTTACATAGTTGATGTGTTCCTCAAGCTGATTAACATTCTCGTAGTGCCTCGATGCCACACGGCAGTCAAAGACGTCGTGGCGGATACGGCCGCCGTCGATGGCGGCCGGCCGCGATCCAGCGGCAACGGGTATGCGGATGAGGTCGTTGAGGCAGTGCACGACGATTCCTCGTACCCTCTCTGCCTCTGCTTCATCGTCCTTGCACTCTTCCAAAAGTTGTTCGACTGTTTTGCCTTGAATATACTCCATGACGATCACGGCCCTCTGCATGGTCCGGCACGCGTAGAAGATGCCGGGCACGCGCACGGAGGAGCCGAGTTTTCGAAGCTCGCGATACGCCATATCCTGGGCGAGTACCTCATTCCAGTAGACCGCCAAGCCGTGCTTGATGAAGAAGACGGGCGACTCCGCCGGATATTCAATAAAGCCTCGAGGATTTCCTCTCTCGCAAAGGCTCAACAATTTGTCGCCTTTGGGCAGATCAACGCCCTCCGGCGGTGCGATGCCCTCAAACTCCAGATCAATGGGCGGTTCCAGCTCGCCTAGCCACGTCATGGCGTATTAGAACGGCGATGAAAGATAGACTCTTGGATAACAAAAGAGTAACGATATTCGGTCTGCGTTTCTTATGAACCCGGTCGTTGTGAGTGGTATACGTTCGTACAAAGTACGAATATATGCGAGTTGTTGTGCCGCGTAGAGTCTATATCTGCAATGCCGCCGAATTTGCGACCTATGAGGGTAAAGAGGCGTCCTGACGACTTGAGCACCTGGAATTGTGCCTGAGGCCATAAATAATTCACGGGACAAACCACTTTGCAGCTATGCGACAATACATTTACGCCATTCTACCTATATATAGAGAGGTATGCACCTTTTGAATTCTATTTTCTGCTGAATTTCTTTCATTGCAGAACAAAGCTTTCATGTAATAAGGGCTATTACCGAAAATAAACCACTCCTGGGGGGGCTCCACCAAAGCGCACTACGGACCGTGCCGCCTCCAGGTGTCCACTGGCCCCTGTACTTCGTCAAAGCCGAAGAGAGATGGCTGTGGCCATCTTTGTAGAAGTGTCGTAAAAGCCACAAACATGAGGTGAGGGCCAACATATCAACCTATACTCTGTTACTGAAATCGTATCAGGCATAGACAGGGCAACCAAGGAGTCTTTGAAGGGGGAATATTGGCCACCAACTCCGGGATAGGTCGTTTGTGATGATGGCCCATCAAGGGAAGTCGTGCACCAGGCATCACATCGTGTCCACTGCCTCGACCTTACTTGATCCTATTCTTATGAGTGGCGATATGTTCGACAGATACACTGATATTCAAGGACAAGGAATGAATATCTATAAAGACCTTGACTTGAATCGTAAAATTTATCTCGTGAGATCAATAAGTATCAAACTCCCATTCTCGTTCACGTTTCCTCAGCAGTTCCCATTACTTAGTCAATTTTTTACTTTCCAAGCCAGGAGATTGTACGGAGTATCCAAGGAGCCATGAGCCTGCCTCTTTTGGAGTTCGGTGACGATGGCTACAGCCTTTCCATTGGCGAGCTCAACAACGTGCCGGACGAGTTCCTTGACCTCAGAATTCGGCATGTGTACGTCGAGTTTTTGAATACCACCATAACTGGCATGACTACCGAACAAATACAGAACGCAAAGAACCATGCTATCCTTAAAATCGACTTTGAAACCGGGTATACCTCAAACAGGATATCGTATCTCGGCACTCGCCTATCGATGGAACCCAACTAGCAGCGAGGAAGCTTCGATTTAAACTAGTCAAGCAATAACTACAACCCAAGCTACAAGCCTGGTCGCCTTCTCATGAAGCCAGTGCCTTACGGGCATCAATCCAACAGCTCGGTTCGCACATGCCTACTACAATGGACTTCGGCCTTCACCCTAAGACAGGCGGTAAATGTGATTATGAACAAGTCGATGTTTGACTTCTACTTTATTATATTGGATCATAAGTACTTTGGTTGCCGAGATTTTATGCAAGTATTTGCTTCTCGTTGAGCCAAATTTTCGCACCGTACTATATATTGACACTATTATTCCAACAGAACGCAGGCTGTATATCAGTTAAACGGCATAGATACGTCGGCCTACGTATCGTTTCTTCTGTGCCTCTGCAGCCACGACTTTCAGAGACAAACATCTTAACCGCATTGGGGATGCGCTTCTTGACTGACGGTACTGGTCGTCGGTGCCCTGTTGACGAAGGCTGGTTTGGAAGCTACCGACGTGTGAAGACCCCCGATATGCGGTATAATGATTCGCAGAACAGGCAGCGCAGGTAAATTACGAGATCGTAATGAGGCACTTTCTGTTTGCTATGTATGAACAGGACATGGTGTGAGGTTTTGGCGTCTGTTGTCTCTCAATTCTCTTCTCAACCTTTTTTGTCAAACGGCCATGTCAAGTTAGCCTCTATTTTTTGGACTAGAAGCAAATAAATTTGGACGACAATATACTTTTTGATACTTCTGATTCGTGGTTTAATATGAGAAGAGCCGACCACGACCGAAAATCAGGATAGCGCCACATTTGTGCGTCATGTACCTTGCAGCAGATGGTAAGCGAGAAAGTCCGTCCCCTTTTACCGGTGGATAGTGGCTGTCACTCCAAGACGGGCCAGGCCGCTTTCCCTGTTTGCTCGTTGATGAAGTGCATAGATAGGGTCGTAGATATCAAGGAAATGGACGGGAACCAGACCCTGCTTGGTTTTGGACTGTTTTGGTATGCAATACAACGGCACGTGGATCAATGTGAATGGGCAGTACAAAAATAATCATTCTTAGTAGAGTTGTGCGTTGTCCTTTGGTCAGGCTCCATGCAGGGTTTTTATTCATCTACTAACGGTAAGAGAGAAGCAGTATGTGGTAAGTGGTATTTGGTCACATGTATTCAACCGCTCGTCGCAGTATTTCTCTGCCTGCCCATCATCGAACACATCGCACATCACCTCTTCCATTCCAGGATAAGTAAAGCCTTGCAAACGAGATATTATATTCGTTAACGATTTCTTCATGTTCGTCAAAAACAGTCGTGAGTGAGATGCGAAAAGAACTCAAAGCCGAAAAAGATGCTAGAACAAAAAGAGAGACGAATCGCAAAATACAAGGCAAAGGCGAATGATATCAAGACAAAGAAAAATAGACAAAGGTATCACATATAGTACAGGGCAAAAAGACAACATGGCTATGCGTGAAGAAGCAGAACCAAAGAATGAGGGCGACAGACACACACACAGAGAGAGAGAGAGAGATAGAGAAAAGCGCAATGCTGAACAACAGAAAACATTAAGGCATGCCATTGCCCGAAGCCTCGCGCCTCGCGAACATCATCTGAGGCGGGAAAGAACGAGACATGCAGGAGAATGGTTGAGAGCTGGCCTACATGAAGCCGCCCTCGTTGCTGACCACGCTAACGCTACTGCGCCAGCCACAGCGCTCGGCAGCGGGTGGTGGCGGCGGCGGCGCTGGCGGCGAGGTCAGTCGCGACGACGTCGAGCTGCTGTGCTGGTGACCATGTCCGTGGCCGTTGGTGCTGCTGCTGCTGAGGGTGTAGCCGTGCTTCTCGGTGCGGGGGCTGCTCAAGCCGCTCAGGCCGGGAGCCGCCGATCCCGCGTCCACACCAACACCCTCGTGGATCACGCTGCCAGTGCCGCTCACGTTACCGCCACTGCCGCTGTTGCTGCTGGTGTTGGTTTGCACCAGAAGGAGGCTGCTCGTGCTGCTGCTAAGCCGTCTGGTGAAGTCGTTGAAGCTGAGGCGCTTTGCGCTCGAGGCGGATTGGCGCTTGTCGAGCGGTAAGGACGCCAGGTTGCCTGCCGCGACAGACGCGGCTGCTGCGGCCGCGACTTTGGCCTTCATCTCGTCCACTTTGCTAAAGGTCGACGAGCGTGGCAGGGGCGGCGAGGAAGACGGTGAGATGGGCGACTGGATGACTTGCTTGTGCTGCGACTGGCGGTTGTTGGCGCTGCCGCTGTGTCCAGCCGTCACCAAGTTGTTCACGTTGAGCGCAGCGAGCTGTGGCTGGCTGTGCGTCCGCTGAGCAATGGGGGGCCGGTTGCGCGCGTAGCCCGTCTGTGGGCGCATGATCGGCTCCTGCTCGTGCATCTGCGTGGTGGATGGGAAGTAGCCGTCGTTCAACGCCTTGAGGGTCTGGGCGTCATAGTTGACAAGGCCATCGGCGCGTGACTTGGATGTCAGTGTACGGCGAGACTCACGGTCGGCTTCCCGACTGCGACCCGCGATAATGAAATCGAGGGCGCGACGGGCGTTTGGCGCAATATCGACAGCCGAGTCCAGGTGGTTGCCTGGGCGAAGACTGGAGCTATCAGCCCGCCGCCCATTGACTCTCATGAAGTGGCTGCTGACAATACCGTCATCATCGCTGTCAGCGCTCGCAGCCGCTTCGCTGTCCTCCTCCTCCTCCTCCTCCTCGTCATCGTCGTCATTCCTCTCAACACTGTCAGACTCATCCGAGTCATCATCTAGGTCCCAGCCGCTCTTTAGTTGAGGGTCAGGGCGCGTCATGGGCGCCGTGGTGGCACTCCGCTTGATATCCGATGCAGCCACAGCCTGCCGTAACCGCTTCCTCTCGTCGACTTCCCGCATCAGTGCATCGAAGCGTGCCAGTGACGTGAGCTTATTTTCGCCTGGAATCATATCACGATCGGAGCCAGGAATGAAGTGCATCTGAAACGCACGGTCCAGGATCGTCTCTCGTGGCGCGGGCGGTGAGCTGGAGCTGATCGCACCGGCAGCGGCACCATCAGTCGGGGATGGGCCTGGGAGCCCTGCGGCGATCGTCATGGGGACGGGCGGCTGCGAGCTGATGCTGTCTCGGCCACGGACAGGCGAGCTAAGTGTCGAGGAACGGCCCTGGGTAGTTGTCCAGCCTTCGACAGAATCGCCCGAGAACTCGTTGACAGTTGTGGCTGGTGACGGCAAATCGGCAGGGCGGTTGTGGAAGAAGGGCAGCGCAAAGTTGCTACTGCTGCTGCTGTAGCCAGGAGTTGTGGCGTGGGGCGGTAGGTTGGAGCTTGTGTGAGAGAGATCGCTGCGGCGCGAGCGCAGGCTGGGCGATTCCGAGTACGTCTTGGGCCGGTCCCGTTCGCGCTCTCGCCTCGAATATGTTTGGGATGTTTGGGTCGTTTGGGTCGCTTGGTTGGGGCCATTGTGGCTGAGAGCGTTGGTCCGTCCCGTGGCATTGTTCCCGCTGCCCGGACGCGGAGTGTACTGGCTCTGTGGTGTCGTCTGCTGATATTGGTGAGGCGAGAACTCGGATTGGTCACCGCGCCCGCGCTGCGAGGACGCAAAAGGGTTCACAAAGGTTGGTGATGCTGGTGTGACAGGGCTCAGGGGCCCATTCCCGGTGGCCAGGGGCAGTGGCGCGGACGGAGTGGACGCGCCAAGCTGCAGCATCAGGGTCTGGATAAAGTGACACCAGTCCTGGAGGATATTCTTCTGGGCACAGTCCTCGGCGGGGCGGAACCAGAGGGTCGATGGTGCAGTTTCTTTGGTCGTGGTGAAGCCGGCAGTGCGGCTGGATCGGCGTTTGCGAAGCTTGTCCGTGACAGGATCGGGCGAGACATTGATGACCAGCGTGGGCAGGACCGGGCCTTGTTTTCGATGAGCAAGCATCTGCACTTGGCAGTCTGTGATTGAGCTGATGGCGTGTTGCTGGATCGGTTCCCAGTCGCCCTGCAAAGGTCAGTTACAGAAATACAAAGAAGGAGAAACAAAACGAGACAGGCAACAGAAGAAACGCACTTTGCTCTTGAACACGGAGAGGAACATATTCTCAGGGGAGAGGCTGGCCGGGCTTCGTGGCGTTGCTACCCGGGGCGGTGGCTGCTGACCACGAGAGGCAGTCGCCGATGGTTTGGCCGGCACAATCGACGAGAAGGACGAAGACGAGCCAGTATGTGGGGACTGCTGTCGTTGCTGCTGCATCAGCTGTTTTGTGTCTGAGGGATCGGCGACGACAACATAGCGAGACTTCCAGATGGCGCGGCCGATAATGGTCCCCCGGTCAGGGGGAACATGCAATATTCCCTCCATGGCGACGTATGTGAGGGTTGGGCGGGGTATGAGGGTGCTGAATGAGACGAGAGCCTCTCTGGGGTGGTGCAGGAGAGAGAGGGCGGTGGTGATAATTATCGGATTTGAGACGAAAGCATGGTGCGCGAAGGTGGACTCGGACCGCCGAACGAACGAAGTAGGCCGAACAAACAAAACGAACCGCAAGCCAAAAGACGAAAAAGACGGCCAAGGAGGCAGCGGGTGCGAATCGAGGCTGGTCGTGCTATCACTGGTTTCAGGGGAACGTCGTGTCGTTGAGGTCGCGATCGAGACGAGGCGCTTATCTCAGATCCAATGAGATGATTCCGGCAATGAAGACGTCCAGACAAGAAAGGACGAACAGGTCTCTGAGCGTGCGAGAGAGTCCGAGGTCAAGGGCAATTATGAGAAACGGTCAAAGGTGAAGAACGGTGAAGGGAGGAACGGTAATGAAAACAAAAGAAAGACATGGGGCAGGCCTGGCAGAGCTAACTCCAAAGGCAAAATAAACTGGGTCGTCGGTTTGGGACTGCGACGTGCTGAGATTGGAGACGGCCCGGAGAGAGGTGTCGCGGACAGCTGAACAAGAGGCCAAGGGGAGAGTGTGCCGTAGAAATGAGGTGGAAATGGAAAAAAAGGAGAAGAAAAAAAAAGAGTTGAATCGCAACAGATCTCCGTCGTTCGCAGCGGTGGAAGGAGCGACAGGCTCCGCAATAATGCTCTTCAGGAAAACAGCAGGCGCAACCAAAAACGTGCAATCGCATACGATGTATGGTCACGGCAAGTGCCATGGAGAACGGGAGTGGCCCTGTGGAGTGCGTGCAAATAACGACGGATGGGGGCGTATGGGGCGGCGCTGGTTAGGGGCTCCACGCAATCATACGACGTGCGACGTGATTACTGTGTACAGAAAGAGACGCCGGCAGAGGCAGAAGACCACATGCGCCAGGGGATGAAATCAAATAAGATACAACATAACGTAAAGCGACAACGTTCAAACAGACAATCGGTTTGAAGCACGTAAAACGGTGTGGAGACACGACAACCAGCGCTCCAGGGCAAATGTGGAGGCTCTGCTTTTCTGCCAGTCGCCGCTGTGTCGTCTCCTTTTCTTTTTCTTTTTCTTTTTCTCTTTTCTCTTGCGCCTTTCGTTTCCCCATCCAGTGTCATTTTCTCCCTGCCGCCGCTTGACGGAAAAGGAAGCTAGAAAGCCCGCAGCCGCAATGGAAGGCCGAGACGAAGGGCCAGAAACCGTCCTCCACACCCCCAAAACGGCACCGAGACTCCTAAGACACTGTGACACTGTCAAAAAGGAAACTAAAACCGCTGAAGCTCACCTGAACGGTACGAAGGCCTTCATACATGCCAGGGCCGTGAATAATACATGTACCCACCCGAGCCGCCAAAAGAGGAAATCGCCCCCAAAGCTTGGCCCAAGCTTTTTGCCCCTTTCCTCCCTGGCTCGGTTGGAAGCACCTCTAGAAAACAAAAACTTCTTTTTGTCTTGTCCGCGAGTTGTGTGTCTTGTATGTTGTATGTCCGCGCCATCTGTAATCGTCTGTCCGTCCCGGTATATGCTTCTTCCGATCGCCATCGTCCAGCCCACTAGGGGCGTTCAAAGGCATTTCGGGAGCCTGAAAGGTTCCAACTAGGCCCTCGCTTCGGCACATTAGGGGAGCTTCAGGGTGAATTTAGCACTCGAATCGGCCGAGGTCAAACATGGCCGCCGGTCGGCCTGGCCGATCGAGATGCGCTTGGTCGATGGATGTTGGTGGTGAAAACGGTTGGTTACGCGGTCAAAGAACAGAGCGAAAGAAAAAAAAAAAAGAAAGAGAGAGAGAGAGAGAGAAAAAAAGGAGACATGTTGGCGATGGCGCCTTCCAAAAGCGTCGTCAATATTGCCCTCACCGTGGGGAGAATCGGGAAAGAGGCACAAATTATGCAAGGGCCAGGGAGCATTCGCTCCTGCCGCTGTTTGGTTTCTTGTTCCTAGCCCAACATCCTCTTTGTAGCATTCGATAAACTCAGTTGCATGACTGTTGCAAGACTCCATACATCGTAAATTCATTACAGCATCGTATTTGATCTCCGTTTTCTTCTTGGCTTGTCTCGGCCGCTTGTTTGCTGCTCTCCTATGAGAGGGGAAGAAAGGGCCCTGGCGTGTGTCACAGCCAGTGCCAGGCCCCACTCACACCTCGCTAGCGCCGATCGGACAGACCAAAAACGCCTGTTCTCTCTTTCCTATGAAGCGGAATAGAGGCAAGTGACAACTAACAGGCCCGGCCAGCAGAGGCAGGGATGCGGCCCCTGAACACGGGTACCTGGACAGTTGGGCTTGGTGATCCTTTTTGGATGATGAATGCAACCTGAGGGGACGATGCGAGGTGCTGTCCAGTGTTCGTGCTGCAACCTTAGTCCGGGCGAGAAACAGAGCATGGAGGATATGAAAGGGAGATGTCATAGAATACGACATCCATTGTTAAAACAAACAAAATACGAGAACGGACCAACAGGAGACGATGGATAGATGTTGCGCACGACACATTCACGACGCTCCGCACCGAGTATGTCGTAACGGGACGTCGCAATGGAAAGGGGGGACGACAAAAAGAAAGGGGATACTGACACGTTCGGCATATGGTCTTATCTCGACCGTGGGATTGCGATATAATGAACACAGTGGTAAGAACAACGGGCAGAGGAAAATGGACGAGCCCCCACCTTTACTCGGCACATCCATCACATTCACCGGACCCATGCCGAAGATGGACATGTGCGACCGACGGGCGGTGGCATGACAGGTCCCAGGGACAAGCTATCAAAAGACAGTCTTGACACCGGCAGACGGAAGACGGTCGAACGAGCGAAGCTAATGCAAAGGTATTGTACAACATAGCAGCGGGAACTTGAAGAGCGAATGCCGTCCCGTGGTGGACGCCGAGCCGATTTGCGAGATGTGGAAAAAAAAGAAGAAGAAAGAAGAAAAAAAAAAACATAATAAACGCAGGGCGTCGAAACATGTGACGATTGCACACGACTCAAGCCTGCTCGTCCTTGGAAGCTTCGTAATTACGTCGTTATTATGTGACGATGAGTTCAGCATTTACATTTTGGGTTTTGACTCCCGTTGAGGAAGCCGAGACCCCTTTTTCTTTGCTTTCTTCTTTTCTCTTCGTTTCTTTTTCCTCGTACTTTATTGCTGTACTCATGCTCCGTATGGAGTACGCTATCGTACGGCAGAATGGGAGAGTAATGACTTATTTTTTTCTTTTTCTATGGCCATCAGACCATGTCTCAGGCGCCGGTCATTTTCGTCTCCATTTCTACTTCTTCCGACCTTCTTCAACTTTCTTTTCCTGCTTTTTTTTTCAGCTTCTCCAATCATAGTCTATCCCGTCTTCACCGCCGATCCAGGGAGAGCGACGGAGCCGTACTGTGGTACGGAGGGCGTCGGAGTGGCAATGTGACAGGTAAGAAAGTGATAGTCGGAGACAAGAGACAAAGTAAAAACGATGGAGAAAAGAAGAGGAGACGGACGAGGCCAAGGCCGATCCCAAACGGCCAAATGCAAGGGAAACAAGAAACACGGACCAGAAGAAGAAGAAGAAAGCAACCAAATGCAAGCCAATAAAATAGAAGAACGAGTTGGCAATATGGAGTACAATACACACGCACGCCAATGAAATAAAGCCAAATCCAAGACAAATGAAACGGGCAAATACGCCAGACTGCTTTCTGCAGCGGGGACTGCAGGCAACGGACATGCGAGAAGGTGGAAGTTGAAAAAGAACTTGTCAAGCAGGCGCGAGAGGAAACCCAACAAGCAAATCTGCCTGGGAATGGGGTGCGGGTGGGGAGATAATCGAGGGAGGGGAAAAAAGCAAAAGAAAAAAGTATGCAAATGCAAAGGACGAAAAAGAAGATGAAAAACGCAGACAAAACAAAGAAGCAAAACAACAAGAGACAATCATTGTGAGAAGGCCAAGAGCAGAACGGGGGATAGCCGAAATGGGATAAAAGGCCCGTGAGGGAGCAACACGGACGAAGCAACGAATGAAGGAGATATTGTGTACGACGTATTCTTGGTTCGTATTGCTGAGCAGTTTCAGGGTCAAAAGGGGGAGACAACAAACAAGGTGACCGAAGGAAACGCGCGCCACGTTACATATACGGCCATACGCGCTCGGTGTTGATGTGTTATGCAGATGTCCAAGATGAGGGAACGTTTAAGAAAGAAACCAATAAATAAATAAATAAATAAATAAATAAATAAATAAATAAAACCAGACATGAACGACCAATACAATGCACAAAAGACGCAGTAATAGTGTGTGGCAATCAGCGTATCAAGAGTAACTTACGTTGCAGAGCATCAAGGGCTTGAAAGGGTCAGCTGTTAGGTGAACGGTGTCCAGATGCTCTATGCCCTCACCGTGTCTCCCAAAGAGGGCCTGAATAACAACTCCACTTTGGCGCAGGTCTACCATGTGCACAACCGTTGCCTCGATGTCCGGCAGCGATAGGGGAGACAGGGATGACGGCATGCAAGCATGTGCATCTCCTGTCATGCCTTGGACGCCTGACTCCTTGGAAACGACAGACGTCGTGGGAGACAACAGGATGCAGCAGCTGCTGCAAGAGGTGAAGAAACGAGACAGAAGGAAAGAACGAGCCGAAGCCATTCTAGGGGTGCAACCACGGAAGCCACCCGACACCAGTAGACAAGCCCAATGTAACGCTGAAGCCGGGAAGGATGTTGGCTCCTGCCTGGGAGAGACACAACTGCAGTTTCCTGGACGGGGTGAAAGGACATGGCTTTGGGAAGGAAGGAGCCAGACGTGCATGCCGCATTCAGCACCTGCACCAGCGCCAAGACTACTGCCTCTATGCTGCCAAGGCCCGGGCGCAAAACGCGGAGGAGGAAGGTGCAGAAGGGAGACGAGAAACAAAAAGAAAGTGCAGAGGAGACCGGCGCGGACGGTCCCTCCGGCAGCTTCCACAACACAAACTGTCAATATTTCCTTTCTTGGGGTGGATTATGATACAGTAAGACGTCCGACGTTCATGGTAGGGAGTACTGTCAGCGAGCGTGGCTTGCAAGGCCCTGTCTCACTGTTCAAAGCCGAAAAACACGTCCATTTGGGGCTCCGTGCATGAAAAGAACCCCCTTGTCAAAAAATAGTCGAAACGTGGTATGGAGAGAGATTTTGTTTTTTTTTAAAAAAAAGGAGGGCAAGGGGAAGACGCAACAGAAAACTACAAGGACACGAGCACCACAAATAATTTTAAACAAGCGAGCGACGCGACCCGGGCCCCCAACGAGGGCAGAGCGCCTTTCCACAAACGGGAGATGCACACGATGCGACGGTGAAGCAAAAAAGAAAAGAGCGGCGGCTTACCCAATAGGGCGACGAGCGGACCTGGCGACAGCTCGGGAATGCAACCAAGGGGATCAGAGCGACACGAGAGACTGGCCCTTGAGCGAAGATGAAAACGGAGTACGCCGTATTACACCAACCGAAAAACTCGGCATCGAAAAACTGAACCTTGGTGCAGACGCCCGTGATGCCCATCTTTTCCATTTTCCCTACCCCAGAAGCAAAAGGACAATGCTCCGCTAGCGTTTGGTCGGGGCGCGCCTCGACGACGGGGACGATGGGGACTTGGGCCCACGGGAGGCACGGAAACGAAAAAAGGGTAATCTAAAGTCCAAAAGAGATGGCTTTTGCGGAGGCCAAGCGGCCCAAGCTTACGCTCGGGAGGGGTCGACGAAGAGTAGCCTCTTTGAGATGTGGTCTGGGACCGCTTTGCAGCTTTGCCGTGGTGATGGGATGCGAGGACTTTGAGTGAAAGGACCCGTATGTCGTACAGAGTACGGAGTTATGTTCGGTACGTCGTGTATAGTACAACATTTTCAGGTGGCTGGTGGTAAGGGTTTAGCAAAGACCACAACATGGCCGTTGCTTTACATTTCGGCATTGTCTTCCTTGCGGTTTGTTTCACGGGAACGCGAAAACAAGGACGTAGTATTGTTTGCCGCGTGTCAACGGACGTGGCAAGGACGTTACTTTACGTAATGAGCCAGCTTCTGAAGAGGAAAAATCGAAGGAAGACAGAAAGCATTGGCACATTCATCAGGGACAGACGAGGTCCTCCGTATGCTGTGCTTGATACAAGATAGATGACTGTCCGCTGTGAAGATACGGCAAATGACCATATGCCGTCTTCACGTTCATGGGACGGAGCAGCCAGGCACAAACAGTTTGATGTCCTCGCTGTCTTCTCACATCAGCAAAGAGCACCACAAAATCAAAACCTTGGTTCTGGGTCCTGGTAAGAGACTAATCTGACAGAGACAGAAAGTACAACATAATTACCACTGTTACCACTGAACGACAGGACAAGCGGCACAGACATGATCAAAAGCCTCCATCACCATCCAAGACACGGCACAGAACCTGGTTGTCGGGCCATGCAGGGCCGCCAATCCGATGAGACGACGCAGGACGGCGATATCAACATAAGCGGTACTCATTTTGCAAGTTTTTTACATATATGAACGTCCTACCGTGGGCCTTGCTGTTCTTGTCACAAATGGTACCTCATCGTAGACCGCCCTTTACGACAGTTTTTTTTTTTCGTCCTTTTTTTTCACTTTTCTTTTTGTTCGTTTGTTCAATGTCCTGGGTCTCTGGTCTTGGGTCCCAATCTCCCCATTCCTGTGCCGTGTCTGGCCCCATCTTCTGTGCCGTCTTTGGTCCGGTCGTCTGTTCTGCCCATGTGGCAACCCAAGGCGCCAATGCCGGACTGCAGTACTGGACGCGTGATGGTTGATTCCGTGGCGGCGGGAACAGATGTGAGATGTAATTCCTCCTTCTTCCGCAGCTCCTTTTATTTTCACCAGTTCAGTTAGCAATTACACAGTAGTAGCTCCCGCGCACGTTCCCCCTCTGTGACTTTCACCCATGTCGCCCAGTCGTTCTCCTCTGCATCTCTCACCGTTGTTTATTTCCAAGGCTTGGCCCTTGCAACAAGCGTGAAATGGGCAAATGACCCTCCCCCTGACCTCGTTCAAGAGAGAGCTTTTTCCACCAATTCACCAGCCTTGTTCGAAACGAGGTTAGTCAAATTCAGGATGAGCTTTTCGCGCACTTTGCCCCGGATTCATGATGCCCAAGGCTTCTGGGGATTACGACGTGGGTGTGTTTATATCGCTAGCCCTTTCTGGGGTCTCGTTCCCCTGCAGCGATTGTTGACGATCGACAGATGAAAGGACAATATGGGAGTAGCAACGTGCTGCAAGCCTGCGAAGCTACTCTTGTTGATTTTTTTTATCCTTACCATATGTCGATTCAGTTGATTTCGAATCACATTCCCCTCACTTCTGCTCCCCGTGATAGTAATGGTTGCCAAGTGCCTTGGCAGACCCCTTGTCTTAGTTTGTCGTGTTTATGTTGTTGATCTGTTCTCTTTTACTTTTTTACACGCTATCGTCAACCGTGCTGATCACTGCTACTGTGCCTCTACTTCGGGGAGTAAAGACACCCTTGATGACTAAAGAATATGGTCGACATCGTTGCGTTTAAACCGACGTCGTGCCTTTGTCATGTGCGACGGATACCAGAAATGAAGAGTATGTTCATTCGCTCCTTTTGGTTCTTCCTCTTCTATGTGGTCGCCAATGTATAAACGAGTCTCGGGCTAAAACGCTGCATAAAGGCGGAGAAAACTGTGAGGACAGGGACGCATGAGGACAGTCAAAAGGACACGGCAAGGCATCAAAAGTAAAGCCACGTACACAAAACATTCAAAAGGTACATTCATTAAGATCTAAGCAAATGACCCACCGCACGAAGGGGGCAGGGAATATGATATTGTAAAGATGTGATAGGGGAGAAAGGTTGGGGATCGAGGCGATGAGAGACAAAGGTGACGGGTGAAAGGTGAAGAGAGAGAAGGGCGAAGGGTAAAGGGGAAAAGAGCGCAGAAACTGGCCCCGTCACTCATGCCAGATACGGAGCGAGGGCGGCCTTGGCTTCGGGCTGCAGCCGTTTCTCGACGCACTGCGCAATCGCACCGTTGTGGCGCCGGTCGGCCTCTTTGAAGAACGCAGCCACCCACTGTTGCACGTTTTCGACCTCGGGGAAATCGTCGCGCGGGCCACGCTTGCATGTGTTGAGCGGCGTGTAGCCGACACCAAAGCCAATGTCGTCAACGTCGGCCTCGTTAATCACGTCGTCGCCAACCCCACTCGTCACCTGTGGGGGGTTCTTGAGCAGGTCAAGCAGATAGTTGCACGTCAGGCCCCAGCCCTTCTCGTACAGGTTGGCGAAGCTTGTGCTGTCGCACAACGTCTTGGTGTACGAGATAACACCGAGCTTGCGGTCCACGGGGCGGGCGAATTGGCCCGTTGTCGGTAGCACAAAGTTGAGGTAGATCGGCTTGAACAGATCCACACCCGCTGTCACCTTGTTCGCGTGCTGCACAAAGTAGTCGGCACCCAAGCCGTTCTCGACGCCCCGGGCCGACACCAGGTGGTAAAAGCGCACAAACCGGATCTTGAACGAGTCCGTCAGGCCCTTGTCCAGCTTGGTGAAAAGCTTGCCCAGGATGGTGCTGAAGTACGTGTCGAGAGATGCTGGCGGAATGGAAATGACCACACTCTCGAGAATGTCGAGCGCGTTCTGCTCCGTCTTTTTGCTTGCAAACAGCCGGCCGAAGATCTCGAGAAGAGGCAGGATCTGGTTCTCGGCCACAATAGCGTCCTTGATCTTTGGCAGAATCACAGACAAAAACCGCGCACAAGCAGGCACGTTGCCTCTCGTCTCCCAGATCGTGTCATTCAGAAGGACGGGAATCAGCGTCTTGTAGTGCTCCGGTAACGCCAGGTTGGGGCTCGTCTCAAGCAGAGCCGAGAAGATCTGGAAAACATATGGAACGAATTCTGCAGAGCGTTAGCAATCCATTAAAACTGCTGATATACATGAAAACTCATATCAACGAGCACTCACCAGACACGTCCTCCTTAAGGATGGACGAGAACGGCTCCCATAACCGGGCCTCCAACTTGTCGCCAATGGCAGACGAGCTGTACCGGACAAGGGCGCCAATGGCCTCGAAGTGGTAATAGTAGAAACGGGGGTTGCTCGGGTTGGCCCTGATCACATTGGTGATGTTGATGAGGTGCGTGAGGATGTCGTCCACAATTGGGACGACGCCCTCCTTGATAACAATCAGCACGCGCACAATGCAACGCATCAGAAACTCGTTCTCTTGCAGCTTGGCAGGCGCTGTATCCTTCTCGATTAGGCTGAAAAGGTGGCTCAGCAGGTCCTTGGCGAACGGCTGGATGTCCTCCCGCGAGAACAGATGCACGCCCTCGTCGTTTGTCAGAAACAGCACACGCTCCACAGCAATCGCCGCATAGGTGTACACCACGTAGTTTGCCGATGCCAGGTTCTGGATGAGCGGCTGTAAGGCCGCCTGCCACTGGTCCTTGGTCAACTGGCTGCGAAAGTTATGCAGGTACTTGATAGCATCGACCTTGGCGATCGGCTGCGTGTCCGACCCGCTCAGCAGATCCGCCGCCACGTTCTTCTGGAAGAAGTCGACCACATTAACGTACTGGTTGACCGTCTTGACGCCCTGTGCCGCTGTCACCGCACCCTTGGCGGCAATTGCCAAGAAGAGGTAGATTGCCGTATCCTTGGCCTTCCAGTCTGTCTTGCCCTGCTCCAGGTAGTGGTCAATGTACCGGAAGACGACCTGTGTGACGAGCATCTCGTACTTCTCGAGCAGCTTGCGCAAGAAGTCTGTGGCAGCCCGCCGTCGGGAGTCGGTGTCGGAGCCTTCGAGATCGCGGCGGATGAACTCAATGGGCTCGTCTTCAAACATCTCAATGTCAGACTCCCGCAGCGCCACGTTGGGGAGGATGACCGCCTCGACAATCTTGCCGAGCGTCTCCTCGGAGTTGAAGTTCGCAGCGTGCCGTGCAGACGATGCGACGGCGGTCAGGAACTGCAGCGCCTTGCTAACCAGGATATCGTAGCGCTTCTCGGGCCCCGTTGTCGACAGAACGTTCCACACAGTGTTGATAAATGGCTCCGTGTGGGGGCCAAAATCGTCGTCGTACTTGGTCGAGTACAGCTGCAGCACCTCGCAAATGTCGGCCTTGACATTCTCTACAGCGGTGGCCTCATCGTCGTCATCTGCCGCAAGGACCGGGTTGGAGTACGAGAGATACTTTTGGAGTAGCGCCGTCACTGGCTGCATGTTGGACTCAACGACTGGCGGCAGGTCCTGGCATGACAGGTCGTAGAGAATCCGTATGAGCAGGCTGAGAACCTCGAACCAACCCTTGAGGGCCTCGGCGTTGCTCTTGTTGCTCTCAATCTGCTGGTCGGCCACGGTGAGCATTGTCATGAAGGGTTCGCCAAATCGCGACAGGACATGATTGATCTCGGTGAAGAGCTCGTTGGAGCGGAATAGCGGCCGCCACCGCACAAATATGGAGTGTGCAACCTCAAGCACGCCGAATGTAACCTTGGCGTCGGAAACTGAGAGGCGGCTGACAAGGTCGTCCACCAGCGTATCCCACCGCTCCCAGAAGTCGGAGTCTGCAATGATGCTAATGGCCTCGCCGAGCTGCGTCTGGATGCTAGCCGGCGACGAGATCATGAGGCCCACGAGCTCCTTCTTGATCATGCTAATATCCTCGTCTGGTAACTTGTAGTTGCCATCCTCGTCGATATAGTTGCGCCTGATGAAGTTTTTGAAGCAAAGGGCGGCAGCAAGCCGAGTTTTGAGGGGCAACGGCTGCGAGCTTGTGATCTGGAGAAGGAGGAGACAGAACTGTGGCTTCTCTTCTTCTTTCCGGAGTGCGGACTCGGCTGGAGTGAAAAAAAAAGTCAGAAAGTTGATCAGAGTGGCCACGACCGAAAACTGAAGCAAAAGAAAACACAAACCCTTTCGGTGCTGCTGCGGATCGAGCGTGGAGTCCAGCAGCTGCACAATGTGGCCAATCTGGGCACTCATCTTGCCGGGTACGGGGAAATACACGAGTTCAAGGAACAAGAATGGGGGTCGTAACGTAGGGAGGATACGTTGGGAGTGATGGATGGTTCGAGAGGTAGAAAGCGATTAGGATCGCGAGTATTTCCTTTTTTTTTTTTGATGGCACAGAAGCTCACAAACAAAACAGCAGGAGCTTGGCCAGCCCGTTGTCAGGGAGTCGAACGGCGGGGTGCTGCGGTGGGTCTCATCACGTGCTGATACGGATATGCATACAGCGATATTCACATACCCATGCATCTTGCATTTCTGAGTGATTAAATGACAGACAAGAAAGCGAAACAATTGACGTAACGGAGTGAGAGTCTACCATCCTTATTCACTAATGAGCAATTCAAATATTGCCGCCTCACTTCCACGTTTTGTCTTTGGCGTCGTCATATTTCTGGTAGCTCGTCTTGGCTCTTCAGACGAACGACGCGTAAATTGAGACAAAGAGCTTCGTTTGCCAGCTTCGAAACACGTGCTGCTATCTTGTAGTCTGATCTTGTAGTCTGAAACAGGAAAGCACGCAACGAGCCCGCTCAGTCACGGAAGGAACAAGGGGCAAAAACGTTGCAAAGGAAGGAGCATCGCAAACAAGCGGACGGAGTCCATTCCTCAACAAAAACACGGAAGGTTCCAGTGTGACGACGCAAGAGTTTCTGCAGGTGTACTGTGTAGGGCAGGTGGCCAGTCGGATTGCAGGCACGAGGTGCTGAACAAGCTTGAAAGCCCCCCCTGTTGCGCCGATCCTGGACGACTATGACGACGGACAGGTGGAGGAAAGGGCACTTGCACTTGCCCCAGATTAAATAGCGTCAAAAGGGAACCGAAAGAAGCAATTTGCTGAAGCAAGATGAGGAAGGACCAAACCCCCAAAGAGCGAAAAGGTGGAGAAAACTGGGTCCATTACGCCTTCCCCACCTGTATCTTCCAGGACCAGGTGTGCTAGCTAGCCAAGGTAAGTATCAGTACGCGGAAGTAGCGACGAAGAGCACTGCTGTAAAGGAAATTGCTGCGCTGCAATCTTGCCCTCTATCTTCATTATCTATCAACCACCCACGCTGCGTTTTTTCCTCAGCTTCTCAACCCACACTCGGACCATCGACACCCTGAACCACAACTGGCCACCACCACTGCAAGACACACAGCACGGCTCTACATTCAAGAGCACCTGCGCGAACACCGCTACGAACGGCAATCTACCCACCGCCGCCGAATGAGCCACCCGCGAAACAGCGTCATCGGTCTGGCACCGCAAAACGGCCGTACACATTGATCTTCATCTTCATCGTGACACTCCGGACTATCTGCCACCTCGCACCCCCTCACCTCGCCTTGCTCGACACCCCCGTCTGCGATAAGCGCTCCTCCATTGACCTGGCCTTCTGGCAGCTCACGAGGACGACTGCCGCTGTCCCAAAGTAGCAAGACGCATACGCCGTGCAGCTTCTTCTGTGGGGGGTTGGCGTGGCCGGGAGACGTCTGGACGAGACAGCTCTCCCACGCAACGAACTGGACGGTCTCTGCCTTGGTGGCCTCTGTACAGGTGTGCCAAACCCTGCTTCGAAACCGGGACGGGGACAAAAGAGGCCTGTCGTGCAAGGTCAAACTGAGACAGCTCCTACAGTGCTAACAAACGCCTGTAAGAAAGACGACGCATGTCCAAGAGAACGACGACAGCAACAGGGACGACATAGAGCAGCCCACGTAGCACGTTCTGTTCGGAAAACCGAGCGAGCTATCTGCGAGGACAATACCACTGCACAAACACATATTGCCTGGCCCAGACGATCACACCAGAATCCCCACCTCCAATGATCCAACTCCATTCTCGCCACAGCTCCAAAACGGTTTTCGTTGATGGGGACCCGTTGAGCCCGGTGGCCCGCTGACGGTCTCACTTTGTCCTTTCCACCATTTATGCAACTGCAATATTTGCATGTAAGTCAATTGTCTTGCATTTGTGTCTTGCATTTGGCCTCCCGTGCTTGCCCCCATTTTCTATCCGTTCCCGGCGTCCATGGCCAGGCTGGTCCCTCCGCCTCCCTTACATTGCCCGGCCCCCCAACCTATCTTGTTTGGCTCAACTCCGTACTCGCGCCGCGCCTCGACTGTTTGGTTTTTGATGGACTTTTGGTTCTCCTGCGTGCAAGATGCGAGCCGGTCAAAGGCACGAGATATGTGACACAAAAAGCAGCAAGTCCGCAAGACCTTGCAGCGGGCACAGCAACACGGCGATTTGCCTGAGCATAGAACAAGGTGTGGCTGCCCACATTACCTGCCAGGCTGTCCAAAGAGGCCGCTGGGTGACCCTCCATCAGATCTGGGGATATTGTCACCCTGTTCCCTTGCCTACGCGTGGCCGTTGCTTTAATCGTTTTACGCCATACGGAGGACCCATCCCCCCCTTTGCATTCTTGCTTTTCTGCATTTTGCCACGATACATTGACTGCCTCATCCTTTTCACTTATATCTTGATTGCTTTTTTACCACTGCCAGTGCCACAGCCCTGGTGCATTCCCGTCATTCCTTTTCTCTGCGTCGATTGCATTTCTGCTTAGCTTTTCGCCTATACCTTGCCAGTTTCAAAAATATGGCTGCCTCAGCTGGCCCGTTACTAATATGCTCCGTCGAATAGTCTCGCTAGGCCAGCAGGTCTCCGAGGGTAAAGACGATTTCATGTCTCCCCCGTCCAACGATGCCGGCCGACCATCCGAGTCTAAGGTGCCGGGTGGTTTAGCCGGCGTCTTCAAAGGCCTCACCGGGCCCAAGTTAACAAAAGCACCGGCGCTGAGCTCCGGCCCATCCGCCGCCGCTACGTCAATATCGCCTCTTCCACTCACTGCACCGGTGGCCGCAGCCACTCTTTCCTCTTCCTCAATTACCTCAGCACAATCGACTTCCGAGCCTACCGACGCCGACTCTCTCAACAGCCGCTCCGGTGTCAACCTGACAAGCTACGCTGACTGCCTTGAGCTACTGAAATCCGGAACACCCAGTGAGCGGGTTGCCGCAGCTAATGCGCTGCGATCCATCATTACTGAGTCGCCTGTCCAGTCCTTGACCGATGTATGGCATGCTGCAAACGACCTGATAGACCCGGGCAAGGCCCAGGTTGCTCGGCATGCCGGCTGGGGGCTGTTGCTGGCGTGTGCAAGGCTCACGTCTTCCACGAGCATCGAGCGCCGGGAGTACTTCCAGGCGATTGCGGCACCAGCCGACCCGAGCGACTTCCATTTGCAGCTCTCGGCTCTCGTCGAGCTAACGAGCAACGGTCGTAGTCTCTCTGGCTTCGACTATGACGTCTTTCCCGTTCTCACAGAATGGTTCCAGACAGCCTACAAGTCTAAGGCGGCCGCAAAAAAGCCATCGTCGACACGGTCGACCAACGGCAAAAGTGGCAAAGTAAAGGGCGTTCAAACGGCCGAGGAGCGGAACCTCTCCCAGCTGTTCGCCTACGCCATCGATGTCATCAAGTACAGCGCCAAGATCGCCAGTGACAGGGCCATGGAGGGTCTGCTCGATTCCATCTTGGACATAGCCATGAACACCAGCACTGAAGATGACCTCTCGTCCTGCATTTCCATCATAAACACTTGCGTCACCGTTGGCGCCATGCCGAGCAAGAGCCTTGAACGCTGCGTGAAGGTCTTGAGCTCCATCTATTGTCTGGTCCCCAAACTTCGGAAAACAGCCTGGCAGGTCCTTGCCGATATCTTCAAATCGCATCACGGCCTGCACACAATCACCATCCTGCTGGAGGCTCTCCGAAAATACCCGCTCGAGGGCGTCGAAGTAAAGGACGCCACACGCGAGCTCCGCGGGGCCCTTGCTGTGTTGCAGAAGCTGGTCCGGAAAGCTGGGTCCACGGAGTATCCGACGCTCCCATTCACTCTCCTTGTCGACGGACTTGAAAATGTGGTCAGCCACACACCATCACCGCGCATTGTTGCATCCATCTTGCAGCTCATCAACCAGTTGTTTGACGCTGGCGACGGCGAGCTGAACCCGCTTCTTCTCGACGAAGACTGGGCCGCTCTGCTCGGCGTAGCCACGATCTGTGCGAAGCGAAGCAATCCATCTGCAACATATGATGGGACAGCCAACACAAAACAATCGCTTGATGCCGCAACTGGCCCCGAAGAGCCGTCCCAGGATGCCGTCGATCGCGAGGCTGCTGTTCTTACTGCACGAGTCGAGACCCTGCTCCGTGGCCTGATTAATGAGCGGCCCGAGTATATGCAGCGCAACTGCTGTGTCTCCTTCCTTGCAGATGTGCATCACATTCTCCCGGACTCCGGTGCTGAGCTGGTGCTCAAATACTTTGCCGAGTTTAGCTGCTGCTTCCCATCCGACCCACAATGGGATGCCAATCTGAAGCTGGTGTTGGGGCCCTTCTACGCTAACCAATCGCGCTCCGCCGCGGTTCGGTTGCTAGCCTTGCAAACGGCCATCGATGTCCACAATGTCCTTTCGCTTGTGGATGAGGTCGCTGGTAGCCGAGAGACAGTCGCCGACCTCGTTCGTCGCATTCTTGCACACATTGGAGAAGAACGTGACACGGTGCTTCTCTTCCATGCGATTTCTTTCGCAGTCACGACGTCTCCATATGTGGATGATGTTCTCTTTCGCTCTATTGTCGAGGCGTTTGGCTCAGTCATTAAGAGTGACGAGCGCCGGCAGCCGCTAAATATGGTGTCTTCGGGATCTACACCGGTTTCTCCCCTGATGACCTCAGGCGAGCATACGGGTGTGATGGTGGACCAGAGCACCTCGAACATTGCCACACGCGGCCTTGTCCGTATTTTTATGGACACAATGAACACCGACGCCGGCAAGGCCAGCCTAGTATTCAAGGAACTGGTCGGTATAGTCAGAGACAAGAGCTGCCCGGTGGATGCGCGCCTCTCGGCACTAAAATTGCTGTTTCGCCTGCGCGCGGACTGGGCGCACCGCATTTTCCTCGTGTCCAACACCGAATCTGAGGGTCTGGCCTCTGTGCTACTCCGGACCGAGGCGTCATTGGAGCGCAAGATGGCCGACGAGGTCACACAGGAGATTCTTGGTCGACAAGCGCGAAATGAGCCCGGAGCCCCCCTGCCGGCTGGAAGCCAGCACCCTACGAGAGTTACACGAGGCGTCTCCTTTGGGCAAGGTGGCGGACCACAAGACAGGGTCGGTGCCCCCCACCGAACGGCAAGCAGCACCCGGCAGAGGGCTTCTGCGCCACGCTACACCCAACAATGGAGCTTACCTGACCCAGATGCCTTGCCACAGGCGCCGATCACCACTGCCAGTACCGTCCTCTTCTCACACGAGTTGGAAGCAACAGTGGCCGGGATGGGCGTGAAAGATAATGGAAAGGTGCCGAAAAATAGTCACGATGCCACCGCTGCAGATGGCGAGACCGCTGTTGCTCCCAACGTGCATGCGAATGAGAGCAACTCTGACGCGACACCGGCCAAACTGGTTCTCGATATGACGGCGTGGATGGAAGTCGTCTTTGATATTCTCACCCAGGGCGCCAACTGGGAGCTGTACAGCTATGCCCTCGTGCACCTGCCTTCGCAGCTCAGTAATCATGCAGTATGTCGCGCCGCGGTGCCGGTCATCCTGCGCATCCGTACAGCCCTGTGTGACCAGATCCAGTCGAACAACTCCCAAGAGCCACCAGCAGCAACAGGACTGCGGCGGCGAGACGCGCAGACGTGTGTGTTGCAGACGCTGACCATGATCCTGAGCTACCACGAGTACTTCCAGCGACAAGAAGGTGACGATCTGGTGCGGACGTTCATTGCGGGGCTCACTGACAAAAACCCAATTTCGTGTGTGCACGCCCTGTCCATCTGTTGCTACGAACTACCCCACGCCACGAGCAAGTCTCTGGTGAGCATCTTGCACAAGATGTCGCAAATCATCACTCGGCCAGGAGTGGCTGTGCACATCCTGGAGCTGCTTGCCTGTCTCAGTCGGCTGCCGTGGCTCTACTCCAACTTCCGCGAGGACGAGTACCGCATTGCCTTTGGTGTTTGCTTCCGGTACCTGCAAGCCGTACGCGACCGCCGTAAGTCGGCCCGTGTGAGCCACTCCAGTGCAAGCGATCAAAATTCCGTCTCGGCGTATAATGGGTATGGCCTGGGTGCGTTCGACTCTCATGGCCCCGAGGTGCCAAGCCAAACACTGCCGCTGCAGCCGAACGCATCCGACGACCTGCCCCAGTACGTGTACGCACTCGCGTACCACGTCCTTACGTTCTGGTTCCTGGCACTGCGTGTG